CCTCGCCGATTCTGCGGAACCTGCTATGAAGAACCAAGCCCCTCCCATAGCTTTCGACGTCAATCCCAGACTTTCGAACGATAAGCAAGAACAGCTGAAGGCCCTGTTCCTGCAATACGAAGATTGCTTTTCGTCGTCATCAAAAATTCGGCAGACCCCAATCACGAAACATCGCATCATAACCGAAGAAAATGCCAGACCACTCCGTCAGAGTCCGTACAGGGTTTCGACGCGAGAACGTGAGGCCATGAAGAGACAAATTGATGAAATGCTGCGGGATGACATTATCCAGCCGTCCAAGAGTCCATGGGCATCCCCCGTGGTGTTAGTGAAGAAAAAGGATGGGACCCTACGTTTCTGCGTCGATTATCGCCGCCTGAACAAAATCACAAGAAAGGACGTGTATCCTCTCCCACGAATAGACGACGCACTTGATCGGCTCCATAACGCCAAGTACTTTTCATCAATGGACCTCAAGACTGGCTATTGGCAAATCGAAGTCGACGAAAGAGACCGAGAGAAGACGGCGTTTATAACACCGGACGGCCTTTTCGAGTTTAAGGTGATGCCCTTCGGCCTTTGCTCAGCGCCTGCAACTTTTCAACGCGTTATGGATACAGTACTGGCAGGATTGAAGTGGCAGACTTGCCTTGTGTACTTGGACGACTTCGTCGTGTTTTCCTCGAGTTTCGACGAGCATCTTCGGCGCCTTGAAGCTGTACTTCAAGCCATCAAGACTTCCGGACTCACACTGAAGCCAGAAAAGTGCAGATTCGCGTATGAGGAGCTCTTGTTTCTGGGGCACGTTATCAGCAAGTCTGGAGTTCGTCCCGATCCACGGAAAACAGCCGCCATCGCCGACTTCCCGCCGCCCACTGACAAGAAAGCCGTGCGCCGATTTCTGGGCCTGTGTGCCTATTATAGGCGATTCGTGAAAAACTTCGCCCGCATCGCCGATCCTCTCACTAACCTTACCAAGGCCGACGTGGAGTTTAAGTGGGAAACGCCGCAGGAACACGCTTTCCAGGAGCTTAAACATCGCCTCCAGACGCCTCCGTTACTTGCCCATTTCGACGAATTCGCCGAGACAGAAATACATACTGACGCAAGCAGCGTAGGTCTTGGTGCCGTTCTTGTGCAGAGGGCTGACGGACTTGAAAGGGTTATTAGTTACGCCAGCCGATCACTATCCAAAGCAGAAGCAAATTATTCCACAACAGAAAAGGAGTGCCTCGCCATCATCTGGGCTACGTCAAAATTTCGCCCCTACCTCTACGGCAGGCCCTTCAATGTTGTGAGCGATCACCACGCATTGTGTTGGCTAGCCACCTTGAAGGACCCTTCAGGTCGCCTCGCACGATGGAGCCTGAGACTTCAAGAATATGACATTACTGTCATTTACAAGTCCGGCAAAAAACACTCCGACGCCGACTGTCTCTCTCGTGCGCCTGTAGACCAACTGCTACCCGACGACCCGGATGACAACTACTTCTTAGGAACGATAACTACCGACGACTTCGCTGAACGACAGAGGGCCGACCCGGAACTTAAGGCCCTAATAGAATACCTCGAAGGCAGGACCGCCGAAGTCCCGAAGGTATTCAAGCGCGCACTTGCGTCGTTCTTTCTACGAAACGGTCTTCTACAAAAGAAAAACTTTTCACCGCTTCGAGCTAAGTACCTCCTTGTGGTGCCTTCAGCTCTGCGACCAGAACTCCTGCAGGCCCTGCACGACGATCCGACGGCAGGGCACCTAGGTGTTTCTCGCACGCTCGCGAGGATACAAGAAAGGTACTACTGGCCACGTCTTACCACCGACGTCACTCGTTATGTGAGAACATGCCGCGACTGTCAGCGACGCAAGACACCGCCGACAAGGACAGCGGGACTTCTGCAGCCAATTGATCCACCTTGCCGACCTTTCCAGCAGATTGGTATGGACCTACTGGGGCCGTTCCCGACGTCGGTTTTCGGAAACAAGTGGATCGTGGTAGCTACCGACTACCTCACCCGCTACGCCGAGACAAAAGCCCTGCCAAAAGGCAGTGCATCCGAGGTAGCTAAGTTCTTCGTCAAAAATATCGTCCTACGTCATGGCGCCCCGGAGGTCCTTATCACCGACAGAGGAACGGCATTCACTGCCGACTTAACTCAAGCGATCTTGGCATACAGCAAAACAAACCACCGCCGGACGACAGCGTACCACCCACAGACCAACGGCCTCACTGAGCGGCTTATCAAGACGATCGCCGACATGCTGTCAATGTACGTCGTTGTCGAACACAAGACGTGGGACGCCATTCTTCCGTATGTGACCTTCGCATACAACACGGCGGTGCAGGAGACGACGCAGATATCGCCATACAAATTGGTCTACGGAAGGAGCCCGGCAACGACGCTCGATGCCATGTTACCCAACGTCACCGACGAAGAAAACCTCGATGTGAGCGAGTACCTTCAACGCGCCGAAGAAGCCCGACAACTTGCTCGTCTCCGTATCAAGAATCAACAGACGACCGACAGCCACCGTTACAACCTTCGACGACGCTTCGTGGAATACCAGCCCGGTGAACGTGTTTGGGTGTGGACGCCGATACGCCGACGTGGACTAAGTGAAAAGCTTCTGCGACGGTACTTCGGACCGTACAAGGTGGTTCGACGTCTCGGCCCACTTGATTACGAGGTTGTCCCCGACGGCATCACGAACTCTCAACGACGCCGATCGCGACCTGAAGTCGTCCATGTCGCGCGGCTGAAGCCGTTTCATGCGCGTTAACAAACTGAACCAGTGTTTTTTTTTTTGTATTATTGTTGTATCGGAATTTATTCATTGTACTTTCTTGCATCATTATTGTACTTTCATCTTTAGTTAAAGCATCGGGACGATGCCTTTTTTTCAGAGGGGGGCAATGCCACGTTCCATTTCCCAAGTTTTTGTTATCGTCCCAAAACACCACACGATTCTCAGCGCAAACCGCGCCTGCAGTTTTCCAGAAGGTTCCGGACTGTAGTAGATCATTTCGATAAGATCACGCCCACTGTGCGAACGGTACAGATTGTTCTGGAAGCTACGCCACCGCCAGCGATAACGCTAGAACATTCGACGGCAAGAGTATAAATGCCGACGCGCTTCGCCGCTTGTCAGTTGTTGATCGAAGGCCGACGCTGCGTTCACCGCTATCAGTCCGAGACTGCTATCTGTGCAAGACTGCTGCTGTAATTAGACTTTCCCTTTACCGGGCCCAGGTTCGCCCAAATAAACAGTTAAATCCCGACACGAAGTTTTCTGTCTTTGGCCACGTCACGACCCCGTGACAATATGTTTTGGAAGCAGCCGATTGTATGTCACGTTAGCATGTTTCCATGGTGGAATGGTGAAATAGAATTTGTGGTAGATCTTGGATGCTTAGAGATAGCTCGCTCCTGGAGGCTCTTCCCTCACGAGTTAGCTTGGGTTGGCGAAAAGTCTGGCCTCTACTTTGACTTCGATCGTAATGGTAGTGTGCGCTGCGATAAGCCACGTAGTAAGTTTGTTTGTTTGTTTGTATCCTCTAATCCATGGCTCGTACCCACTCTGGGGGGGAGCACCTGCTTTTTCTTCAGGGCGTACGTGTCTCTCGATGTCGTCTTCAGCTCGTTTTAGTACCCTTGTCTGCGTGTCTTTGTCGGTGCTAGAGAGAAGGGTCTCCCATTGTTCCTTGGTTAGGTGTGAGGGAAAGAGGTTGGCGCGCTGGGCATCGTCAGGGGGCATTATATGTAGATGTAGATGTAGATCCTAAACTCGTGGCTCACACCCACTCTGGGGGATCGGCCAAGAATCGGGTAGCTTACCAAAATAAAATGTATATAAATAATACTGGCGAAATGAAAATTAACAGAAATATTGTTTTTTGTAAATTATTTTTTAGGAAAAAATTTTGATGAATCAGTTCCTACTGACTGAGCAATAAATGATTGATATAAAAAAATTTCAATAGCCTACATGGGTTAATTGAGAACCTTTTGGTATTGAGGTTATAAGTGAATCTCTTAGACTGTACAATAAAATCTTGCACGGCCGCGCACACTTTCCCGTTGCTGTGCCCTAGGGTATGTGCACCTAAGAATAGTAAATTTGACGTTGTCAAAGCTAAGCCAAGGATTCGTAATGGTATTTCTAGTGATACATTTCTTAATGTTGAAAACTTTCTACAAGAGATGAAAAAGTGCTCCACAGTTTCCTCTTCTCCACAAAAAGAAGAAAGTGGAGAGGGAGTCAAGCCTGCTCTAAACAAATGAAAATTTAATGGAGGAACACGACAGCGAAATCGAGTGATTAAAACTTCCAGCCATCGGTTATGACACGAGGAAGTTTTCCAGGGTGTCAATAGATGGTTGAAATGCAGAGAATTTTTTAAGCATGGTGTAGAGAATTCTCGCATCATCATTTGCCTCCGAGATCTAGAAGCTACTATAAAGGCTGTTGTAGGGGTAATATTGATAGCTGGTCCGTCTAACGCCACTTTCGGTAGTGTCTTAGCTGTTTCATTTAGAGTTATGCCTCTATGTCCCGGCACCCATACTAATCACACCTGGGTTAAGTGATTCGGTACTAGGGAGTTGAATTCGCCTAATGCTTTCGATTCACCGGATGCCGTGAAAGCACTGCAGACCGACAAGTAGTCTGTTATTATTACGGCGGAATTCGTTGTTCTACGGGCAGCCCTAGAGGATATGGTCTACGTGCCTCAGAGCCAACGCGCCAAAACGTAATCCTCAGCGACATCCCCAGCTCAACAATTCCGTTATAACGTGAAGCCTCTATCATCCTATGAGCTTCTTTCATGTTTGAGAAATCTAGAGGCATCTTAAAAAATGCAACCCCGACAGCGCACATTTTCATCCAGCTGTCTTTCACACTCTCATAAAAACCGAAACCTCATCATTCGGCCAGCTCGGCTAAGCGCAGTAGCGTTTCGTGTGCGACGGGCAACCTTGATTGTTACCAGACGATGCTCCGTTGCAGTCCACGATGGCACCTGCTGCCGTAAACAGCGTGGACGAAACTGGAATGGAAACGGAGAACAACATACTTTACGAACTTCTAACGTACTCGGAATGGCAGCAGGAGCCCGAGAAACTGGTAAGCCGGCCCAAATCAAATAGGCCGAGCAAGTGTTTTGGCTTACGAGTTGTCGATAGTTAACAAACGCGATGTCGAAGTCTCACCTCGTCAGATGGTCTCCGTTTTCGGTCAACATTCGTTGAATAAAATATTTTAGAAACCATGCTCCGTTTTTGCACGCAACACACGCTAGATCGAGCAGTTCTGTTATCCATGCGGCAACGCTTGACTGTCAGTACAACTTTCCCAATTAAATCGATGGTTGCAACTCGCAACTCTGACACAGTGGAATCTCGGTCTCTGCGAACAGCAATAGGCGCATTTGCCGGTAGTTTCTTACCAACGCTGTCGTTAATATAGACCATGCAAATTTATTTACCTGCCAAGGGCGAATATGTGTCTCATAGGTATTAGATAGTTGCCACTCGAGGCTGTGACTGGTCTTTGAAATTCTGGTTTTGTTGTTATCCAGAGCAGGGCAGCTTTCGAGAGATCAGAAGATGCCAAAGGATCAGGTATTGTTACCGTCATTTCCTTTCACTTCGTTTTACTCCAGTGCATTGGTGCGCTATGGACACGAATCTTACCGTTGAAACATCGCCCTGTGCATCGTTTATAGGATTTTGGGGCTGGCTTGGATTGCTGGCCACATCGATGTCCAGTATACCGCCCGCTGTTCAAAGGCTCCGCTCTTTTCACATGGAATGGCACTTTGTCGTTGGAGGGTGAGGAACGTGTTAGTTTGGTTGCCGTTCTCACTCATTATGCTCACAGAACGGGGACATGTGCCCACGTAATGACAAATAGACGCTGCGCATTATCGCTGTGTGTGTGTGGCTCTTTTCACATGGCTTCTTGTCCTTCAAGTTCACTAGAAAAATATCGGTGCCTCCCGCACAGACATTGCATGTACGTTGGTATTATGAATGAATACACAAGACAGCTTGCTGATGTATTGGCAACATGAATGCAGCACTGTCTACGCCTTTGTTGACACTGCTTTGCATTGACGCCACAGCATAAGTGAGAGAGAGACAACATTTATTTTTAAAACACCACGAAGGGCCCCACCCGCAATGAACCACAAGTGCAAACACCTCCGTACTTTGTATACACAGAGGGGTTTTCATTATAAATTTAGAGGTCACAATAGTTAATTTATTTCGGTTTGTGGTCAGTGTTTGATTTTCTATCATTAAACTCACTTTGAACAGATTTGTGGTCTGTATAACTACAGTGCATACCGTGCTACTGTGCAAGCTTGCTAATCTTAAGCTGTTAGTGTTAGTAATTCTCTTTCTGCTACATGTTCCCCATTTTTTCAGTGATGGCAAGCTTTTAGCGATACTACAGGACCAGTGTGTGGAAATTAGGCAAGTAGAATGAAATATACATTTTCTGCCTTCTTTACTTTTAACGAAATATTCGTCATGCATGTTCATATTCATCATGCAGGTCCTCAAAGGATGAATATGCAACTATCATTGGCCGTGGAATCGGTGAGTGTCTGCTTAATGCATTCCCGCAATCTTGCCGTCTGATAGCATGTGGTTTCAATTTTGCAGTGAATGTCATTGATGGCCCCGGAAATTTTCTATTTTTTGGTATTGTTTCATTCTTGCAATAGACAATCGGCGCTAATCCAATGGGAACTTTTCGTAATGTGAATCAGATGCCAGATGGCTGCATTAGGCACTGCACTGTGTCGCGCTTGTTTGTCTCTTAGCCTTCAGTTTTTCCGTCCACTGTGTGTGTGCCGGAATGTTACCAAGAATGTCGTTTGAAATTCTTGCTCACTGCTTCCTTCATATTTAAGCATTGTGTCATTTAAATCATGCCATATTTGGCAGCACACACTGTGTGGAGCACTGCCACACAGCCTTAATCAGCTGGGGTCTCTCGTAACTTATGTATATTCATTGGTAGGTGGACCTTGTATGTCCTAAAACTGTTCCTGAGCTAATGTTATCAAATGATATCTAGAAATCATTGAAGTTTCACGAAACATAGGGTGTGTTGTCCAGACTCATTGCTGTCAATGTCACATTTATGATTCGAGGTAAAAAGAACAAACACTACAACGAACAAGGAAGACATAGGCACACACAGAGAGCGCCACTTCCAACAAAGTTTGTTCCGGGAAAAACGTAGGTATTATTTATAAAGACAGTGCTGTCACATTTTATCACTGCCCGTTTGCACTCAGAATTTGCAGCTCCAACTGCAATACAGATATTGGGGCCACACCAATGCAAAGATTGCTTCCTTCAATAATCTTTTTTCTCTCAATTATTAATCTATTTCTTTTATCTTGGCCCCGGCAGGTGCAAAAATTTAGTACACATTTGTGATCTCGGGAGTGGATTGCCAAGATTGCAAGTGTGTACCAAATTTTCGTCATCTAGTGTCGCGATTGCAATGTGTGCCAAATTTTCACATTGCAAGTGTGTACCGTATTCTGAGTGCCAGCAAAGTTGGGTTGAAATAAAAATCATGAATTTTCGCCTCAGAATCTTATTCAAACTAAAACAATGGGTGCAGAAGCTGTCGTGCTGGACAGTACAGAGTAGGTGAATTTAGTAACATTTTAACCAGATATACTTTCTGTTTCTTTAATTCTGCAATGAATCATTTTCTTATCTTCTGTCTTTTCGTGTGTGCCCCGCCGCGGTGGTCTAGTGGCTAAGGTACTTGGCTGCTGACCCGCAGGTCGCGGGTTCAAATCCCGGCTGCGGCGGCTGCATTTCCGATGGAGGCGGAAATGTCGAGGCCCGTGTGCTCAGATTTGGGTGCGCGTTAAAGAACCCCAGGTGGTCAAAATTTCCGGAGCCCTTCACTACGGCGTCTCTCATAATCATATGGTGGTTTTGGGACGTTAAACCCCACAAATCAATCAATCTTTTCGTGTCAAAAGTTACGTAAGCTTTAACTTACAGTGAATGCCTTTTTTCAAGAGTTCGAATATCAGATTTGTGCTTGTTTATTTTTTTGCTCAAGCATATCTCGTTTTAACGCCTTCACATTTGGTCTCTTGTGTCACTGTTTATGTTTACCACAATGAATCACATTGCGCACTGCTACAAATGTAATACATAGCAAGTGTAGTATATTCCATGACTTGTTGGTTGTGGAGCTCATAATGGAAATATAGGAGGTTGATGCTATGAGCACAGCAGTGCTCAGATGTCGATTTCGGGTTGGCGCATGCAGTGCCCCGTGATCCAATGCCTCAGTGGAGACGCATCGCGTGGTCTCCAGACTGCAGCTTGCTGGCCGTTGCACTGAGCACTGGGCGCGTTGAGTTCTTTGACACTGTGGGCAGCACACTTTTCCACATCCCAGAGGTAAGTGCTTCACTGATGCACAGCGTAAGTCGCTATGTCACTGTTGTTCCTCATTGAAAGTATGTTCTAAATTAAAAAAGAACAAACTCTGATGTCATGAACGATTTGACAAATAATCGAGAAAGGCTTTAATGTTGCTCACTGAAAATATCATTAATGCATTGAATGTAGTATAAAATGAAGTTATTTTCATAGGAGTGCCAGTAGTATTGTTTGGGATGTAGTGCTATAGTTCAGCATTTCAAGTGTGTGTGTGTGTCATTTCTCTCTTGTTACAGCCAGTGGTGCAGATTGAAGGAGTTCTGCACGACATCAGTTATGCCATGGCTGGCATTCTCTTCACCGAAGCTCGCGTGCACAAGACACAGTGGTTCGTGTTGTTTTATTTTTTCTGTATTTTTGCTGCAGTGTTAAAAGGGACAGCATAGGTTTTATATTTGTGCGTGAATCTCATATTTTGTGTTAACTTGGTGATTAACGCTCTGATACATAATTAAGTGCACATGCAACACTTACAGATCAAGTAGTTGCTAGAAATAGTGTACCCCTTTTTTAATGATGTAGGCCAAGTCAGTGAGGGTGAACCACCATTTTAAAATCTTTAAGTGGTAGTCGATATCATGCACCCTGGCATGCCGTGTCACTGTTAGGTGGGGATTCAAATGGTAATCTTCTCATGTTCACCGTGTTTTTCTTTTGCAGGTCCTATGAGTTCATAACAGTCAACTACAGGGGCGAGCTTAAAAGCTACCTGCTAAGGTATGATTGAAAGACTTTTTTTTTCCTTTGTTGGATCAATATTATAATCATTGCTTTTTTTGCTGCATTATGTATGTGTCAAATATGATGGTTTACTGTGTTAATTTTATTTTATTACTTCGGCCCCTGTTTCTATAGAATTGCCTAGCTTTTCTTGTAAAAGCTAAATGGTGGACAACTGCTCGAAGGGAGGGGTTGATTGCATCCTGCCCCCATCCCCCCATAAGTGATGCCTTTGCTCGATCATGTGTTGCTGTACATCCATTCACTTCGATAAACTTATCAACTATGAGTTAATCAGAACACAGGCATGCGCAGGGTTTATTGGTGAGGGGGGCAAAGTTTTATCCAAACCCCCACTTGTTGTTCAAGTCCAAAAGACAACATGTTCCACAATGGATGGAAAACAATGAAAACGAGGCAATGGGTGTGCTTCTCTCAGTGGTCTTGTGAAGAGCTCTTGGAATGCAAGATCAGGTGTCTTCGGCCACCATAATTGTCAGAAATCTGCGTAATCATAACCGTGCGCTTTAAACAATGCCGGGACGGGTTCAGCTGAGTAGCAATGTGGGGCACACTTCCTGCATCCCTCGTTAGATAATTAGGGGTTGTGCCCCCCCCCCCCCCACCCCGACTTGAAAAAGGAAATTTTTTCTCACAGTCCATTGCACGTATTTTGTGCCACGTGAACAGCCCATCTGAAGGCTACCGGGACAACCATACCCTGACCCTGGCGTCCTTCTACTCCAAGGGAGTGACCAGTGTCCAGTATCACCCGTCTCACCAGGTCCTCTTTGTGGCAGGCCGCTCACCCTTGCTCCCGGCAAGTGGAGATGATAGTAACCACGGCTCAGCCCTGGAATTCGGCATCACAGCCTGGCGGTTTCTCTCTGACTATCCCCATTACAAGCTGGTCACAACGCTCAGTGATGACATGCTGGTAAGTTATTGAGTTCTGTCAAAGTGATTCATCACCTATTGCGACCCGCTGTTGTATATAGGAAATATAAGACGTTGATTTTGTGACCCAAATGTTGCAGGATCAAATCCCGGCTGTGTCGGTTCCATTTGAGGGTAGCCATAATGCTGGAGGTCCGTGTATTTAGATTAAGGTTCTTGTTAAAGAATACAAGGCAGTCAAAATCTCCTGAGACTTCCCCTATGGCATCCCTCCTAATCAGATCGTGGTTTGGGGTTGTGAAACCCAATAATTATTATTATAATGTTGTCATCATTTACTACTGCCTTTCGAGTTTGTTATATTTCTGTCCGCTTATATTGATTCCTATGTGTGTGTATACATAGTATGGTTAGCTTTTGTGAATTTCCCGTTGATTGGTATTAAATGCCACCAAATGCAGCCATTTCTACAAAGCTTCAACTTCTGGATTTTTATGTGCACAGTATCGTTATGATTCTTATCGTAGCGGAGGACTCAGCATTAAATTTGTGATTTTCACTGATGTGTGCATGAATCTGAGTGCATGGTAGTCATCATAGTTTGCTGCCATCAAATTACAGCCATTATGGCCAACAACACCCATATGTTTTGCTGGCAAGCAACTTAGCCACAATGGCAGGCCATTTTATATCTTTATTCAATTACATCAAGCCGAATAGGTACAAAGTATTAGTGATTTTCATAATATAAACATTTGCATGTTCTGCCTTTTATTGATTTTTAGCTGTACATCAATTGAGCCCATGCAGGTGGGTGGTTTCGTAAGTTTAGCAATAAAAATTTTCAACCGACTTTTAATGTCCTGTCTGTCTATGACGAGAAGAATCTGTGTAAAATAAGCAAGTTTCTTCATCCATGAAGCATCTTTATCCTGTGTCAAACCCACCTTCACAGCCCAGTGGTGCTGTGTTGTATGGCTTGATGCGATCCCATAAGTTTAAGCCCCAACTCAGCAGATGCAGAATACAATGGTGCTTATGTGTTTTGGTTTAAGTTCACATGAAGGACCTATAGGTGGTTATAATACTTTGGCATTGCCTGCACTATGGCAGCCTGGTTTTGGTTTTGATACGTGCAACCCTAAATGTCACTTCATTTCTCTGTCATAAAGTGTATTTCCTTTCACGCATAACGTTCCCACACTTGCTTTTATCGTAGCGCATGAATCCAAGGCGGTTCTTGACGAAGATGAGCTTTTACTACAAGCAGACAGAGGTAAGTGGTCATCTATTTGACCTCATATGGTTTGGCATGTACGCTATTGGTCTGAACTAGCTGTTGTCACTTAGATGCAAGACAATGTTTTATATTGCATAAGTCACTATCATACTGCTCCTGCCTCTTTCTATCTGCAAGCACGAGTGTATACTAATATCTTATACACTTTCTTTACTGACTTATGTAATATTTGCATGCAAATATGTTGTTTGATGCACACTTCAGTTTGTTTCAGAAGTTCTAGAAGATACAGTATTTTTGCACGTATAACCCGCCCCTGCATATAATCCGCACCCCCACTTTCAGCTAACCGAGAAAGAAAAAAAAAATCCTCACGTATTGCCCGCACATTTGATATACAGGAAAGGCTGTACAAAAGCAGCTGCTCAAGCAACATAGCACATATGTAGACAGAAAAAGCTTTATTTAGCAAGCAGAATACGCTGTCTGCAAGGCCAGTCACAATTCACTCACTGTCGCTGCTCTCGCTAGAGCTATCACTTGAGCCGCAGTCCTCACTATTATGCGCAAGATCATCTTCGGTTCCATCCATGTTGTTTGTGATGCAGCATTTCTTGAAACTTTTTCGCACCATCTCACCTGGAATGGCCTTCCATGCCTCGACAATCCACTTGCAGAATAGGGCAATATCAGGCCTTCGGACTCGTCCTGTCGGCGTCAAGTGGTAGCAGCCTTCGGCCATTCACGCGGCGTAATAGCGCTTGACATGCGCTTTGAAGGGCTTGTTAAGCAACACATCTAGAGGCTGCAACATTGACGTCATTCCACCGGGCTAAGTCGGTGCCGTTGCGTGAAAGGCGGTCCTTCACTTTCTCAGTTGTGTGACCGCGGAACGAGTCAAGAATGAGCATGGACCTCTTTGCGAGCATCGCACCGGGCCTCTTCTCCCATACTGTCTTGATCCAGTCTACGAACAAGTCACTGTTAATCCATGCATTCTCGTGTGCGCGCACCACCACACCGGCAGGCAAATGAAGCTTTGGTAGAGTTTTTCTTTTCAAGATGACGTACGGTCGCAGTTGCGTGCCGTCGGCGAGGGCACAAAGCAAGACTGCGATGCGCAGTTTCGTGTTCCCGCTGGTCAGCACGCTCACCGAACTGCTGCCTGTCTTCTCAATCGTTGTGTCCGACGGCATTTCAAAATAAACAGGAGTTTCATCCGCATTGCCGATTTGCGAGAAAATGTAATTGTGCTCCTTTTGCAGGCCAATTACATATCTCTGGTACTTGAGCAGCTTCTCCTCATAAGAAGCTGGCAAGCGTTGATATATTGTAGTCCGCCGTCTGATTAAGAGCCCTTGCCACTTCATAAAGCGGTGCAGCCATCCGCGGCTCGCACGGAACTCGTGAGGTAAGCCTAGCTCCCTCGAAAGCCGCCGCGCTTCCACTTGGGCCATCACGGTCGATACAGCGTGACCCCTGCTTCTCACATCTTCGATGAACTTTACTAGCTCTGCCTCCAGCTCAGGGTAGCCACCGGTCTTGGGGCCACGAAATGATCTACGGTCGCGGTGCGCGGCTTGTAGGCTCTCTTTCTTTTTTCTTCACAATCGCACGCAGGACTCGTCACATCGTGCCGTCTTCCCGCTTCGCGATTTCCGAATTCCTCGGTGACGGCGATGATCTTAAGCTTTTGCTGTGCCATGAAGGCCTGCCGTCGTATGCTACTCATGGTGACACAACAGATCGACTTAGGCTTGGCGAACGGGTCGAGATGTGGAGAACTAGCGGCATCAGCGAGGTAAAGAGCGCTCACACTCGGCGACAACTTGACAGCACTACCCCACAGAACACCTACCAGTTTAACTACCCTTTCTAGTACACTGTAACAGCACCCTGGAAACAACAGAACCGAAATGCATGCCTGCTACCGCATCAAAAAGTAGTACATTAATTTACTGATAATATCTCTATAGGCACTATAATATCTCATTTGCCTTGCTGTAATAAATACTGCTTTATTTATTATGGAACTTACTTTATTTATTATGGAACTTTCTTAGACAGCACCACCTTTTCGGCAAGCCCTTTCCAAAAGTAAACTTCGGCGTCCGTGACGTAGGGACATGTAAAGGGTGACTGAGATGCCGCGAACGTCCCCAAAATATACTTGTTGTGTGACAGTGAGATTTTACACTGAACAATCGAATTGTCTCTCCCAAAATGTTTTTCTAAATGCTTCAACGATGCAAGCAAGCGAAACCAAAATCGGCCGCAAGCTGCCATGCTACTTGCGGAGCAACACGAATTTGCGCAAACCGCCTCCGTAGCTTTCGCTACACTGTTAAGGGGCTTCACAGCACAACACGCAATGCTGTGAAGCAGCACTATAGGAAAAACCCCGCGTATTACCTGCACCTCCACTTTGCCACTGAAATTTTTGGGTTTTTGGTGCGGGTTATACGCGCGAAAATATGGTATACATGAATGAACCCAATCGCTTTCATTGCTGTTGATATCACTGCTGTTAGTGGCCAACGTCAAGAGTGAATGTATGCAAAGCCCATCACTGCAGAGTCTGCAAGACTGCTCTTGCACTATTGCTCGTTTTTAATCTGAAACCAACTGTCACCAGTAATTTCCGTTCAGTTGCGACACACACTTTGGAGCACCTGGAACATGCCACCAGGAAAGCATAATGATCTATGCTGCTTGGTAGCATCACAGTGCAGTGCACCATATTTCATCATGCATAGCCCACACTCACAGGTGCGCTTAACCGTCCTAAATCATAATTAGGCTTTTGCAAATATTCAATCACTTTGAATATTCAAAGAAATGCTAACGTATTCCAATTTGCTTTGGTTTGATTTTAAATTATTAACGAAGTATTCGAATAAACCGAAAAGTGAATAATTATCTGCATGTAATCTCTTTGTAAAAGTGGTTTCACTGCAGTGTAGAGATGCTGTACTGTGATTACAGCTTTTCAGGAAAAATTCGCACTGCTGCAAAGTCCCCTCTTTAACATATTATCCTCACACTGATTCCTTCGTTTTTAAGTTTAAAAGCATGTTATACGGATTTATGTGCTCTAAGTATTGTAAATTTTTAAGCTATCTCTTGCATTCTGCTGAAAGTCAAATCTTTCAGCTATCCAAAGGTGATTCTTCTTCCTTTGAACCAAGAAGAATAACATTTGCACATGTCTTGTTTCAATTTTTAAAAAATATATTGTGCTTGTTAGTTTTGTCGGGACAGACATACTCATTTTTCTTCGTAGTGTGTGATGTACACTTTTCAAATTTGATCAAAAATTATTCGAACCAAATCACTTTTCATTTCAAACTTAAACCTCACTGTTTCACAAACCTAACCTTACTACATATTGTCACATTGTATTATTATAGCACATAGAAACCTCTAGCTAGCAATACACAAGAATATCGGGCTGGTCGAATCATTGGCAGGACAACATAGTGTTTGTCACAAGCTTGTTCTCATATTCTTTCTACAGTGGCACATACAACCTGCCAGTAATGATACGACATAATACTATACAATATTATGCTCGTGGCAATATGAAATACTTCAAACAATAATAGGTTCAAACCATAGCCCCAGAAATAATCAGTTAGAATGTATGTGGTAGAATCTGGCAGAATGTACGTGGTAATGTCTGATGTCTGTAATGGCGAGTACAGCCATTGTTGTCCTCTATATCGTTGCCTGTGGAAGGGCATGACGACTTCATCACCATGCACTTCTCAGCCATAAAGTCGCGCAGGGCTGAAGTCGTTCACTCCATGGCTGGGCAGCCTTCCTTGAAGCCAAGCAGCAATGCAAGCAAGACTTGCACGCAATCAGTGCTTCACACTGTAATCTTCTCGACTTACTCATGGTAATATAAATAAAATGGTGTCTTGAGGATGAAATTGAAGTAATGCATCACGTGTACAAAAATGAAGTTAACTAGAGACCAATAACTTTAAAGAGTAGCACCATTTTAATAAATATTAGTGATTATTTACTCTAATGTGATACATTGCAGGATATTGTTTACCAGCTAAGCATCTCCCCATCTGGAACTAAAGTGGCCGCTGCTCACACGTCAGGAGCACTTTCTGTTTGGACTGTTCCTTCTCTTACAAGGTTAAGCCTCTGGCGGCTGGAAGACATGGTACGAAATGCATTCCGGTGTATTGCCTCGTATGTTGAGTAAATGAACAGAGTGACTGCTCTCACTGAGCATATAGTGCGCTTTTTAGTTTTTCAATTCCTTGTTTGGCCCATTTTCTTCAATACTATTTGATGCCAGTAAAAAGTGAGCCACTATCATACAGAAGGACAATATAATAGCCAGCAGGTAAGCACAAGATCATTTCACCAAGCTTCGTCTATCAATATGCAATGAATCGCTGCTATGTGGTGCTGGTTTAAAATCAGCAGTGTACTACTAGGTGTATAAGTATAGTGAGAAGTAGACAGAAAGGCCACCAACTTATTGTGTTAAGTGCAACTGTGGCACCCATGTACAAATCGAGCATATCAAAATAAGCAGCTCAGTTTGAACGAAGCTATGAACATATTTTCATCATGCAAAAGCTCTTTACACATTAAGGTAACTGTGTAATGAGATAAATAATTACAGCTGAAGCCCCATTCCTACATGCAGCCCAAGTTTGACCACCTAAACCCTCAAGCGCACAAGCTGAACAAACGCCGCTACCTTTCTCTTCGTCCAGAGTCTGCACACCTCACCATTAGTGACATGAACTGGTGGTCAGACGATGTAAGTGAATTTTTTTTCATTTAGCTGATATATAGGCACTGCGTGTGTTGCATTGCACTGCTGAGACATAAGTACGCATGACGATAGTTATAGAGCGAGAACAAAACGACGACACAGAGACAAGAAGGACACAAGCGCTCGTGTCCTTCTTGTCTCTGTGTCGTCGTTTTATTCTCGCCCTATAACTATCATCATGCCATACCAAATAGCCCAAGCTGCCACACTTATAAGTACGCAGGCTCAATGCCTGGCCTCAGTGGAGCGAGGGGGCGTGGCATTGTAATATAATTGAAGATTTGGATCATGAGAACCCTGGACAATCAGAGATAATGCTAATGATTTCATTATAGTTTTTCTTATGGTTACTGTATTACACTCACACCTTACTATAACAAAATTGCATCCTGCAAAATAAGTTTGTTATATCCAAAAAATTGTTATGAATTTATATTCCTAACACTATGTCTATTTATATTCCTATATTCCTAACACTATTCTTTATTTAGTACTTCATTATAACTGCTATTTCATTATATCTGGCTTCGTTATTAGACGTGTAAGTGTACTTTAAATGTGAAACTCAGTAATTCAATCAATAAGTAATTGTTTTTATCTTATCTAACGGTCTAATAAATGCCTCCCTCATGTCCACTGTTTAGCACTTCATATGATTGAAATACTTGTCCGAAAGCTGCCAATTTTGTTCGGACTTGCTGTGGACTCCTCATTTTTGCAACCAGAATGCACATACACATGACTGTGCTGGCATCAGCTGTAGAGATGAAATTATTTGTCAGTTTGACTAAAGGGACTTCAACATATAATGGTCGCACCGCATATCTCTTTTAGTTCCTTTCAATATAACATGTTTTACATCGAATTATGAAATTATCATCCATTGCAGCCATAAAAAACTCATTGATTTCAAGCTGAGCCAGTCACATAGTGTTAAGCTTACTTTGTCATGCCCCATAATTGTCAGATTCACAGTCATTCAATTTCATCATGGTTTTACTGTACTCATTAGATTTTTCATTATTTTGAGCATGGAAAAATAGTTAGGCCAGCAACATGGTAGAACAATTGAAACAAAAATGAAATACAGTAAAACGAAAGGCACAATAGAAAATATAATATAAAAAGCAATGCAATGCAAAGTCAAATAGGACACACAGAAGTAATACGGAACAAAAGTAGAAAATGTGCACAAAAGAATTGAAGATGAAAGAAAAAAATGAACATGGGAAACAGAAATAAACACATAAAATAAATGAAGACAAGAGGAAAAAAATTACATGTTATTACTAAGGTGCGCAATCAAAAGTTAAAAAGAACGATTTTATTGATGTTTGGAACGGGATAATGGAGAGCAAAATTTTAGTTCAGCCAGCAAACTATTCCAAACATGAATGGTAGAGAATTTAGATGTTCTCTTACTATAGTTAGTGCAAATGGGTGATAGCAAGTAATTATGATTAGAAGCAAACCTGATGGGGTTAGCATTCTTGAGGGAGCTACATTCAATATATTGAAAGGAGAGCTGGGAATTAAATAATATACAAAACATTATACTTATGCTGTATTGAAATAATTTTTCAACAGACAAAACTTTGTGCTCATTAAGCAGGCTAAAGGCACCTGAACCAGAAGAACTGTAAGTTATGATGCATATGGCTTGATTTTGTATATGTTGGATGGAATGAAGATTTTCCTTTTTCCTAATGCTTTTGCAGCGCACCCTCTGGACAGACAAGCGCGAGATTGGGGATATGGTTCTTGTTGAGACCAACATTCAAATAAGGAGCGGAATGTAAATTACTCGTGTACTATGTTTCAATGCACACGACAAGAAACAGCGCGATCTAGATGGAACTGGGTGTCACCATTATGACTGACCTTGTAGCCCTCGGAATATTTTTACAGTGCCTGATCTTGGCTCATCACTCGGGCGCAGTCAAGGTAGTCTCCCTCCTGTCTCGACGAAACCTTTTGGGTGAAAGCCCAGAGTGGTTCGAGTTCTCACCACAAGTGTCTGGACTTTTTGATCGTGGATTTCTTACTCTTGAGGTTGGTGCCATTCCACTAGTAAATAGTGCACATCTAGCACAGACTTGTTACCTCACGTTACTGTGGTGAACACGGTTGGCATATCTTCAAAGAGAAGAACAAATTAACCAATGTAGCCAGAACAGTAGCCAATTGACAGCCGTTATTTTATTTTAGAACCAGAAATTTAACCAAACATGATTTCAGTTTAGTTGAATTGTCACCATATTCCCATGCTTGAAAATACAAAAAGATGCATCACAGCATTGTTTACCACATCAAAATAGAGTAAAAAAAATATCAGGCAAGTTCCTAGAGGAGGCATTAAGACTAGAAAATCGGCAGTTAACACTGTGCTGACAGTCAAATGTACGTAATCGGGTTCACTTTTGCCAGCATACTCTGCGGCACCGTTATTGTAGAGCGAGAAAAGTACTTCGTATTTCCCACTAAATGGGGTGCCATATTTACTTAATACAGTTAATGTAGAACTTGTAACGGCTTTCAGTCCAAATTTGATCCTGATGATCACTAGAAGTTCTTGCATTACTCGATTCCTTAAGTCGCTTTTTGTAGATGCACAACAGAAAACACTCGCTCCGATAACAAGAAGTTATGCAATGTCTTGCACGGGATTAGCACCTGATGCATCGTGGTAGGTTTGTATTTTCCTCCACAATTCCATTGCTATGATGTCGGCACTCACATCTTCCACTCAATAAAGGTGGCGTACTTGATCCTCAGTAGGTGCTCGGGGGAACCAAATAGTATGTATAATGCGTTTATCGTATTCAACCTCTTAACATATGATGAGTCTGCAGCTAGAGTCACGTGAAAAAGAAGACCGGCTGGGGTCTTCGCATGCAAATGTTTTTTATTGCGTCTGTGCTAACAGATGATGCAAACAACAGCCTAGGGGCATTCAGATAATAAAAGCATGCAGTGCATTGTGTGGGCACACAGTGATAAAAAACGAGCCTGTCATTTTACAAACAACTAAAGCAGAACAGTCGACATAAGAAACATCATGGCTGACGAGTGCAGCAGCGTCGGCAAAGAAAATATTAATCCAGAGTGAAAAATGACTGCAAAAACAGCTAAATGCGTGCGCTTTGCGCCAGGCTTCTATGAGCCACGCGCATTCATTTTTCGTCAACGTTCTCCTAGTATGGCGCCACCGATGCAGCTGAGAGCATTAGCGCGCGAGGCGGATAGCGGCTAAAAAGCCTGAATGAGCCTCCCGCCAGCTACGTAACAGTGCGGCCTATCCTTTATGAGTTCCGTTAATAATGTGAAAACCTTGGCGGCCGGCACGTGTTTTAAGCGCACGCAATTGATTCCGGTATACTGAGTAAAAAAATGTGATTACCAAGAGAGTTTAATCACAGCCAGCAGTGTGAATGAACATTTACTACTTTTTTATAGCTGTATTTTTCATAGTTGTGTTTGGTTTTAGCGTATATTAGCTGCTGATGACAGCGCCAGAACAGTAGCCAAAAAGTAGCCAAGTAGCCTACGTGACTTTTTTGTCGCAGCGGCCTCTTGAAAGTAGCCAATCTGGTGTAAAGTAGCCAAATCTGGCAACCCTGGTGGTGGGTTACGAGCGAGAAAGAGGTGACTTATCGAGGGCTTATTTCTTTTGTCAGACACAGCCTAATGAAACCAATAGAGAATGAAGCCAAGAAATGTGTACTCCCAGGACAATAACTGCATGTTTTAAATGTACTACTGTAACAATGACATTTATGGAAAGGAATTAAAGTAGATAAAAAATAAACTTGCTGCTGGTAGGCACTGAATCTACCACCGTTGTGCTACTTGATGCTAGCTCGCTACAAAACTGTCTTCCGCAGGCACTGTCATGGTTGCGAGCAGCGCTGGCTAACACTTCCACGACTACACAAAACTCAAACACCCAGTAAAGTGAATGTGGAAAATTACTGCCACTATAGTTCACTTAGTAGAGCATTGGAAAGATTATCTGAATGTTGCAGGTTCAGTCCTCACTTGCGGCAGGTTGATTCTTTGTCCACCCTTAATTCTTTCCATTTACATAATATAATTACTGTGCTACAGTTAAAACATAAAAGTAATGTCCTCTACACTTCGCTTAGCTTCATTGTCTGTTGGTTTCATCAGGTAGAAAGTGACAGTTATTCATTTTGTATTCGTATCCTGTATGGTGAAACTACACTGACTGTACAGCTGATGGCTAGTCTATAATACTGCAACTGCTATAGTTAATCGGAATTTACCAGATGTTTGCCGCAATAGCGTGCCAGCTCAAGTTTTTGGGACGATTAGCCTAAGGCAAGCGATTTCTCTGTTACGTTCAGTGTGACCTAGTTTCTGTTACTCTTCTGGCACTTGTCCTTCAGTGCTTCAGTATTCTTGAACAGGACACTTAGAATGTACATTGTGGTCATAAAGCTGTCGTAGACCATCTGTTAAGAAAGGAAAGGATGACAACTACCCATTTCTAGCACGAAGCCACAAGGAAATCAGAACAGATTTCACAGAAAGGAAAAGCTTTCTAGTTGCCGAAAATTTTGTCTTGGTCCAGGGTTTTTTGGCAACTAAGAGGCTTTTCTCCCTGAGAAATTCGTTCGTATTTCCTTGTGGCTCTGTGCCACAAAGGGGTGGTTGTATTCTTTCCCTTTTTTAACCCTTCCTCCACCTTGCGAATTTGCGCAGAACTCTTCTGCAAGACCATCTGTCGCTTGCTTCAAGACACTTCACTTGCACAACCTTAATAAAGCATTTTACTTAGATACAATGAGTGCTGCATGATTGGCCCCATAATGACAGCCGGAGGCTCTCAGGCGTTGTACTTATCTTCGTGTGCCTATGTGATGTGCATGTGGCAAGATGCCCTACAAGTTTCCCTTCTTGACATGTGGCCTAGCTTGCTAGTACAGCTCAGGCTACCACACGCGAATGTGAAATAGAAAATTGACTGTGACATATTTTTTGCATCTCTAATCGTAGGAACTTCTTTAGAGCAATCGGAAAGCTTTGCAATGTTTTTTTTATGCATTGAACATAGTATAACAAAAAGTTGTACCACATATGCATGACCATCTTTGAGTGGTCTCTTGTGTCTAAGCTCATTCGATGAGTACTTGGAGAAGGGCCTCATGACCTCCTGAACAACCGCAGGATGGTAGAAATATTCAAAGGGCAGTACAAAGAAAGTATTTTAGCTACTTACACCTTTAAGGGGGTTGTAAATGAAAGTGAATCACTAAAAATTATGCTGTTACATTTGGTGACCCAAGCTAGACATTTATCAGTATTCAGCACACTCTGCAAAACTGGGCATGTTTTGTTGTGCTGACCTGAAATTTTCAAACTTACACAGTGAAGTAAACATGAAAATTATTCAGGTAACCCAAATGACTGCAGTGGCACTGCCTGGTGCAAGATAATGTGCCTCTCTGTTGCACTGCAGTGCGAGTGGCTTTTTGCTGGAATCAGAACTCCCGTTGACACCATCGATGCTGGCGAGAGCAGTGACGAGGAGACCTTGCCCCCGTCGCTGTCTGGTAAAGCTAGCAGTGTGTTCCGACATGCCCTCTACTACGTCACCGACAGCGAACGCTTTGCACCGCCAAGAAAAAAGCCCATGTACGTGGAGGCAGCGCTCAACTTTTACTGTTGGTTTTTATTCTTGCACTCCTCAATCACTACTGCAACTACTACTACTACTACTACTACTGCTGCTGCTATTACTACCACCTCCACTACCACCATCACCACCTCCACATATGTCACTTTGGGAAGTGGTAATAAATTTATTAAGAATGAAATGAAGTTCTCTTTCTCAGTATTTGAGAGAGAAGTTCTAAGCCTTAAAACTATTGTTCTGCAAAAGCTAGAACCATGAACTGGTGCACTCATTGCACTCCTTGGCATGTGTAGAATTCAATGACATTTGTTTCAACAAGATCTATGCAGTATGTTTAATGACCTTAAAATGAAATGATGCTTTCTTTATTTGTTTATTTTAAAATTAATGGTATAGTCTACATGAAAACTGTGTTCATATTTGATATCAGCACAATAACACGCATCATTATTGAAGTTTTTGTTATCCTAGCTTAAATAACATAACATTTTATGTCTAAAAACTGCTTCCCCATACAAGAAAGAGGAGCTTGTTTTCACTTGGCTTTTCTAGGATCATTTGTTTCTTGGCTTTATGAAAGGGGTATTTATTCTCATTCCTTGTCTAACATGATGTTGACTAGCATGTGTCTTTTAAAACAACTGTAGGTTGTTATTTTTGACAAAGAAATTCATTATGCACTTTTTAAGCATGCTAATCCATACAGTCCACGCAATACACTCAAACCTCATTGTAACCAAGTTGCATCTTACACGAAAATAAGTGCGTTATATCCAAAAATTTGTTGTAAAGGTTTATTTTAATGCTATATCTATTGCAAGACCATTTTTCATTTACTTCATTATAACCAATATTTTGTTAGATCTCGGTTTATTATATCAAGGCTTGATTGTAAATAGTGTAGTTAACTTTTTATTTACCCATAGCACAGAAATTAAGCCCATTGCTTGGGGTATTCCTGTTTTTATTCAGAAGAAGAAAATGGTTTATGTGCCAGTGCCAATCACATAACCTCTTTGACGGCTTTGTTTAGGTATGTAATTACCTCCTTTTTTTTCTTTTTGTCTAGAATCATCACTAAGCTTTATCGACTGCTGTGCGTGAAGTCGACAACACCAGAAGAACTCTTCGCAGCCAAGGTAGATAGCAGCAATTTCCTTGTTGCTTGTAGTTCAATTGTACAACTTCACATACATGGAAAGTGAAATACTGTTACAGTCGAGCCCGACTATATCGAACCCGTTTATATCAAATTATCCCATATATCAAACAATTCCTAAACACGGTAAGTTTACATTGAGAATATATAGCAAAAGTTACTGTTTTATTGAACGAAAATAGTAACGACAACTGATATATCAAACTCCATGTGCCTCAAAAGTGCCCCAGCAAGTTGGCTTTCCCTCGCTGTGTCGAAGAAAACTGCCGGCGCCACCCTAGAAAAAGTTGGTTAGACCCGGCTGTGTGCGAACACCCCCCTCGAAGAAATGATCCTGGCCCGCTCGCAGCGCTTACAGCCAATCAGAGGCCGTCGTGCTTTCTCCAAGGCGTGGAGGCGGTAGAAGTGAGCCCCATTTTTTCTTTCTTTATGCTTGTGTGCCTGCTGCTGCCGATTCAGCGTGGTCTGTGTTGTTGCCTGTTGGTGCTCTGTGAACTGTATTGGTGCACTGTCATCATGGCTTGCGCAAAGAGGCAAAATTTGCCGTTCGCCGCGAAACTCGAAATCGTCAATCGGGTTGAGCACGTTGAAAAGAAGTCCGACGTCGCCGCCGCGTACAAAATTCTAAGGAGTACCTTGAGTACTATCCTGAAGAACAAGGCAGACATCAGGGCAAAGTTGGACAAAAGGTCAGGTGCCCGTGGCACTTGACGTGTGCGTGCTTCTGTGTACGAAGATGTTGAAGCGACTGTTTACAAGTGGTTTGTGGACGTTTGGTCACGAAACATCCCGATGTCCAGCCCTATGATCGAGCAGAAAGCCAAGGACCTTGCTTTTCTGCTTGGCAGAAATGATTTTCAAGGCGGTTCAGGCTGGCTTCAGCGGTTCAAAGAACGGCACGACATCGTTGGCAAAGCTGTTACAGGTGAAAGCAGAGCGGCAGACCTGGACAGCTTAGAAAAATGGCTGGAGGAAAACTGGCGAGATATCGCAGCAAGATATAGAGCCCAAGATATCTTCAATGTGGATGAAACCGCTCTATTTTGGCAAATGTTGCCAAACAAGACACTTGTGTGTCATGGCGACAAGACAAGCGGCGGCAAGGCAAACAAAGCTTATGTGTCCGTGCTGTTGGCAGCTAATTTAGACGGATCGAAAAAGCTTCGACCTCTGGTTATCAGGAAAAGCACGGCACCGCGGTGTTTTCGAAATGCGCTGTCGCTTCCAGTTACCTACCGAGCAAATTCAAAAGCGTGGATGACCGGGGAGCTTTTCAGCAGAAGGCTATCGTCGTGGAATGATGATTTGGTAGGCGAAAATCGCAAGGTGTGCCTGCTCGTGGACAATTGTTCATCACACCACTGCAGTACGACCTTCAGCAACATCGAGCTGCGTTTTTTGCCCCCGAACACTACGTCTGTACTGTAACCACTGGATCAAGGCGTTATACGCGCAATGAAAGCCGGCTATCGGAAGCGCCTGGTGGAGAGGCTGCTGCAGAACCTTCGTGTCGGCAGGGAGCTTAAGATCAACTTGTTCGGAGCTATTTCTATGTTGAGTAGATCGTGGGCAGATGTCAAGAAGGAGACAATCCAGAACTGCTTTAGGTATGCCGGCTTCCGCATGCCTGGTGATGACACCCCAAATCCTGACAGCACTGAAGACACCGCAGGTGTTTCCGCCGAAGTTTGGAACGAGCTGGCAGAGTTCCCGGGTGCTATTGACGGATCGACATTCGACGAGTTCGTCAGTGCGGATGATGATGTCCCCATCATGGGCCAATTACAGGATGAGGATTACATTGCAGACGTCGTGCCGACCACGAGCCAAAGCAACAGCAATATGGAAATCGACAACGGCCCAGCGCCTACATCCTCCGAAGTGGTTAGGGCACTTGCGTTGGTACGGCACTATTGCTTGAATGTGGAAGGTTGCGGCCTCGTCTGCTCCAATTCGTTGGACGACGTGGAGGCGTGCGTGCTGTCGCAGGCAGCGAAGTCGTTGACACAGAAAAAAATCCGGGACTATTTTGTTCCACAGTAGTGCACGCAAGTAAGCCACCATATTAATAAAGTACTTTTCTTCTAGTTTGTTATGTGCCTTTGTGTCAAAACCTATACCAGGCCTATATCGAATTATGCCATATATTGAATTAATAAACGTTTCTTGGCGAGTTGGATATACCCGGGTTCAACTGTATAATTTATTATGTTATAATAAAGAAATGGATGTAATAATAGCATGTAACCATAATTGATCAATCTTACTTAGAAACCCTTGCACTTGAAGTGTCATCCTAACAAGTAAATGTTTACTGTTAAATTTATGTATATGACAAACTATTTGTAGTTCAGAATGCAGCATAGCCACCCATTTTGAAGAATTGAAGAAGGGGATGCTTTAATGGAGTAAATACAACTTCTCCTTGACCTTCATTAAAGCAAGATCTCTCTCTCTCTCTCTCTCTCTCTCTCTATATATATATATATATATATATATATATATATATATATAGGGCAGGTGGAGGGAGGGGGAGAGGGCACATTAGCTTTCCAACGTGGCCATGATTTTCCGAAAGCTGGAGCGGGTCGTATGCTTCTTGTTTGTGTGTGTGTGTGGCCCGATGCCGCGGGCCAGCCGCCGAACCACGTGAACTTAAACTCGATCCATGTGTGGGATGCGAGTAAGCGGCAACATGTTCCACATTTTTCCGTTTTTCTTGGTCGCCTCCGCTGGCGGCGCGTCTTACCTATACCCAGTAACAATGCCAGAATTACCCGCTCGTTTCCGGCGGCTCTCCGTCGCTCCTTTCTAGTTCCTCTCCTTCTTCTGCTTCTTGTTGTCTGTTGCTACCTCGTTCGCCCGCTTGTCTCTCTTGAGGGTTTTTAAACTGTGAGGGTGACCCTCTGCTACGGGAACTTGTATCCTTTCACTTACATCCTCCGAAGAAGGCTGGTCCACCAGCCGAAACTGTTAGGATTAAATAAATATTTTATTGTTTTGTTTCCTATACTGCACTATTCTCGAAGTTTATAACTTTTATTACGGTAGCCGGAAGAAACTCTGATCATCTATTTCATCCATATATATATATATATATATATATATATATATATATATATATATATATATATATATATATATATATATATATATATATATATATATATATATATATAGAGAGAGAGAGAGAGAGAGAGAGAGAGAGATGCATGCACACACACTCAACAGGGTGTCCCAGCTACCTAGGACCAAGATTTTTCAAAAATGTGTGCTCTAGGATGATCCTGCGTGTTGTACATTAGGGGTAGTAATGTGTACATACAACCTTTATTTTTTTTTTCAGGACAAATCACTAATTAATTAACGCTAATTAGTCAATTTTATTATTCTTGCTCGAATCAATAAAATATTTGCTGTATACCTCGCCTCACGTAACCCCAGAAAGAAGCTTTCATTTTTCACTGAAATCTGCCTAGTTGTATTTTCTGAGGTAAAACAATAGTATGCGAAGCACGTGAAATATGAAACAGACACGAGCTCGCATGCCACTATTGGAGCACTTGCAAATTTTTTTTAGTTGATACACGGCTACATTCGTTTGTTACTGCACTGTACAAAGCTTCACGCTCCAAGGTGGAAGCTCCACCAACATCTTTTGATGCACGTTCATCGAATAGCATGAGGCCCTGTACAATGAACAAACACAAGCATGTGTCACCTAAATGCTGAGAAGTGCTGGAGTAGCGGCGCACAAGCGCACCTATTTTATATTTTGCGCATTTCATGTGCTTTTGTTTTTTTTTCTAGGAAAAAACAGCCAGGCAGTTTTCAGCAAAAAATAAATGCTTCATTCTTGGGTTATTTCAGGCGAGGTTCAACATGAAGTAAATATTTGAACGATTCAAGCAAGTTGGCTAATTAAAGTTAATTAGTTAGCACTTAGCCATGAAATAAATACAGGTTGTATGTACACATGACTACCACTAATATGCAACAAATTAAGCTTTTGTAGTACGAATGTTTTTTTTTATTTTAATCTTGGTCCAAGTTAGCTGGGCCATCCTGTGTGTGTGTTTGTGTGGGTGTGTGTGTGTGTGTTTGCACGTGCACACAAGACTTTGCGGTATCCCAAAACAGTCAACCTTGTGATGATCAACTTAAAGATGTGTAATTTTCTGTTGTTCCACAAAGGCTGCCTTTTAATTTCTTAATACTTCCACCTCCCCCTTTTTGTGTCTTATATTTATACATTTCTACAAACTGCTATATTGCTTAAAGTACGAGCCACTACAATTAAAACAGTTTCATAATATTGCTTTCTGTTTCCTTTCACCACACAGCACCCCTAAAAGAAACTTCTGGTTTGAGTGCACAGGCATGCGTACGGGGGGGGGGGGGGGGGGGAGGCAAGAGGAGGGTACAAAGCTTGCCCCATACATTGGCATAATAGGGAGGGGGCATAGGGGGTGGGGGGCTGGCACAAAGCCAGTCTCATAAATTGATGCAAATGAGTTCTGCGGAGACCCGCAAAGTGGAAGAAGGGTTATGAAAAGGAAAATAGACAACCACTCCTGTGGCACAAAGACACAAGGAAATCCGTACGGATTTCTCAGAAAGAAAAGCCTCTTAGTTGCCAAAAAATTGTCCTGGTCCAGGGATCGAAACCCGTGACTAACGCCATTCCGGGGCGGTCACTCTGCCAGTTGAGCTGACCAGGATGCTAGCAATATCCAAACTTTTTTTACGAAAAGGGCACAAAGTCAACCACGTGGATTGACATAATAGGGAGGGGGCATGCACACGGAGGGTGGGGGGCAGGGTGCCTAGTCAGCCCTATATGTTGACGTAATAGGGAGATGGGGCTGTGACGAACCTATGCCCCTCTTTCCCCTTTTGAAGGGATTCCTGTGCATGCTGATGTTCAAGTGCATATGGGTATATTGTGTAGCCCTGAGTGAATTGTTTTTGTTATTGTTGCTAAGCAAACCCAAGAGTGCCGTTCTAACTGCAAGTCATGGTTTGCTTTTAATTCTGCAGAAAACATAAATGATTTCTTGAATCTGCTTGTAGATAGATGCGGAAGAGTACGGTGAAGCATTGGATTTGGCTCGAACCTATGGATTGGACAGCGACCTCGTCTACCAGCGCCAGTGGCGCAGGTCATCCGCATCTGTTGCAGCTATCCAGGATTACTTGGTACGCTTACTCAAACGTTATATGTGATTATCTCCAGCCAGAAAGCAATACATTGCAGACTCTCAGAAAGAGTTTGCTGGAAAGCAAATCTGACTGCTGTCTTGTTCTGCTCTGTATTGCTTTATATTTTACAACTGCTCCACTATTTCCAACTTCTGCGTGACATAAGCTTTCACTTCCTAGCACAGTTATTAGTCAATCTGCAACACGTTTTGTTTTCCTTTTTTTATGAAACACACACAATAAGGCAGTGCATAGTGCATATGTGACACCAAATGGTGTGAATACTTAACTTGTGCATTGATTGTTTAGTTGGTTGCATAGAGCTAGAATCGCTTCTTATATATTGGAGTACTATATTGTACTGTGCTGCGATTTTTCTTGCATTGCCCCATAATAGTGTTACTTACCAGTTTGTATCACACTTTTAACATCCTCCTAATTTAGTACTGTTTCCTAGGCTGTGGTGACTGTTTCTTATTGGAAACACAAGTATCTAGTTCCTGATGCAAGCTTACTTTGCTAATGGACAGCTACTTCAACGATGCAGTATCATGTTCGCAGATGGCGTTCTTGTGTAAATGTATATTGTGCATGACGAAATTGACGATTTGGAAATAATTTATCTAGTAGGAAGCACATAAATGGAAAAAAAAAACACACACACACGCATGCAAGGAACATCAAGCAATACTGAGATGGTTTAAAAAATTCAAGACGTTTTTTTTTATTTTGTACGGACTCAAAGTTTTCAAACGATTTCAACATTGATGGGAATTCTTTTGTCTTTTTTTTTCATATGGTGAACGTGCACTAACTGCATTTATCTGTGCATGTATTAGTACAAGTACGCAGCTAATTGATTTACTTAAACTTGCTGAAAACAAGATTACATTAATAGCAACATTCAAGTAGAAAGCCCAGGCCTGTAGTTACCTGTCACGGGGCGTTTGCAGTCTCTCCCAAACTTCAGTGTACATAGACAGGCCTGAGACACCGTTTAATTGTCAACCTCTCTTATTATACTACTGCTATACCACCTCTCTTTGTTTGGCTATTGCGTATGCTTTTCTCTCCCTCAATAAAAATTTGCACAGTACCTGGTCACTGCTGTGGTATCGCCCACCTCCAACTCTCTGCTCTGCTGGGCCTTTATTGCAGAACAGTGCAAAATACAGGACAGTGAAACACGCAGCACAGAGCATCTGTGTCTAGTGTGTTTCACCGTCCCAAATTTTATACTGACCTCCCACTATGTTTGTGAACCACCTAGCTCACCTAAAAATTCTTTTGCTGGATCACCTTGCTGTTGATTTCTGTTGTCCCTTTGGCTTTCGCATTGACAGAGCAAGATCAAGAAGTGCACCTGGGTGATTCACGAGTGCATGGAGAGGGTTCCCGAAAACCTGGAGGCGGCTCGCCAACTGCTCGAGTTTGGGCTCCAAGGCACGGATGTGGAGGCCCTGGTTGCATGTGGGCAGGGCAGAAACAGTGGAAAGTATGCATAGAATCGGCACTCTCTGCTTGCTTAATTGTCTTTATAATCTCAGACCAGCATGTGGAAACTGACACCAAACTGTTGGTGTTTTGTTTTGTTTTACTTTAGCGATGGTCATTGTTCTCGGTGATAAAGGCGATGCTCATCTCACGGTCTGATGTTGCTGTTATGTGACAATGACAATAACTAAATTTGGTTGGTGTCATTTATGGTTTTGACGATGGCATTTCCTTCACTGTGCGGTTACAATGAAATACTTTATTAACAAAAAAAACAATGCCATAAAAGGTTACGAATATATTTCATTATAGCATTAATCAAATTTGTTCTCAACAAATGACTCATAAATCACTGCCTGGGGAAACATTACATCTTAGCTGTGCTTCACATGCATGCAAGCTTTCTGCAGTCATGAATTAGAGCCCAAGTTCCTCAACTGCACAAGCTTGGAATAGAGTTTAAGGGTCTGACACGAAGATCTTGTGTCTCAACTTTTTATTTTATTGCTTTATTAGATAACTGCGATAGCTGCCGTCTCTACAATTTGGTACGAGACTTTCTAACTCGAACGACAATTAGTGATATCAATGTTTCAATATGTGTGTGCCTAATTGAAAGTTTCTTCAGGCATTTTGAGCAGCACCCATTCACTCAGAAAATAATATTCGCTTGAGTTAACAGTTCTCAAGTAACAAGATAGTGTCCAAAGGAAGAGAACTGAGGGAAGTGCATAAAATTAATAAAGTTATTAGGATAGGAAATTTCTGCACTCTCAAAATACTGCATGATAGGTTAGACTGATGCATGGCTGTGGTAATAGCAAATCATCAGGATATCTTGCCTAAGTCCTGCAGCTAGCCCAAACAAGCTGATTGGTTGTGTTCTAGTAACAGCGCTCTTTCTTGTCATTTTTGCCTCTTCCTGCAGTTGTCGATATTCGATATTATTTGACCCAACTACTACTCGCTTCAAACCTAAAACTCACTCTCTACTCAAGCCTGTTGATTTATTTTTCCAAGTCTTTCCTACTGTTGTTTTTTCTGTTGCAGGTTCGTTCTGAGCAAGCCACCTGTCTACAACAATGAGTACGAGGACAAGGACCTCTCCGAAATACAGCTTTTAGAGAAGCAGAAAGCAGCCACGCAGCAGTGGCGGAAAGAGTGGCTCACAAAAGTGGACTTTCACAAGTGAATACTATTGGAACTTTGTAGTCCTGGTCCTTTTGTATGGCACTGAAATTTTCATCAAGCAGATTAGCAGGCTTATCATCAATCAAAGGCAGGCAGTTACAAAAAAAAAAGCTTTCTGTCTTTTTTTAGTGCAAAAACATTGTTGTACTAAATTTAGGTGTACAATAAGAGGAGGAAATTTACTTAGAGGTACCCTGAACCGCCTCCAATATTTCTTTAACATCTTAAGCAATCAGGCACATAATGTTTAGAATGTTATACATGGCTACATGGATGTGCTGTGCCACAGGCAGGCCACAAAGTTAAAACAATAATCTCCTGGTTTTCTCTGGGCTTTTCTGTTTTTGCCTGTTTATATGCTAGCAAGTGCACCTGCTTCCCGCTCTCTCCGGGCTGGAGAGAAGAGCCAACAAACTGAGCGTAGCGAAGAAAAGAGTGAAAGGAGCAAGGGCCACGTTTTAATCTGCAAACATTTCTAACTCTGCTATTACGACGCTGTTTTGCAAAGTTCTTGTGGCTCTGTGTTCGTTGTAGACTCGTGCACTACTGCAACAATGCAACTTGACTTCAACTTCTGGATGGTTTAGGGGCCGTTCACCGAGAAACTTTCAGTCCTTAAACTTTTTCTCAGTGGGGCACATACACAATCTTTCATAACTTCCTAGCTTTCTGATCAATGCTGTTCCTCTTTTTTTTGACCCGCAGCTTGTCTTTAGACCAACGGTGGCTCTGCGAATGCCGCTTGAAGCTTCTTCTGTACCTAGACAGGCTGGCCATGTATGAGGTATGTCTGTTACATCATGCAACAAAGCTGAATTAATAGAACATATACTACAATCAGCCGGGACTGAAATATTACCAACAGAAAGCAGCTGTGAAGTGCATTGTTTAAACCATTGTCTAAACTGAAAAAAATTTCAGTTTCCGCATTTTAAGAACTTTCATAGGCACATGTGTACAAGAGCCTGAGCAGAAACTGATGCCATCATGCAAGCTATCATTTCTTCTTACAGAAAAAAAAACTGAAGTGCTGTTCATCCAGCATGGCTTATAGAATAATACATGGCAAATAGTAATTTGAATGCCAGGACTTATAAAAACTGGGCTTATGCAAATAATGAACTTTAGGTTCGGAGCGAATAGTGATATTGGTTTTATAATTTCAAATTGAATATTTAAAGAAAAAAGAAAAAGGTGCATATTTGTTGTTACCCAACTAACCTGCACAACACACGCACACACACACACACTCATGCACGCACACGCACGCACGCGCAATTGATGTGTGGTATTTAATGTTCCCGCGACCTGCAGGGTCTGGTACTTATAAGAAAAGAAGCTGGTACATGTACGAGAAAGCAAGCAGTTTCTTTATAGATTTACATTTCGGCCGCGGCACAGCCTTCGTCAGAGAATGAAAAGTGAACAAGGCATATGCCGCTTTTAAGGGCCACTGATATCTCAAAAAACATCAGGAGTTCAAAATCAAACATCGGTGACAATTCATTTTGATCTATCACCTCGTGTAACAAGAAAAGTGCTACAACTTAAGAAACGTATGACTAGGAAGCCATCGCATCAGCGAAACATATAAACCAGTAAATCGATTGTGAGGCCGCGAAAGAGACAAGAGAGCTTAAGGCTACTTGAGTGGCAAAACAGATATCAATCACATGTACTTCGGCACGGTACACATAAAAGTACTGAAAGATCAATTTTTTCTTTTTTTGTTTTTACAAGTCACCATGGTTGCTATACAAAATATAGAACGTGCGACTTATGCGGTGGTAAAAAAAAAAAGTGGGGCGCATTGGGGAAAAAAGAGTGCGTGTGACGGGAGGGGGGAGGATAGTGTATGAATATGATAAACTTTGTCACCCACAAAGGAAGGTGACACGTCTGATGCTTTCATTTATGCCAGCGTGAAGACTGTTGAATTTATTGATGAGGTAGGATTGGCGAACTTCTCGGTCATCATGAGTTTTAAATCCAGACTGTAGTATGGTATCCTTGATGTTCGCAAAGGGGTGACCTGGCATCTGGACATGTTTTGATAGTGGAAGATGAGGTAGGTTAGAAGCGTGGGCTCTATGGTTGTTAAAGCGTAACCTGAATGACGTTTCGGTGTGACCGATGTATTGCCGGTTGCATGTGGAGCACTCAAGCATGCACACAACATTGGCGCTGTCGCAAGTGAAGTCTCCGTCGATTCTCATGGTAAAGCTTGAAGCGCTGCTAGTTACGGAGTGCGAAGTTGTCATGTGTGAGCATACCTTACAACGGGGTTTATTGCAATAAACCCCGTTGCCAATGCCACATATATGAGCATGGCTTGTGTCAGTTGCCTTTTTTTGATTGCTTAAAACGTACCACATGTCTCTTTGCAACAGATCTATGAGGAATTGACACTGTCTCCTGAGAAGTTTGATGCTGAGTTCTTCGAAAGCTTTCGATGCCAGCCACCGCTTGAAGCGGCCCTTTCATTCGCACAAGAAGGCAATGCCCCGGCCGTGTCAACGTTGTTCACCTACGCTGGTGTGGCCACTCTGCCGCACTGGCTCACTGTTATGAGCAACTTCCCAGAGACCCTGCCTCCATCTCATTATTCCACTTGCCTTCCCAAGGCCAGGTAGGGTTGCCTGGCTTATCTTTTGCTTGTAATAATTTATCAGTATATCAGGACGCCAAGGCCAGATAAAGTTGCTTGTATTGCTTTTACTTTTCGCAATTTATGGTTATTTGGGGACAACATAAGACCTTAAGCACTGCTCGCAAAACTGCCTCTTTGGTCAGAAGAGAGAGAGAGAGTACCTAAAAGATTTTAACGTTGAATGTCCAACTTTGTTGATTGTTCACTTTTATATCACAGATATAGTAAACATTACTAGCTAAGGCGTCTTAAGAAAAATAATATTTCATGTGTTTAAGTTGTGTAGAAACGTATTTGCCACGAATTGCATGGATAGGCGGTCACCAACCATGACGCCCTTTCATTCCATTCTTCAGGATAACAGAACAAGGCACACGTGAAGTGATCTCATGGGATACACAAGACCTTAGGGAGAAAGATTGGTGTGAAGAAATGATTCAAGAGTAAGAAAGGAGCTCATGGAGCATTTTTTAATATACCTCATTTATTATTATTCGTGTTTATATTTGTCATTTTAGGGCACCAATGGTGGCTGTGTGGAATGCATATGACAAAGATTTCTACGATGACAACCCTTTACTGCAAAAGTGGTGGTGAGTTTTTCACACTTCATCACTTCATTCCCTCCGGCACTCAGTATACATCACTCTTGTTTAGCACTACTACCACACTACAGTAAGCCCACATGTAACCAAATCGATCGTTGCTCCAGTGTCTCATTTATTTGATCCTCAGTAATACCAAAAGCTCGATAATTTGATATCATCCTCTGGTTCCTGCAATTCAATGCGATGTTGTTCCTGACCTCATTACATATAGATGTGCCTGACACATTTGACACATTGACATAATGCAGAAGGCATAGAGATTTAATCAGTGCCAGTACTTTCACCTACTGTGTGTCCTCTTATGCAACATGCATGGTTACTTATAAATTACCTAAATATAAAGCGCAGAGTATGCCTCTTCAAGATCACCCGGCTTTTTTTATTCTGATGGCTGAAGACAGAATGACTTGCACTTCCTAATCAATATTCTGAATCATAAAATGCTTGTAGGAATCGAGCCCACTCTCTCCTTTTCCGCCTCATTCCTCAGCTAGCGCGATTGCTGGCACCGTGCTCCTCGTGCTGCAAAAACCGCCGTTAATCGGCAACAGGGCCACCTTGGCTTCACAGCCAGGCATTTCACCTGGTGAAAGCCATGCGTCGGTCTTCCCTGATGCCCAGACAATACCTTTCTGTTGCGTCACGCTAGTGCACGTCGCAGTGCTTTGCCTATCCTTATTGGCTGCCCGTGGCTGCCCCCACTCCCTTTAGCTTGTTTCTGCCCGGTGCTCGTGCACTGCGGTAGATGCTCACAAGCCCGCATGAGAGGTAAACATGCTTCTTTAGCAGGTGGCTTCTCATCCGTGCGCTCGGCTGCCCTTTGCGTGATAGCCGTAATGTCTGCCGGCAAGTGTCCATTCAGTTGGTCTTGCGGAGTTGTCCAGTCGGCCCGCAAGCCGTGATTGTCGCACTGTGCTTAATTAACCTGTGTTTATTGACGAGTTGCCTCAAGTGCCGAACCACAGTCAACGAACCAGGCCGTAGTGTCTTAGTGTGCAAGAGCAGTGGAGAATTTCGCGGTCCTTTCCCATCGCTTTGTAGGGTAGCCTCCTTGAGCAAGCCTCTCTTTACAAAATGGAAGAATAAAAATTGCAACACTTGTCAGTAAATGTTGAGCAACATAGCAGTTAGCACCAGATGTTTCCAGCTTGTTGGTGTCATGTTGGACGGTCTTATCGAAATAGCTGTCACATTGAGGAGAGTGTGACTATGGGGAGGGAGGGGGGGTGTCAATATATGTACTGCATCTGTCACTACTGCTCGTGTTTAGCATAAGCAACAAATGTTCTTTGTTTTTGACTCAGGACCGAGGAGCCAACTTGTGAGATGCTGACACAGTGGTATTCGGAGCGAGCTCACGAGATTGAAGAGATGACTTCTCTGGTGGACAATGCCTTGGAGCTGGTCAAGATCGGATGCTTGAACAATGTCGAGGTGTGCTCTCGTCTCAGTCATTTGCTAGCAGTACAACTTTATTGTGTGAGCCATTGAACGAAGTGACGCTGAGTTTCCCATTAGAAGTAATATGTTATGGACGCATGTTGACACTTGCATACTTTCTTCTTATTTATCAAAGCATAATGAAATAATGGCTTATCTGTGTAGCTGGTACAGGTGCAATATAACTATGTGCTACAAATTCGTAACGCTGTCATATACCCATCTGAAAATGTCTCTTTACATAAGATGCTGCGAGCAAAGAAAGAAATGCAATGCCACAATAAATGTTACTTAAACTATACGCCAAGAAAGCATGTGCAAATAGTAAAAGGTTATTTAGTTGAATAATTTGTATTGAATTCAAATAGCATGTAGCACATAAAAAAAATTATTATATTTGTCGTCACCCAACTAACTTCTGCACAATATTTTTGAAACTGAAACAAACCATGTGCTAATATATTTTGGATCAAAGGGAAGTAGAAGCATCTTTGAATATTAGTAGGATTCAACGTTTTCTTTGAATATTAGTAGGATTCAACTTTTGATAGAATTCAAGTGATAATCTGTAAAATATGTTACCTTTTAAAATTTACTATTCTCAGGGCATATAAACTGGCATGAGCTTCTAAACTTCAAAAATGATGAATGTGTGGGGGGTAATAAGTTCATTTAACCTTGAAGTGTAGCATCGCGACAGTGCAGATTTACCCTGGATGGTTTATTCGCGATGTAGCATCCCTCCACTACAGTGAAATCACTTTAACAGAAGATTACATGTGGTTTACAAAACCACATTGTAATCCTCTTTATTAGTATTGTTAGTTTCGAATACATCGAAATTTAGAATAACTTAAGTTTGCATAGGAATGAGTTTGAATAGTGTAATATTTGTTCCAATATTTGATGTGCTCAAATATTTTCACATGTCTAATCCCAAGCTTTATTTACCGTACTACTGGGACACAATGTTCCCCACAAACTATGTCTTTGGAAAGTTTTGTCATGACTTTCCTGTTGTTTCGATGTCACCATAATGATGACTTTTCTCACAGGGTCTAGGCAAGCTCTATGGTGACCTTCTTACGCTGGAAACGCTCGTGTATGAGTGCCGCATCAGCCAGCCATTGACACTTACTCAGCTGGAGCAAATGTCGGATGGCGAAAAGATCAGGATTCTGATGAGCATGGCAAGTATATTTCTATTGAAAATTAGACAAGTGCATCACTGCAGGCAGGTAGCCAAAGTCTTGCTGATTAGTCAATCAACTGTGCTGATGCTAAATGTAATCAATGCAACTTCAGTTTGCCGGCATTACGATCACATTTCATTTTCGGCATGTGATTGTATACAAAGCAGTATGAGAGCACAAGTTCCCAAAATGTTTTGTTTTGCAGAAGTACTATTCCAGTTTTGTGACAGCTTTTTATTGTTTGTTCTGGTTCAGAGCCTCATGATCTTTTTTTTTCCAAAGTGCAGAATTTTTCTATCAGGCAAGGGCTTCCTATTAATTTATTGTGGATCAGAGTGCTGCATTGCTATACTGAATGTGCCATAAAGCTGGTGTTTTTTTTTTTTTTCTTCATATGTTCTTATCACCTTTCGCAAAACACGTAGGTGTGTTGTTTTGAAGAGCAAATATAAAACAGCTGTGTAAGAGTCTTTTTAGCATCACCTTAGCTGCCAGAATTCAAAGCAAGGTAGCAGATGTTTTTTCGCACCTTTCTCAAGAATCTGTCTCTGTGGCTCTGTTTGTATCGTTGACAGAGTTCAGACAAGAAGTACGTCCTGTGCTTCCGGGATTGGTTGCTGCCATTTTTAAATCGGTGCGAGCAGGCTTCTCCCGGAAGTCGCCGCCGCCTGCTGGGAGAATTCCTCTCGGAGACGGCAAAAGAAGATCTTGCGCCTTGTGTGCAGATCTTCGAGAACTCCGACCTGGAGGTACCTTTCATCCCTTAGATATAATATTGAACATTATATGTCTTGAATGATAACTAATACATAATTCTTGGTTTTTAGGATCCGGAGCGAATATTGCAAGATGCTCATGAACTTGCAGAACTGGCTTTGTCTTGCATTCGCAGCTGTCAAAGGTGGGCTATCAAATTTTGTACATCATTTATGAGCTCTGTTCTTTAATACAATCTATGATTGACATATGCAGGGTGTCCCACGTGACTTTAGCCAGAGTTTTAAAATATGCCAGAACACGTAATTACGACGCGACCAAACGCATGTTGCTCATCGTTGCCTGGAGTTGGACTTTTTTTTGTGTTCTCAAATATTGTTTAATTAGATCTGTTTAATTAACTAACTTTTGGAGGAACGAAGATGGATAACAAATTTCAATGAGAAAACTGTAGATCGGTTGAGAAAACTGTAGAACATGCCATGTTTCAGCATTGCAAACGGCCAGACCACGCTAAAATTCGACTAAAGACCACTTGCTTGTTAACACCTACTTCACGACGAGCATTTTTATGTCAATTTGGTGTATACATTAATAACTAACCTTTATTGGACGAAAATGCTTTTATGTTGAGTTGAATGGGTCTCTTGTGGCTCATTAAATATTCCAGTTCCGTCATGTCACACTAGATTGAGAAAAGCTGGTTCGAGGGCATTATGTACTAGGACTATTTGCTGAGCTGGCTATGACAGCTGTGTTGCACTTGCTTGCAGAGATGACCAACTGGACTACATTGAAAGAATCATAAAGTGTGTTCCACAGCGAGGGGCAAGGTATGTAGGTGACAGCTGGACCAGCACTTTGTGCAGAAGTTTGCTTGAGATAGTTGGGCTGCCTGAATGAAATCGGTTGTAGTTAGCGCAGCTGGAGCTCATCGTTGCTGAGGCCTATTGCAGCATGACGGCTTAGCCTACGTACTCGTCTCTTGCATTAGTACGCTGAAATGCAGTCAGTGAACGAGCCCATGGCTGCACTTCCTTTACTCTTGATGAAATTTTCTATTACGGCTTGGCCTGAGGCTATAGAGTGCAACTTTACTGTCTCACTCGTTGCTGCGGGTCGCTTTACCAAGGCCTGCCATCTCGTTGTCAACAAGGGGGACTGCGGCTCGTGCAGATGGAGTTGTCGTTGTCAAAAAGTTGACACTTGCAGTTTTCTATTGGAAAGTACCATACCAAAAGCCAGAACTTTGTATTCAACACCTTTGCTGTATGAAACTTCATTTGAAGCAAGTATGTTGTTTACCTCTAATGCACAAGTTCGGTTCATGACAAGCTATTTTATGGTAGCCTACGGCATGATTCCTTTGAGGTGAAAGGTCTAGTAGTGACATTATTTGGCACTGTATTACTTATTTTGTGTTTGTTGTTGCTGGGTATTGGTTAATTGTTTCAACAATTTATCGTCTGTGTATTTATTTTCTTGTGTACCTTACGGTGCAATGAACTTTGCTTTCTTGCAGCGGTGAAAACGATAGCGAGGAGCTCAAGCACTTACATGACCAGCTGGATGCTCTTGAAAGCTATATTGAGTGAGTGACCTGCATTTGATGGGCTGACAGAAAACAGCGGCCTTGCCACTTTTCCAGCACTGTATATATGTTCAAGCAACTTGTTTATGCATTAATAAAACACACCTATCCCTCCGGCTTCTAGGGTTGCAGAGTGTTTTCATCGTTACGGCGCCAAAATCTGCATCAAGACGGTCGTTGAAAGTGTCAGTGATGTAAAACAACTCGAGCTCTTGTTGAAGAAGGTCACATCTGCAGCCCTGAAGAGGTGTGTACATCTACTGAATCATTGTTCCTGGTTTGAGTGACGACTTGATCGGCAGAACTTGTTTTGTGCAGTAATAGTACGGGGAACTGAGGGACTCAATTAATGTTGTTGTCTTGTTTTTGGTGTTTCTTAGCATCTAGTTTCAACCACATAAACTCAGTAAAAATCAAAGCCAAAAAAACTGCAATACAGTTGAACCTCGATTTAACAAAGTCAGTGTCAGTGGAGCCCTCAGGTCATTTCATTAAATTAGGAACATTGTAAAATTTGGAGAACCAATTTTACTCGAGAGAATGACAAATTTATTGCCTGGTGAAAAAGCTCATGATTTTCACCCGTGTGCACTTCGTGGGCTGCGGGAGCACGCAATCATAGTAGCTGCCCACTGCAATCAAAGTATCATTGGCACTCTCATGTGCCCCAGCAAGCTACCTGAGAAGGTTGACGGCATTCATCACCTGGCCTTGTGTAGTGTAAAAGCCTCCACAGTATTTGGACCGTTCACATTTTCAGACTCATCTTGTGCGCCCAAACAAGTTGCACTACCTCCTCGTCATCGAAAACTTCTGGTGTGTCAGTGTCTACATCGGCGTTCACGAAGTCATCAAAGTTCTTATCTGCGGCCATTCTGTCACACCCATAAAGCTCTTTCCAGCGAGTGGCTAATACCTCTTTCTGCTTGTGTTGTGGGTTTGTGGAGCCCAAGGCAGCCTCAAAAGTAGAATAGTGGAAGCCAGAATGTCGGAAACACACTGGCAGCACACTGCCAGACATTTTAGTCACCATAAATTTTTGAAAAAAACTTATTTTTCAACATATTTTTTTACAGAATGCTTCGTTAAATTGGGTTTGGCAGTGAAGTTTGCTTTGTCACTTCAAGTTTAAAAAAGCATCAGAATTTGTGAAGTTGAAAAATTTATAAAATCGAGTTTCAACTGTATAACTAGTGAAAGAATGTTCAGGCAGCACGCCACTTCTTCATTAACACTCAAACCTCAGCCCCGCTACTCATACCTTTGCGGTAATGATGATTATTTACAGGTGATAAGATGAAGTGTACGAATAATGCTCACACATTTTACTCTTTATAGACATGTAATGAAATAGAGATAAAATATATTAAAAGAATATTATCGCATTTTAAAGTAGAATCCAAAGCTTTCACATTATATGCATTACGTTACATTATTAGCATTTACGCTCAACTTTTATTACATTCTTTCTGTGAGCGGTTGCTTATTCTGCTACGGAAATGCACGTATTTATTAGTGGAGGATTTTTTCGTTGCGAGGTAATGCTTCTGAATAAATGCCTATAACAAGGTTTTAACTTGTTGAATAGTATTTTAATTTTTTTTAACAATCGAAACCTCTCTTTCAGGTCTCCTCCACTTACAGAAAATGAATGGAGCTCTTTCTTGGATGATATATTGCTGTTTCAGAAGAACGTCTTTAGCAGCCTCACAGTACCTGACTGTGTCAAGGTACTTCATACTGAGTCATCATCTGAGATATTTGCTACTGCATATTGATTACTACTGATAGGGCTGCCGAATTTGAAGTTTTTTTTTTTTTTGAATTCCTAAAGTTTTGAATATTTTTGTACTTTGTCTTCATTTTTTACACCATGATAAGCTTTGGCAATGCATCTGATGTTATATGTAACCAGTGGAATTGATTAGAATACTGGAAAGTTTACAAAATACGATACTACATGTATGTAGTTTTTCACATCCGAATGTTTTACAAACATGCCTTTTGGAAAAACTGTATTAGGAGCCATATTATGCTACCTTTTTTACATTTACGCTAAATTGTAAAAATGTAGGCATTGTTCAGTGCTGAATGAGATGTAGACTACTGTCTCTTGCCCATGTATAATTAAATTAGCTAAATGACTGACGTAGCTTTCATTTTATATGGTGTTGCTAATGCTTGCCCATGGCTTGTGCTTTGCAATCAGATGGTGGCACATGCCCTGCTTGGTTCAGGGAATCGGGAGTTTATTGGATCTGCATCAAAACTGCTGCTGTGCAACCAAGAAGGCATGTCCTCCAAACTGAAGCACCCAAACAGCTTGCCATTCAAGACCTCAGTGGATCTGGTCCTTTCTGCTGCCAGGGAATATGTCGATTCTGCAGCATCGCACATGGATTCTTGCATTCCTCTTGCGAGGCAAGTAGAGGCCGTGCAAAGTACTTGGCAATTTGTTTGCCCTGTTCTTCAAAGGGGCACGAAAGGCAGACGAACGATCCTGAATCATTAGTGACCGTCGGATCGGGTAGAGCTAGCTACTACTGGTGGCGCTTCAAGTTGGCCGAAATGTCATTTACATGTAGTCACTTGCAACCTAAGGAAAAATGTAAGCTCCGCCCACAGAGCCGTGGAGCACCTGCCCTTGGCCTGTCCAAGACGGTTGTGCTAGCTAGTTTCTACTCAAAAAGTATTTTTTTTTCGTTCATGTAGTACTATGCATGTTGAGAGATAAAGCTTGGTTGTTGCTACCTAAAACAATACGGTTAGCTTGGAAGCGATGTAAGGATCCCTGAATGAGCTTACCAAGACCTTCTAGTTTCTGACCTAAAACCAACGACCCAAATGTTTGTCTGTATGAGAAAGTGCTTGGTGTCAAAAATTAAGTAAGCATTATTGGATGGAGCATTTATGCATATCCTTTGTAAGAGGAACAGCAATGGCTGTGGGCAGAGCTGTCATTTTTTTCTTGGGCTGTGACCGAGTATTATAGTTTCGTAGGAAACTGCATCTGATAGGACTGCACAATTTTTCAGCAGGCAACACTGGCCACTATAAATGGCATCTATTAGATTCAGAGCAGTGCCACCAGTCTTGGAGCTCATGCTTTATGGGGCACTATGTTGCTTTCTTTAAGTTGGAGACTCACAGAAAGAGGGCACCGCGCTCCTCTTATTAGCGTCAATGGAGAAGCGAGTTTGGGTAGTACTAGTGATAGATTTCCTGCTAGAAAATGGAAAAGAAAACAAACGGCATTTTACTCATGTTTAGATAAATTATAAGTTTGTTATATCGATGGGAGACTATGTCTCATTAGTTGCGAATGAAAAAAATATATATTTGTGTCTGATACTGGTACCATATTCTCAAAGCTTTTTCGCCAGACAAAAAAGGTGAAAGAGTGTGCACAGACACTTTCTTAACCTTTATAATTTAGCTTTAAAGTAAATTGTTCATGGTTCTACAAACCTTTTCACGGTGAGTTATTAGTTCTGTGTGTTTAACACCTGCTGCTTTTTTTTTTAACTCCCTGTCCTACTCAGGGCGTGTTTGCAGATATTGGACAATAGGCTTCCTGAAGTGAAGGCAGAGTTGGACTTTCTGTCAGCACTGCCTTTGTTGAGCCAGTTCAAAGTTCCTGCACTTCCCATTCAAGGTGATTGGACTTAGTTTTATGTGATGTAGCATCTCAAAGCAGCTCATTGGCAGTGAGGTATGTTTTACTGCATTACTTTTCATGCCATTTTGCTATGCAAACTGTTTATATGTGTACTTTTTTTTAGTTCTTGACATCCATTAATTATAGAAAGTAGAATCCTCTGATACACTTGTTACGGGACCACTGAAAGAACACACATAGCACAAAAAATGTTACATCCAGTATCGCATTATTTGAATCTGAATAGAAGGCTGTGCATGCTTCTTCTGCCTGGTAATTGGATTGAATAAGCCTTTATGGTATTTTTGTAGCTGTGAATCGCACAAAAAATTAAAGCTGTCATTTCCGTCTAGTGCTTTTATAAAATGTTTATATATTCATCAAGCACCCATAGTCGTTTGCAAGTATTCTTGCAGCCATGCACATCAAAACGAGCTTGCAATATATCATACATACAGGTACATGGTTATGTGGCTGTTGCTTGTCATTTCACCCGCATCCTCATCACTTGCAACGTCAGGAGTCTTGGAGAATTCTGTTGCTAGTAACAACTTAAGCGAGGCAGTGGCGATTCTAGTCTGTAGCATAATAGGTGCTGCAAAGTAACCGTAAATTTTGTTCTAGAGTAAACGAAAGCGCGGCCTCTCTCAGTGCGATGTCTTCGGTGCACTGAACATAACTGGAAATAGAAATTTAAGAAGCTTGGGGCTAACACAGATGAACTGGAATTTGAATATGACCAACATTTCCCAGTGCAAGCACCGGAGAAAATTTAGCAACATAGAACGTAATAGCAAGATTACGCTGTAGTAATGTCACACCAATGCGCAATGGCATAACACATGAATTGAATGTCGTATCTGTGATCCATACAGAAAAGATTAGGAGGTTCAGATGGAGCATGACCTCAACTTCAAGAGAAACACATTAAAGTAGTCTGATTTCTCTGGTTTACTGACACATGTATAACTCTTGCACTCTTTCCTTAGCTCGACTCTGTGATAAGATGGAGCTGATCAGAGAGGCTCTAAACCACACACCAAATGCCTACAAACAGTCCGACAAGGTGAGGCTTGTGTGTGTGTGTGTGTGTGTGTGTGCGTGCGTGCGTGCATGCGTGCGTGCGTGCATGCGTGCATGTGTACGTGCAATTTCAAAAGACGGTTTGGAATTGCCTTCAAGCCCAATTTTAATTGAGTGTATACAAGGTTTATTTGTGCCCATAACATAATATGAATATCAACTGCAATAATGGGAGACTGTATTAACTTTTACTCCCTGGAGTTCCATATCATTCATGAATAGGCAGGCATACACAAATGTTTTTACATTCTGCCTTAATGAAATTCAGTTCATTGTGGCCAGGATCGAACTTACGACCTCAAGCTGAGTGTCCAGCAACTTTTTCTGAATTAATTTAATGCATTGAAGCAGCATTTGTCAGCATGCACTAAAAGCATCAAGTAGCCATTAAATTCCTGAAAACAAATTTTATACCAGGACTTTTGTTTGTTTCAATGCTTTTATTATTAGTGGAAGCTACTATTTGACATTGTAAGTATGCACAATAGTGACATCTTCGAATTTGGAGGCAGTCAGATACTGTCTGTCCCTAGGGTTGCGCCTTGTGGTCAGAACAAGCATTGTCCGCTGATAGTTAGATTGTTTATAACAGGCTCCATGACATTCAGTTCATTCTGAAACTAAGCTGTTACGAATTGCACTAGAACTGAACAGCATCCTCCCTCTGTCTCCTGTGTGACAATTTTAGATGCTCAAGCTGGCGGAACTGTTGCACTTGTACGGCGAGGACACAGCAAGACGTGAAGGAGCTGTTCTCTCTCTGCTTGCGAATGTTGCCCTTGAGGTATGATTTCAGTCAAAGCATTAGTGTACTGTATGCTTGAAACCAGCAAACTAGACTAAAGACAATATCAAATATTTTAATATGAATCGAATATGAATGCATAGCTTCGAATATGAATTGAATATCAAATGGTTAAGATATTGAATTTCTTTTTCAACAGTAATATTTTACTTTACCATATAATTATGGTGAAAACAGTATGCTTTTTAGCTATTCTTCTATAGTCGGTTACTGCAAAAAAAAAAAAAAAATTCTACCATCTGTGCTTGCCAGGAAGCATATGACTGTGCTAAATAGTTGAGCTTATGACTGTGATGTATTGGGTTCAATTCACGTGCTGAACAACCTTCTTCTCTTTTTTTTTTTCTTTTTTTATGTGGTCGCTCTTGACTACAAAAGAAAAAAGCTTTTGTATCTGCCATGATGAATAGTGAATATGTGGACGCTCCATGGTTTGATTCCTGCCACGGCAGCCACATTCCAATGGTGGGAAATGTAAGAATTAACACCCGTGTACTTAAATCTAAGCAATTGATTGTTAAAGCACCCTAGATGGCCACAATTTATTCGAGTTAGCGGGTTTCCAGACTCTCAGTTTTAGTCCGTACGATCCCAGATTTTATCATTTTCTTTTAATTTTTGCCCTTGTTCTCACTCACTGGTCGAGACACTTAGGCAAGCAGGAGTACTTAAGGCGTCTTTCAACTACACAGCAATACTTGTTACCTGGCATGCTTTCGTTCCCTTTCTCGAAAACTACGCGCTCATCATTTTCTAGTAAGAGTGCTCGATCACGCTGATAGCCGCGCGATTGTGACCAAGGAGTACCGGGCACTGTGATAACGCAAGGAAGGCACGCGAGATAAACTGATTACATTAGTGCAATGAAAAGATGCCCCAAACACGCCTCTTTTTTTGCTTTTCTTCTTTCTTTCTAATTGAGCCACAACTATCGGCGGCGGGAGTACTCACTCTATTGCCATATTGTGAGTGCCTTCACTGCACTGGCTGCTGACGACAGGAAATTAGCCATTGGAAAAAAAGCAATATCGCAGCAACAGAGTTACTGAGGATTTATTGCAGGAGACGCTGCTGTGGGAGTTTGATGTGCGTACAACGAATTCCCAAAAGCACCATTAAGAACGCAATGTAACTATGCAGTAACTGCCCCAAATATCCGTTACCTTAGGTGCGTCGCTGTTATCAACAGAGAAATATATGTGATAACGCCATTGTATTGTTACTCAAATCGCATAGCCTTTTCTTTGTTTGCCATTACAGAAAGACACTTCAGATCATTTGCATGATGATGCGCTACTATCAGGTCATTTCTTAACTATATGACAGGGAACTATATATATAACTATATATAGTGGCACAGCTCACGGACGACTCGTCAACCTTTCTTTGTCACCTGCACATAAGTTTTTGCGGTGATACATTAGTGAAAACCAGTGCAGCTACACATATGATACGCATTAACTACTGCATCGCCAAGCTGAGCATCTTTAGTTGTTTGAGTGTGGTGCTTCACCTAGGAAGCTTACTTCATCAGCGCCACTTCTTCTAACATACGCATACACTTTCCTTTCTGTAGGGAAATTTTTTTTTCATCATGCTTGCTCGGCCCTGCACCGGGCAAAGGTTTGATTAGTATTTTGTCAGGCTAATGCAGCGGTGGCAAGTTGCCTTTTTTTCCGCAAGCTATACACAATTTATTAAAGCAGTCCCGCACACAAGGGCGCACAGCAGTGAATTGCACGATCGGGGCACTTACAGTGTTACTGCTTAAAAGCTGTAACAGCACTAAGCCTGTAAGCCACACGTACTGTCGAGGAGGTAGAATGCATGGTTTATATTCTTTAAAATGCTTATCATTGGTACATTTGTCATGATTATTAGTTGTTATTACGCTAACGCGTATTTCCTTGCAGGCATCATAGCACTCCTTCGGAAGTTGCAGTAATTGCTGCACAGTCTGCTGTTGATGCGCTTATCATAAAGGCACAAAAGCGAAATTTCTTTACAATAAGACATGTGAGCCATTGTTTGAAAATTTTAAATATTCAAGTGACTTCAAATATTAGAGCTTTCAAATATGTGATTATCGAATCAAATATGAATATTAGGACGAGGATTGAGCATCTGAAATTCCTCTTCCAGTTAATTCATAATCATTTTAAACTAAACTATTCAGATTTCTTCCAGGTCAACACACAAGAACTCTCCAGACATCGCCATAATATGTACATACCACCCCTAGTCCCACGTAACGATTGCTTTAAGTTCAGTTACTTTCAACGTGCTATTGAAGATTGGAATATGCTGCCAGAGTCGATAATTGGTTGTTCCTCGCTTACATCATTTGAACAGAATCTAAAACGTCTATTTCCTGAATAACAGTGACGTGCGTGTGTACTTTTTGTTGGTTGCATAAGACTGCAGTAGTTGTCTTTCAAATCTTCAGCGCGGTGCAAAAGTGCCGCCTCAAATGCGTCATGTGCTGTTCTGCGCGTATGTATTGCATCGCATGTGTGTTCCATTTCTTGTTATGTATAACTTCGAGTTGCTGCTCACAATAATACCGAGAAATTATCTCGAGACCTGTACGGTACTTCTTTTTCGCAAATAATTGTTTGTGCTTCCACCCTGTAACGGCCCACTTCTGGGCTAACAGTATAAATAAATGAAAATGAATTACAAATGCAATTTTCGACAAATATTCGAAACTTTCGAATACCTAGCTATCTAAGCCTGGCATGTGCGCACACATACTTTTTTAACATGTGGTAATTATAGAGAAATTCCTGTGTTGTATGCTGGAGTTGTACAGCTACTTATAATATTATTTAATGCTGTTTGAGTGGCACCAAGAAATGCATAATTGTGTCAAGTTATAACAGTGGAGCTGTTCTATGGCTAAGCGTGATGACAGAAGAGTGCCCGTGTTGCACCCATTGAAGGCATAGCTGCTTTAGTCACAGACAAAGCAGTAGACACACTGTGAAACAAAAAAGGGTGGCTCATGCGTGAATGGCACCTAAGGTCACTGTAGCAGGAGCGAGTGTGGCAGGGGCTGCAATGCATCCTTTCCCATGAATCTGTACTGTGAAAATTACATAATTGCTGGCATTCTCGCAAAACCTGGAAACATCACAAAAAATCACAAGGGAAATGCAGAACTGTATCTCCATTGTTTTTACAGATTTCACACTGGACAAAGTTTCCTGTCTCTCCTCACCTGACATTTTGGCAAATAATTCAAATTTGTGGTGCCAGATTTATATTAAACCCTGGGATGACACAAGAAGTAAAATCTTGAAAGCAGTGTCTCATTTGTGGCTTACATTTTCGTAGAAAATCTCTAAGTGTTGTAGAGGTTGCTGTCACACGATTATGATTGGAAGGGAGCAAGTTGAACTGCATACCAAAGCAAATAAGCCATTGCAAAACACAAGCATGTTTATTTCGGATAATTTCGATCTGAACTGAATCATGTCAGTTGGTTGCACCTTGCGATTCCTGTGTTTCTCTAGGATGCAGACTACAAGCACTGCTATGAAGTTTGCCAGAAGCTGATGGCCGGGTACCACTCTGAAGGCTGGAAGATATGCCAGAGCCTTGGAGAATGCACCGAGTTCAATGATCTTGCCGCTCGGTAATGTGTTGTTTCTTGTTTTGCGCTACTATAGAACTCGGCATTTTTTAGTTTTTTTTTCATACTCCTTTGGCATTATCCACTGAAGACATCTTACGTTGTTTTCATTGCTAAATTTTTCAACAGGGCTAGAACACTTACGGTTCACTTCCGTGACACAAATCTCCCTACTACTATTTTTTTGCATATTATATATGTTTTATAAATGTTACTTGGTAATATTAATGTGTTGGAGTCAACGTCAAAAAAACTTACAGAACCACAAAATTTCAGAAAATGCCAAGCGCTCTTGCAGCTTCTACAGTTACCACTTAGGTAATGCATGATGGCCCTTAAAAAGTAATGCAGGAACAGTGGCATATACAAATTTACATTGATTGATTCATATAAATGAAGCAGGTCTTTCCCTCTTTCTCATCTTCTTTCACCTTCTCGCTGAAAATGGTCCAGGCAGAAACTGCTTGCATTCTCTCTTTGCTACTGTCCGGACACTGCGGTGGACAAGCTCCTGAAGGCTACCCAGATGCTGGAATTGCAGGAGATCTACCAACAGCTTGATCTTCCTCAGGACGAGGTGTCCGGCAGTGCTAGCAGAGAATCCGTAAGAGCAGCCTGCTGGCATCTGCCCTACCCTTATTCTTTATACGCTTGTCCTTGCTTTATTATGCACCTCCAGAGCATTTCAATTCAGTCAAATGTACACATGGGAGAACCGTTATTTTGTTTCTTGCTTCGTGGATTTGGGTCACTCGCGTGCATTGAGAATTTATTTTACATGGTGTTATTTTAGACATTCAGTAAACCTTAAATCCACACAACCACAGTGCACCAGCTTCTCAGTTTCAGCTTGGGTTTGCTACATTCAAGTCTCTTGTGTGCTTGTGTGTGTTATTTGTTTTAATTGCAATAATGCACATTGGTGAGCTCGTTGGTTAATGACGGGAAATAAGTGCTTGAAACCGGACAAAACAAAGTGAGCTTAGGGTGGTGCAGTGACTGCCAACAAAAATGTTTGATTCATACAACGCAGTTTTTATACATATAGGCAGGGAGAAAGAGGAGGAATGAAAATCATGAAGTGACACACTCCTTAAATTTTATCATTATATAAAAGCCATATTTCATGAATAGTTCTTTCCGTTGCCAGTTCATGCATTGTCCTTCTTTGTGTCTGTTTAGTCTTATTTTTAGTGCTGTTTATCTGCCAACAGTTACCTTTGTTGAAATATGTACTGTGGCAGTAATAAGCCGGCGAAACTAAATTTCTAGCAGAAATTTAGTACTCTCGTATTAGTCAAGCTTCATTAGAAAGATAGTTACTCACCTGTTTAACTTCTGCTTTGCATTGTAACAAAGACTCAGCTGCCTGACTGCAAGGAGGTGTCCTCGTGGGGCTCTGGAGACTCCGTGAAGTCAGACGGTAGCCAAGAGAACTCCTGGGGCATCGTAGGCTTCACGGCGGGGAAAACTCGTTCCATGCTGACAACCCTTGGCAGTGCTGACTTCTGGAAAAGCACAGTCAGGTGCGAGCTGTCGCCAACTGGCAGCACTAGATGACTCACCATTTCGCATGAATTGTTTCTTAGTTTATATCTCCTGGTTCCTGTATAAATCAGTGAAAAGCTTGTATGGTATTCATGGTCAATACAGGCACTGGACTGAGATGTTGAGATATAATTTAGTAAATTGCATAATTGAAATAAGAGACTTCATATAAACAGAAAATAAATTGTGACATTCTGGAGCATTTTCTTAAATTAAGTACTGTGATGCTTTGCATGATCCTAGCAGAATCATAAACACAAAGATACGTAAAATATAAATAAGGATAAGCCGTAATCATAACGATACCTGTTCATAGTAATTGTGACCAAGACACCTAAACATCAGAATGAATATTTGACTTGATGTTATTTAGAAAGTCATTACTTTCTCTCACTTGTTCTTTCTCCAAATACATTAATTTTCACTGCACATAGGACTGTTACACATTGCAATAAGCTTTGTGTAAATATGTGTATTTACTAAGGTAGTTGTGTATTTACAAACAGTTCTTGTTAGAAAGAAGCTTTATCAATTCTCTCCTTTGTTTCAATAACAATCTCACAAGTATTCGGTTCCTAAACAAATAAACACAAGCCAAAAAATATTTTATGACCACTGGGTTAGTGTTTAGTGTCTGTGTAGCCTATAACTTCTAAAGTTACTTTAGCTGTGCATAATAATAACATTTACTGGCACTCTATTGCTGTCTATGAGTTTTTACAAGTAACTAACATGCATCATTCTCATTCTGTTCTGTAGGGCTTCTTATTTAACTTGTTATGCCTGAAGCGGTGGTGATTTTTTGTTTGTTTTCTTATACACCCAAGGATTGGTATGTTTTTCTGTCTCTTGCTTAATTCTTTTTAACAAAATGCTGCTGTGCAGGAATCTCACTAACGTCAAGCGCCGGAAGCCAGTTCAGAGGACTGCATCCACGGTCCGCTCCAACACCGAACTTGAGCAGTTTGCTGTCCCACACTTCTACCAGTCTGTCTTTCAAGATGTTTATGTGAGCAAGGTACGGCAATTTATCATAAAATAATGAAATACTTTGGCTTGTGTTAATACTTCCCCACTCACATCTTTTCAAGTGCTTGTAAGCTATTCTTAAAGCTTTGTTTTTATTATCACTTCTTGTTGCATCTTTTCATTGCCGAGAGAGAGAAAACATTTTATTAAATATATATATATATATGAAGCATATGGGAGGAAACCCAAGTCCGGGTTTCCTGTAATGATCTCGGTGATCACCCGGATTGGTTGAACCAAGGCCTGGCGGACCTTGAGAGGCCTATCGCAGAGGGCGTCGTTCCACGGCTCTTAGATGCGGAAGGGGTGTGCAGAGCGATGGGAAGGGTAGAAAAGAATTCCGCGCCGTTCTCCACCGTGATGGGAAGTACCATTGGGGAGCTGCCACAGCCCGGGTAAGAGTCTGAATAGTGGTCAGGGTGAAACTTATGCGCGGAGAGGAGGTTGGGGACAGTATGCATTTGGAGTTGGCAGAGGACCACCTCTTCCTCTCGCAAGAACGACGATGGTGGCGGGTGAATGTTGTGTCTAGCTCTGGTGTAGTATATCAATATGTCTCGGAAAGTGAGTGGAGGGCTCACTTGATCTGGACTCTCGGCCTCACAATGCTGAGCAGCTCACTCTACTAATCCTTCTTTGCATAATCTACCCCAAATCAGCAAGGCCATGGGTTGCTCATTTTTAATTTTTGGAAGTCAGTCATTTCGCATTATATAAATGCAGTGAATTGAAGCTTGAACAAAACGTTTATTGTAGCTTTATGATTATACATTAGCACTGAGTGGAGAAGCTTGCAAAATGTATTGCGGAGAAGAGTGTTTAATACGTTGCGGTGAAGCGTACCTAGATAGAGCAGAAAGCAAATGTATTTTACCGCAGAAAGGGCATGTATGCATGAGTAAGCAAAATGTGGCAGGCCTTGTGACTGTCTCTGTTTCGATTGGGGTATTACTTCACAGTGATTCACTGCGCACACTTCACTGCAGTACATTTTGCATTCTTCACCATATAGCAAAGCATTGCATGACGAGGTTGTCACTTTAATGAATTGCCGAGTGTATTGCATTATGTCACATAGGTAGTGTCAAGATTCTTTTGCTAGGAATGGCGTTGTGCACATGGAATTCATTCTTTCACGTGTCTTCTTTCACAGTACAGTCCATCATGTGGGAAATGGGACAGCCCCAACATGAGCCCCGTGCTGGTCGATCTCTTCAATGTTCTCAGGGCATCCATGATCGCAGAGGCCATTGATGACAAGTCACCCTCAGCTCAGTGCTCATATGGTAAATGTTCGGTCATCTTAGTTTCATCATGCAGGTTCTTTCCTCGCTCATTTTAGATTGTCGTCATGTAGGTTTCAACTCAAAGAGGAAAACCATTCATGGTGAACTGTAGTGATGATGCGAAGTTCAACTTCCACTTGGTGATTCGGATAGGTAATAACTGAATTAAAAATGCTCAGTGCTTTTTTACCGTATATATTAGCAATTCCTGATAACTTAGTCTCTTGTGCAATTACGGTGCTTCGATATTTACACTTCAAGCTTGTATCAATGAAAAGCTTATGAATTAACATGAAAGTAAATGCTAACCTCGAACACAGCAGCAAAAGTGGAATCTGAGTCCTTGAAGAGTTTAAGGGGAGACGCGGGTCGAAAAGTCGCGTTTTTTTTCCAAATTTCACCTTTTCTGTTTTTTGTTGCTTTATCATCTTTATACATTATATTTTGACATCTGAAAATATCACAGCGAAATAAGCATCAGAAGTCAGTGAAAAACGCGTCTGAGTGAGCGGCAGCGACGCGCGGCATCACGAAATTTACACAAAACGGGCTGCTGTTCGCGTGCTCGCGGGGCCGCGAAGAGAGCTGTCCGCCATATTGCGGCCGCTGGCTCGTGTAGAGTTGTCCTTACTCTCCACGATCCCGGTTCTTGAAGTCTCGTACGTTCACGAAAAATCTAAAAAAAAAGCAACAAAAACAGTCTTTTCCCGCCGTTTCAAACCGCGCGCCACTAACGCAGGGCCGCCATTGGCTGACAGCACCCGTGTTTTCTTGCCGTAGTTCGCTTCACTGTTTTCCGGAGTTATTTTTCGCTGTTTTCGTGCGATGGCAAGCCCGAAAAAGGCCGTTGCCGACCATCGGAAATACAGAAGTAAGAACAAGTTCAGAGGGAAGCGGCGGAGGACGTACAAGAAAGCCACCGCCAACGAAAATGTCCGCGACGGGCCAGCGGCCGGTAGGCCTAACATCGACCACGGCAACGTCGACCATGGCAACTGCGACGACGAGATCAACGCTGCAGTGAATTTTGTGAGTGCATCGCAGAAAAAGATCGCGTTATTCGAAAACGACGTCAGGCCGAATGCCGATCGTGCCGAAAGCGTAGTGCTGTGCGAGTTGGGTGCATTGACGGCCGTCGTCGCAGGCGCGGCATGCCCCGTTTGTCACGAGAGCAAACTCGCAGTTCGGGCACCGAATAAAAAGCGGAAAGGCCTTTCGGCGTTTCTGGAGCTACACTGCGAGAATGCGGAGTGCTCGGAGAGCATCCTTTCGTCCGCGTACTCGTCGAAGCGGGTCGCGTCAGATGGCGGCCGCGGTGCAAGCAGAAGCTACGACAGCGGGAGTTCGCGTGACGCCTTTGCCGTGAACCTGAAAGTGGTGCTTGCAGCGCGTGCCGTCGGTATCGGGCATGAGCAACTTTCACGATTTTGTGCAGTAGTTGGATTGCCAAACCCTATGCACCATAAGACCTTCCATGCTATCGGCAAAAAGATTCACAGTGCGGCAGTGAAGGCTGTCTGTGAAAACATGCAAAGGGCACGCAGCGTCACCAAAGAGGTGGCTGGTAACAGTGACGTGCCAGTCATGTTTGACGGCACATGGCAAAAAAGAGGCCACAAAAGCCCCAATGGTGTGGGAACTGTAGTGTCCTTGGACACTGGTTTGTGCCTGGACTATGAAGTGCTTTCCAACTTCTGCCTGGCGTGCAGTTTGCATAACGACATGGGAGGCGATGAAGAAACATGGCAGGCGTTTCATCATCCCGTTTGTGAGAAGAATTGCGACTGTTCTTCGCATGCCATGGAGGCCGAAGCTGCAGTGCGCATTTGGCAGAGGACTGTGGACTATGAGACACCCCTGCGGTTCACCATCTTCCTAAGCGATGGAGACAGCAAGGCCTACAACGGGGTCTGTGATGCCAACGTGTACCCTGACACTCCAATTGAAAAAGAGGAGTGCACCAACCACGTGGCGAAACGTCTGGGCACCGGCCTGCGGAAGCTGCCAACGCCACTTCCACGAGGGGAGAAGCTGAAAGAGACCACCATCCAGAAGCTTCAAACTTACTTTCAGGTGGCCATTGTGAACAATCGGGGAAATGTCCACAAGATGTACACTGCCATATGGGCCTCATGTTTGCACTCGTGCTCAACAGACGGTGCTGGAAGTCACAAGTTCTGTCCTGCAGGCCCAGACTCGTGGTGCAAGCACCGACGTGCTGAGGCGCAGGGCCAGCCTGCACCGTGCCACACCCCCCTCCTGACCAAGGCCCAGGGTTTGGCAGTCCTCCCAATCTACAAGCGTCTCACAGATGCGAAGCTGCTTGCCCGGTGCCTCCACGGCAAGACACAGAACGCGGCCGAGTCCCTGAACAGCAAAATATGGCTGCTGTGTCCAAAGACCCGGTTTGCTTCCCGGACTGCTGTGGAAACAGCCACAGCCATTGCAGTCCTGTGGTTCAACCGGGGCCACGCGAGCTTTGAAAAGGTGCTGGAAGAGCTTGGGGTGCTTCCTTCGGAGGCCCTGGTTACCCTCAGCGACCGCCGAGACAGCATGCGCATGCACAAGATGAATGTGCGTCAGACCGCTGAGGCGAGGGCACACCGTCGCAGTGCAGCCAAGAGGGCCCGGGTGGAAGAGTCCTGCCGCACCAGCCGGGAAGGGAAAACCTACGGTGCTACTGTGCAAGTTCTGCAGTTTTTTTTTTTTTTAGCCAAGTGTAACATTGCTTAGTCTCTTGTGCAATTACGGTGCTTCAATATTTACACTTCAAGCTTGTATCAATGAAAAGCTTATGAATTAACATGAGAGTAAATGCTAACCTCGAACACAGCAGCAAAAGTGGAATCTGAGTCCTTGAAGAGTTTAAATGTGCAAGTTCTGCAGTTTTTTTTTTTCTTTAGCCAAGTGTAACATTGCTTTGCAGAATAACCTGAAACAGAAGTGTGAAAAGAGAAGTCAGATACCCTCTTTGCCTGTTTCAATGTGCAATCACTGTGCGGCTTGCTTCATAGTTCTGTAGTCCAGGAAGTACCTGCCTTAAGAAAGAGGATGCAATGATCAGTGGCGAGCCCTAAAGGATGAGGGTATGCGTTGTTTTTTTTTACTTGCCCACTTCTCAGTCTGTGCTGATTGCTGGTGAACCTCCAATGCTTCTTCCATCATTACAGAATTGTGTGATCATTTGTTTGTGTTGCAGAAAGCCGCAGCTCCATCCTACTTGGTTTGGCCAAGGGCATTTTGCCAGATGACACACTTCTGGCGATGTGCTGCCTTTTTGGTGTCCAACATGTGAGTGCATTTCATTAGCAACAATATCGGTCTACTTAGCTGTAAATGTCTTCGGCCCCAAACTTTTGCTACTTTGTAGCATTCACTCTCTAAGGATTATTGTGGTTAGTGTCCTAAAGAAGCTCGCGGTGTATGAGGAATGCCATGGTGAGGGTGGCTAGATTATTTGTCTATTTAGGGTTCTTCAGTATGGGCCCAGAGAGCAGTAAACAAATGTTTTTTGTACTGCCTTTATCGAAATATGATCCTATCATGTATGACTTCATCCGTCAGTAACCGATCTTGGTAGTCTAAAGCAGCACTAAAGGTTAAAACGACACTGGTACAGTGTCGTACTTGTGCCTTTTGTGTCCCTTCATGCTATGTTGTTAGCATAAAATCTGCACTAAAAAAAATTTTTTATTTAATGGTGAGTACTCATTCGCTTAATAGATGCAGATTTCTCTACAACACGGTGGAGCTGCCATCTGTGATTATACAGCATTCTTGCCCCCCAAGATCTTTTCATAATACTTTTCTTTTTTTAAGCAAGTACTGTGTGTGTCAGGAGTTATCATGGCTAGAACCGATGTCTAATTGTTTCTCTTTTCTTTTTTTCCTTCTCAACAATACACTGTGCTGTTTCATTAATAGAAGCATCAAAGTAGTGGCATATTACTGTTCGAGCTAGTGACAATAGCAAAATGTAAAAAATGTACAGATGTAATTGTTGCAAAATCTTGACCCTGCAGCCCTTGTTTGTTGCAACTGTGTAAACTTTGCGTGCAAACATGTCTGTGTACACACTTACATACGCCTTGTGTTCCGTCTAGGCACACTGTTTCATGCTCATAGAAAAATGTTGCCACGTGTTATGGTCCGTTGTCTGCTTGATCTTAGAATTCTTTGCAATTTGTTGCAGAGTGCAGCACTACTGAGGTCTCCGTTGCTCACTGTATTAAAAAAATGCAACGTACGTGTTTTGCATGCTTTAAGGTCTGGTCAATGCTTTTTCCTAATCGGGGGATGTCAACCTCGGCCAGAAATGCCAAATTGTGCAACGCGGGATTTGATACAAGTCCTGCCCTTATTAACACCGTGGTACTGTCCCTGTCTGTTGTGGTATTAAGTGCTTATTACGCCACATTGTTTTCTATTCAGCTGGACCAGGTGGAAGAGTTCTTCCTGAACTTGCCGAGCACACCACTAGTCTTGAGCGTCGCCTCCTACTTCTTCTCACTCTTGGTCCTCGTCACCCTTAATCCGGATGACACAGACCGACTGATTTCACTTGATGCCCAGCAGGTGGTGCAAGAGGTATGCTGTGGGGTCCTGCTCATTAATTAATTAACTATTAAGTTATTTATTTATCAAACAATGCAGACACCATAGTCCGAGCAAGGAGGGCAACAAAAAGTACATACAGTGAATACGTTTGGCAAAAGAAAGTAAAAAAACGAAAGCAATATTATTGTACAGAAATAGGGTGAATATGTTTGTTAACCTCAGTGGTGGCTACGTAGTTGGACATCCGCATCCACTGCGATAGGTACCGGGTTCGATTCCCAGTGTGGACAGGAAACGGTCAGGTTTTTCTCCAGGCATAGAGGAGTAGTACATCGAAGAGGAAGAGGCGCTTGGTTGTTCATGAGTGCTCATCTCGAAAAGTGGCCCCATAAGGTTTCATAAAGGCTCCTGGTCGCACCTTGACCCACCACAGCCTTGGTGAAATAGTCTAGCATCTGCCACTTGTGTGAGAGGCATAAAATAGCTGCCATCAGATAACTACCAGTAGAACAGCTACAAGTGCACTTGTGGCCTGGTGTTTGGCAGAACGAAGGGCGTGGTAGCTTTGGAGGGTACCCACCCTTTGGGAAACTGGCGGCATGGCCTGCCAGACTTGAAAATAAGGCCGTGCTATTTGTTGTAGTTTTTTTTATTATTATTTCGCGTTTAATAGAACAGCATCACCAGAGACATAGTAAATGAGGACAGATAAAGAAAGAGGATAACAATAACACAGAAGGTTGGGCTACTTGGTTTGGCCCCATGGTGTAACACTTCTGTGCGCACCACATAAAGACTCAACAAAAAACTGGGGGACCCTTAAGCTTCGCCTTTAAGAGTTGAATGTGATAGTGAAATCCGGCCCCTAGTGCGCCCTTCAACCGCTAACTGCATAGTTATTAATATGGTTTGTTACAAACACACACACACACACACACACATGAACATGCACGTGCGCAAGTGGGACGTATCTATAGTAGTGCAGTGACTGTGCAGTGTGGCCATTTGACTCTGCCATAAAGAGTCTCACAATGCTTCACAGATGGCAGCACATTATCTAGCGTTTGCTGTTTGCTTGATCAACACAATGCCTCTTCTACGCCTCTGGAAATGCATGATATGTTTTCCGCTAGATGGACATAGTTGTTCATTTTCAGAGCTGTTTAAAAGTTTTTGTGTGTTTTAGCGGTGATGGCTGCACTATCCTGGCCTTTTTTGACGTAGTTTGATGGCAAATGCCATCAAAATGATGGCAAATGCCTCCCAAATGCGCCTACAAATCTCCGAATTGGCTCGTTTTCGTCGTGACACCTGTAGAACCAAATGGGTTAAGAAGACTCCTTCAACTACATGGCATTTATGTAGTGTTTTTTCCCTAAGCAGCTGCGAGTAACATCGTGGCTTTGTGGTAGGACATCTGCTTGCCACGCGAACAGCCCAGTTTCGATCCTCACTGGGACCAAAAGTTTTATTCTTTATTTTATTTGCTTTTTTCTTTATTTTCTGCTCATGGACAATTTTTGGCACGCAATCAATGGCGCCAACACCGACGGCGAAATTTTTGCGACACGAGCTCTCTAACGCTATCACGTTAAAAGAAATGCACAAGGACTAGCGCAGACTAACAAGTGAATTTCATCCATACCATGCTATACACTCTAGATAACCACCTCATATGCATGGGCAACAGAGCACTGAATTTTTCTTTACATACAAACGATGAAACCAATAGACAGAACCTTCTCCTTATGTATCCTTTTGATTGTGTCTCTGTATGGTGTGCTGAAAATTCTCCACTTAAAAAAGGAAAAATTTTTTTGGTGCTACGTTTGTCTGTGTTGCTGATATTCTAGATTGATTTTTTTGTTGCAGTGGTTCCTGGTTGCTTAATACAGCGAGCAGGATGCTCTTTATTCCAGCGGAGCCATGCATGTGTTAATTATCGATCCTGAATGCAAACGATTGAGAATCTTGACCTCAATTTTGAAGAAATCCCAGAAGTGATACACTTTAACCCGATCATGTAGCCCGATATACTTCATGGGAATAATATCACGTGTATACCAGGTGGAATGTGCGTCATGTGGTATGCAAAACACTGCAGCTCTCACCCACGAAAGTATTGAAGTGGCCTGTGCACTGCCTGAATGGGAGATAAAATAACTGTGGCTGGAGTGGTCCGGAACTCAATAGGGTGCTTCAGCATACTGGAGTTGTGCTGATTTGCAAGCTCTACTCCATTGTTTTTTTTTTGTTTTTTATTGTGGCATAAATGAAGAGCAGATAACAGCAAAACAGTAAAGTCTCATAAGGTAGATATTTTACATGGGCTATTTTGATGCCCTTCACTGATTGCTTGAATTGTTCATTGTTTAATATCCTCCAAGCTTCATTTACGGTAATCCTTTAAGTTGTTTCGTAGCCATTGAAAGCTTTTCAGCATGACAACTCAAAATATCATATAAAAAAAAACTTGTGCGAAATAACACTTTCAAACACATGAATGTGTGTCAGCTGTGTACTTTTCTGCCTTTGTAACTTGCAGCAGACTCTCAGAAACAGAAACAGGACTAGTGCTGCTTAAATGGAACTACTGCCTCTGGTATTATTGGTTTTGTACTTGTATAGCTCCATTTAATGGGAGTCTACTGCAGAAGTATACCTTGATAAATTTTTGAATTAGGTTCACATGTAAAATGTAGTGGAAAACATTTACCCATGGCAGTGATAATTGTATACATGGATTTATTCTACTGTAATGGCAAACATTAGTAAGGCCGGATTATAGTTGCACTGTACTGACAACATACAGTATATGGAGGAAACTGTACTGTACTGACAACAGTACTGTACTGTACTGTACTGTACTGACTGTACTGACAACATTGACCAGTGACATGGATCATTTTTCCACAACTGCAACCTTCATTCACTCTCTTTCCTGTAGGTGTCAAGCAAGAACCAAGACGCACTTAGTGACGATGCACTTGTTTGCGCGAAACTTTCCTCAAAGTTCTGCAAGATGCAGGCTGACCTTGCTCAGGCCGAGCTGCTGAAAAGGCAGGGCGGAAGCATTGATGTGGAGCGTTTTGCCGAAGACAATCGCTACAAGGCAGAAACAATTCTTGGGATGGCTCTGTAAGTGACATTGTCCTGTCATACATTGCGTTCTGATCCTGGGTGCTATTATCAGACTGTCCATCAAATGGAAATATCTATTTTGGCAGAGTGCTTCGGTTACTCGAGAAAACGACAATCCATGAAGGCATGGAGCGATGCAAGGAATGCGTACCAACCTTCACAAGTGTGTTGACCTGGTAGCCATATTAAACTTAATTCAGGAGCCAATGAGACCACGGAATCAGAGTCAAAGTGTGGAATATAGTATTCACGGGACCAAAAGCAGATCTCAGGATGCTATGGTCGTTGTGTAGAAGCGCATTGCCTTCCTCTCATTTGTGTCAAGAGTGGTGAAACCCTCATGATGTGAAAATGATGTTGCAGAAGAAACATCGAAATCAGGGGCACACTACTCGCTGCGCTCCGGCTAATCAGCGGTCAAAATGGGCCGTCCATGACGGACACCTCGGGAACAGCGCCCCATGGTGTTCATATAGAGAGAAGTTGCATGCAGTGCAAGTCTGACACGCTATCGTTGGAAACACACATGTGTTCAACCATAGCTTTGTATTCTTTCTGGTAACAGTTCCAAATAGTAACAGTTTCGAACATTTAATTCACATTACTATTTCTAGCACTGTTTATTACCACCTCTATCTGTAGTATTGAAAATAGAGTACTAACAATAAGGGCTTTGAACCATGTGTTGTAAATGCACTACGATTCTTTATTATGTAGCAAATTCAGTTGGCTTGTATGGCCCCCATAGCAAAACAATACAATTGTGGGACTAAACTTCAAAACTCCGCTAAAACTAAAATGACTTCAATTGAACTTTCTCTGAACAACGTCGCTTTGATTCTCAATCTTATGCGATTTTCCTTTAATTTTTTCTTAGACCACTTTAGGGTGCTACAGACGTCTCAACTTAGACCAAAAGTGGAATTTTTGTCAAGTTCAGGATTTTATCTTAAAGCCACCACACACCGGCAAAACAAATATATTTGTAAATAATGTGTTTTATGAAGAGCTTGACAAAATTAATTTGTGGATTTTATCGATGGTTGTCTTTTGTTGAAAAATTCTCGAAAACACTACAATTTACATAGTTTTGTCTATGCTATAAAGAGTGAAAATTTCCAAGCTATTATGAGCAACTGTTATATAATGAAAGCATGTTTCTCTGAAAATGCAAAAAAGCAAGTACTGAAAGAATGCGCAAAATGGTCAATTTATAGTGATTTTTTTTAGCTGGTTTTTCGTCATTTTATGAATTTCAAATGGGTGCAAAATAATTTTTGCCGCTCAAAATATCTTGAGAAAATGCTTTAGAACTAATGTCTATATGAGTGTAATTTTTTTAACTATTTGATTGAAATTGATTTCTTGCGAGCGTTCTAGTTGGGACAATTATAGTGGAATGATCTATTTAAGAAATAATCAGAAATGAAGACACCTGTTTACGCTTCCCAGAAGGACTTTACTGTAAACTGGTGGGCTGTGGTTTTGTGCTGTGCTTTATTAGTGATGCCTCTGTTTGCTTATACACAGCACACTGGACCAAGAAGCTTTGCATGCGGCCATCTCCCTGGCCAGGACATACGACATTCCCGTCTGGGATGTTTATATGTGCCATTTGGAATTTCTATTCTCTGAAGGATGGTGAGGTTCTATTGAATTTTCCTGACATTGTGCTTCTGTGCGTGTCTTGTATGTTTAGTGAAACCCACTTGAGTGCTGTCTCTGCAGCGAACCTACTTCCTCAGTCTTCGTTAAGTGTTGTGTCCTTACGACTTTTGCATGTTTAGCATCACGAGATTTCTTAGCACGAGATAGCTTGTCAACAGTGTTTTTCCCCACAGTGGAAAACAGTGTTCTTACTACCCGCTGCTGCAGCCAACTGGCGATGCACTCGCCGCCAGTTATAGTTTGTAGTTACTCAAGCGCAACTTTCTATTGCCCCTGGTTGCAGTAGAGATATACAGCTTTCCAAACTCTAATAGGACCGTCAAATCACCCAAAAAAAAAAAAAAAAGGTGTTCCGAGCAGTGAAAACATTAGGCTTTATGTAGGCTACTTCAGAGGATTCATCGCAGATACATTTCAATGATTAGCATGTTGAAAATAGATATGTATTAAGGATGCACAACTAACTGTAAGCTGCAGCGGCTTATCTGCATATTTGTGTTTTGTGACAATAACCTCTCCCACATCTTGGTGTGCTTCATTGCGTGACACTTCTGCACTGCAGTGAAACCTTTTTTTTTTTTTTGCATTTGCTATTACATCAGATTGATTTGCACAGGAAAACGCTGGCTCAAGGCTGAAAGCAGTTGCGGTTTCAAATAATGCTGTTTTAGGTTTTCAATTGGGGTGTATTACTCGGGAAATCATAAATATTGGATGCTGAAGAGTTTTATCGTTCAAAATTTCAGTTATGCCTTACTTTTGTTACATGCACGGGGCATGAGGCTGTGAACTCGCACTCTCCACCCCGCTGCCCAGGTCCTCAAATGCCCACGTCTATATATTTACTCACGAGAACCCCACTTGTCATATAGAACTGCATCCTGCAATCCTTATACTGGAGCCACTTTTAGCTTGTGTCTCTCGTTTCCTAATCTAATTTTTGCCCCCTTTTCTCCTTTGTAGGGTAGCCAATTGGCTCTTGTAGTCTTAAAATGAGTAGCGCATAAAAAATGGAGCCAATATAAAGGGACATAGATGGACAAGTACTTGTCCTGTATACCACCTATTCAGGTTATTTTGCCTCATGGGATGGTTTTATAGCATGCAGTGAAAGCATTTCTTATGCAAGTTACATGCTGTGAAATACGAGTGTTCCTTCATTTTAAGTTACTCATAAGTAAAAATGCTAAGAATTTGAAAGTCTAATCAAATTATTTTATTCAAATTTTAAACTCAAAATGTTCAAACACTGCTACCATATAGTTTGCAGCAGCACTTTCAGTGCTTAAGAAATAAGTGTGAGCACTTGGAAAGCTAAGGTAAAATGGAGTCAGCAACCCTGTGAAGTAGAATGCTGACATACTATCAAATACTAGTCCAGGCATAAGCATCAAGCATTATAGTTAAATGTAATTTTTTTGGACACTATTGAGTGGTCAATGATGGTAACGGCAATCAAAACTACATTGCTCTCAGTTGAGTCTACACATGACTTGTTCACATCCTTTACCAAGGCATGTTTAGAGTGTAGAATTACCGTCCTGTTAGTTCTAGCTTTTTATGAGTTCTCTCTGCAACAGTGTGACAGAGCTTTTCTGTGCAGTGACATGGCTGATATCGAACAGCGCCTTCTCACGGGTGGCATGCTGGAGGTCCTAGCTTCCAACCCTGAATCTCTTAGGGAAAAGCTGCTGAGCAGAATCTACCCATCACTTAATGGATCCGACCACGGACTCATGAGGTTTTTCTACAAGCTGCTCGAGAAGTGTGGCCAAGCATTCACCGACGACTTGGGTCTGAGGCCTTCCGACCATCTCAAGCTCCTCGAGAGGCTTCGGTCAGCATGCCCTCGTACGTAGTCTAGGGTCACCGCTTTGTTTCTTAACACAAGAGGTTATTAAAGCTCGTTACGTTGTTTAGTAGTTGCCCCCTTTTTCCCCATTGTGGTCTAGCGAATATGGTGCTTAAAGTCTGACCTGAAGGTTGCAGAATTGAATTCTATTCACAGCAGCTACATTTTAATGGAGGCAAATTGCTAGAGGCTTGTGTCCTCAGATTTAGGCGCACGGTAAAGAACCCCAGGTGTTCAAAATTTCTGGTGCTCTCGCCGACTAGGCATTTCTCATAATCCAGCATGACAACAACAGTGGTTAATCGAGGAGCACGGAGTTCACAGAGTCATGGCAACCAGAAGTGCCCATTGTTTTGAAGAGCATGTCAGCAGTGAAGATATGTCACATGAGATTGGGAAGAAAAAGTCCGTAAACAGGGGTTGTGTCGAGCCGACATTTCAACAAGCGGACTTGTCTTCGTGAAGGTTAGAACAAAACTGATTTCTTTAGCGCTAGCGTGTCTATGCTTGGTACCTTCTCCTCACCTGTTCCCTGAAGAGGGAACAGGTGTTCCACGAATAAAAAGAAAATAAGAAAGTGGTGGGGAGGTGAGGATGTACACGTTTTTCGTAATCATGGTTGTCAGAAGTTAACAATGGTAGGTTTGACATTACTGAATGGAGGGCATTTGTTATCTTTGTGTTTGTACCATACCGAATAGATTCAGGAGCCCCTTTAGAAGCATTTATACATACAGGTGTGAGTGTATTGAACTTGCTAATAAGGTATGACTGTGTATTCTCTGTCTTTTGCAGACTGGTAGTTCGACTGAAGTATGTAGAGTTTGAGATCATCGAAGTTGCGTTCTGCTGCATTAAAATGCTGTACCACAGCTTGCAGTAATTTCATTGCTGTGTCCGCGCGATGATCGTTTAGTCTAACGTTAACAGGCTGTCCTATTTCACCTCATCGTCTCATCTTCAGTTTTTGTCTCTACTCTTGTGCTGTTTTTACATGCCAAGCGGAAATCATAGGTTGTTTTTCGACCAATCGCAGCATCGCTTGCTGACCGCCTCACAGATTCAACATGTTGATGTGACACACGTCACTAGGGAGGCCAGGAAACTTGGCGAGGTGAAGGGATTGTTTCCTGGATTGTTTCTTGAGGAAGGTCACTTGACAAGGAGGGCAAAGTCGCTTTGGGAGATTAGACCAGGTGATAAGCAAAGGGCAGCAAAGAAAAAAGTGAAATGAGCGATCACCATGTTTCAGTCATCAGACGCGTGTAACTTCGCTATTACAGCACCATTTCGGAAAAATTCTCCCGACTGCATTATTGTTGTAGACTCGTGCACAGCTGTCACACCACAACTAAATTTCGACCTGTTGGTAGTTTAGGGGCCCTTTAAGGGTTGTTAAACCCAAACAATATTATAATGTTTCGTGGTTCTCGAAGCACGTTTAACAGATGTTACTAGAACTGATCTGCGTTCGTAAAACATATATAATGCAAGCATGCACTAGATTACAAGTCTGCACAACCACTCAAATTATTGCCAGTTTTCGTGCTCTAAACTGTTTGTAAGGACTAACGCAATATTTTGACAGTTGCATGCAGGTTGTTAGAGCTCATGCGTTGGAACCTTGAGAAAATTTACCGCACTTGCGGACAAGTTCTTTGTTATTAGCTTTGTGCTAACAACTGAGCAAAACTGGGCAGGCTCTGCTTGTAATCATTCCAGATTGTAGCATATCGTGCACATACCTTGCCTGCAAATGCAGGCACAAACAAGGGCACATGTTCATGTTTTCCACAGCACCAAATCGAGACATTTTCTTGGTCTAGTTATGAAAAGGATTGACAACTTCTTTTTTAGTCGACAGTCTTTGTTGCGCGTGGCTTTTCAGAAATCGACTACAAAGCCTTACTGGAGCCAGGGAATTCACCTCTTAGTGTGTTCAGCCCATTTGTGAACAAAGACACAGTCGAGGCCATTTCAGAATTGGCTCCCACCATTCCCTGCCGTGTGAGTATCCTCCTCTATTGCTGAGTTGTATTGCTTAACGACCTCAGTAGCTGAAATCTCTGTACAAGTGGTAATACTACTTGCATTATTGTGAAAGTGAGTGTTCAATGTTTACAAACACTAGCACTTATCCAGCCAGTGCCTAAAGGCCAAACTCATTCTTTTTCGAGAAAGAAAAATTTTGACAGAACAAGGTATCCACAACAGTACATATTAAGTTGTCTTTATGAACAGAGCACAATGTGAACAATTCATCACATATGTCATAGCAAAGCAGATATTTGTGTCTCAAAAATTAGAACAAGGGAAAAAAATGAGTGGTATTTCTCAATCCACGTAAAGATCACAGCGAAGGATATTTGTGATACCTTATAACTTTTATGTTGGTAAACCTTTGTAAACGTGTTAACAGCCATTTACCTGTGTGCCAGTTTCAAACAGGCAGTTTCAGTTCATTATACCATTTTTAGACCACAAGTAGGCTGCAATGCTGTTGGAGTTCAACACCCACTTTTTTTCTGCTTTTACCATGTGTAGCAAAGTTTCAGATTATGATAGTGATAGTGACAACTGCTGAGACAGCTAAAGGCTACAATTTATGTGTTATTATATAAACGGTAAAAATGTGCTCACTTGTTAATATAACACAGAAGAGCCTCCAAGGCTTTGATACTAGTCAAATGCTGCCAAAAGGTTTGTTACAACAGATACAGCTTTCATTTCTGTTTTGTTTTTGTTCCTTCCAGGATGGCAGCCGTTTGACGCCCTCCTCCATTTATTGCGCATGGGCTACCAAGCTCTTCCTTTCAAAGGGAGGAGAAACAGTGCTAACAACGGTAATTTACTGCTAATTTAAGTTACGCACTGAACAGGCTTTATGTATGCATAGGTCAAGTTTGATATTCTCGCTTCTCAGGTCCATCTCTGCATTAAAATATTTCTCTCCTCCTTGGTAATAAAATAGATTCATCGCTTATTGTGCAGATTTTTTTTAGAAAGAAAATAATTTATCAGTGAATTGAAAAAATAATGAATCAATCAATAAATCAGTCAAGCCATTCATCAATCAAACACTTAATGTACGGGTGTGTGAATAGTGAAATTTCATCTCAAGTTGAACTTGAATTGAATACCAAAGACTTTGCTGAAAATCAAAAGAAAGAACAAAAAAATGCAACCTGCTCATGTTCTCAGGCCCATAACGCAGTGAGTGACTGATACCAAAATATTACAGATTGTCGTTCAGAAACACAAGCCACATGATTTTGCTCCTAACTTCCTCGCCATGATATGCTTCCTGCAGTTCCAGCACTTCCTGCACTTGAAAACATGTGCTCACTGGACACCTCAGTAGCAAGGATGGGAAGGTATCACAAGGCAATTTTGGCAACACCCGAGTAAAGTGCAGCTCTGTGCATTTTTCACTATTTCAAAGGATCCTCCTTTTTTGGGGCCAGAAGCTCATTCAAGTATTTTTGAACCTTTTTGCTATAAGGTCTGATCTCAGTGCTGGTTATTTTTTAATGCTGGCAGTTAGAGTCTCCCAGACTGTTCTCTGGCTTTTTCTGTTGTAGCCATGACGTGCGGAAACGTTACAATTTCCTTGAGTCCGTTACTACCGATTGTCGCGAATTCACAACATACCAAAAAACCAGTAGTAAGCAAGTCGCAAAGTGCGTGCTGCAGTTAATACGGGGCTTTCAAGTACTTACTGGGAATGTGGCTCTTAGCATGAAAAATCTAGCACTGTCTCGTGTAAGGTATTTTAGGCTAGAACCAATTTTGGTCTCAGCTCATGACGGAGAGCACGAAGCACATGCAACAGCTCTCCCTTCTGCATTCTTTCTCGCCTGAGCGACCTTAGTTCTGTCTTCAATAATATTATTTATTTGGTATGTACACAACCAAGAAGAGGTGGTGCACAACCTGTTACATAGTTCTGAAGTACATTTTTTGTTGCAAGGTTTTCGCTTCTGTGGCATATCGATAATTTAAGAGATACCTAAAAGTATGCATTAAAGTTGCATTTTGGATAATTTAACTGCAAAATCAATTAAAGGCCACGATTTAAAGTTGGAAAATTATAATTTCTATTTTGTTTGGCAGTTTCATAATTCATACATTAAAGGAATAAACTAAACATGCACACATTTTCTAATGAGTATATTGTTGGAAGTTTTAACTGAAGGCCTTTTGTAACGATGTTAGCATTATTTTTAACCACCCCACCCTAACCAAGTTGCATAATTGGCCTTTGTCGTGCTTTGAATATTCGTCCAGTGAAACTTTGAATACTAGCTATTCACAAGCCTAATTGAATTATTAAATTAATACTTGAAAACTCGAATATTTACACACCCCTAATTTCATAGCATCATGGTGACTCATGTTTAAGTACTTGAAGTATCAAGTACTTGAAGTATGATACAGGACTAGGGGTTACAAAAGCTTGCACAATGATTTCTTTTTATGTTGACAGCCTTTCTTGCAATTTTTTCTTGTTCACTTTTCAGACTGAGTGGACTAAGCACTTTGATGAGTGCCGTGGCTACCTTGAGAACCTTTCTCCAGCAGATCTTGTGACGTTTGCAGAATCAGTCGCATTTGACAAGGTGTCGCTTGAACGTGTAAGTGCACGCTTTTACAGGTGTCATGTGCGCACTTTTACATGTTCAACATGTGTTACGCATCCTATCCGCTGTAGCATAAGTAAAAATTACCTGTTGTAATTTCTGAGTGATCACTCTCTTTAGCTGTGGCACTAAAACGTTGTGTCATTCTTTAGTGTATTTGGCCTGAATAGTGAAAAAACTCTTAGCACAGGTACATTCAGTTCTTATGCGGGGGTAACCAAAAGTAGCAGGACTGGTGCTGCATCGGGCGAAGCTAGCCTGTTACGCAGTTATCGCATGAGGCGATCGTCGTGCCACATCTCCCGAGTTCATTGCTTCCAGTGAATTCTCCCAGGAACCCTTTCTCGAGATTCAGTGACTTTCTTTTTTGAGCAGTTTCCCACATTTTGCGTTTTTTCTCGGTGGCCAATTGAAATGAGCTGTAGGCCACCAACTGAACACACTGGACTACAACAGGCAAACGCAATAGGCCAAGTGCTGTATGCAACTAGCCATTAGACAATTGGCTCCCCACATTTGTAACTTGTTTAAAGAAGCTATGCCAATTTTCGCTCAGTAGCAGATCACGATAAACACATGTCACAGACAGTCGATACAGTTCGTTTTGTCACTGACTCAGTCGCCACATACCCTGAACCCTTTGGTAGTTTTAAGATGCTCCTATGTGTCGCCACTGCGTGCTGTCGGATGGTTGTGCGAGAGTGCAAGAACTTTTTCTGCACTTTGGCAAAAAAGAAAGAAAAGGCTTAATGGTAGATATCTTAGGCAATACTTGCAATTTAATTGTATTCTATTCTTTGTTGGCGGTAATGGTACACATCAACAGATGCAAATTTGTACTTGGTGGTTAATGCATACTACCTAGTTATGCCATTCCCAGCAGGTACGCTTCACTTAATGTGTAAAGGAATATTTATGAAACAATTTATTTAAGGTTTCATTCTTAATCAGCCTGATAAGGGTTTGAATAATAATTAGGTGTTTATTTATTTATTTATTTATTTATTTATTTATTTATTTATTTATTTATTAGAATACCCTCAGGGCCCGTAGGGCATTACAGAGGGGGTGGGTACAACATTTATAACACACAAGAAAAAAAAGACAAAATAAAGAAACAAGTGTCAGATGCGCAAATCAGGAAGGCAACATAAGTCTACTAAAAATGTATAAGAATTCAAGCACATACAAGACAAAGATAGATAATGGAAACTGCGTATAGTTACAAGCATTGCTGAGAAATTGCAGTCTTGAATAACAAAGGGTCTGTTATTGTTACAACGGAAGAGGGAAGGTGGTTCCAATCGGCGGCTGTTTTCAGTAAGAAGGCTGCTGAAAAGAATTCGGTGCGGCAAAACGGAATGGCAACCTTATGCTGGTGATCAATGCGCGATGAGTAGTATGACGGTTGTGAAATGAGGTCTCACTTCATTGATTGATTGTGAAAAAATATCTTATGAAAAAATGCAGTCGCGCCAGTTTCCTCCGGACAGTTAAATTGGGTAGGTCAAGGTTAGATTTCATTTCTGATATGCTAGCAGTACGGGAATAATTAGAACAAATGAACCGAACTGAGCGGTTCTGAACAGATTCTAACGCGTTAATTAAATTTTGCTGCATTTATATTTAAGTACTATATTGACAACCCTGTCAGCCTTCTAATAAATTCTCTCTCTGTCTCTCTCTGTTTCTCTCTGTCTCTCTCTGTCTCTCTCTGTCTCTCTCTGTGCAGTACAGGATCTAGGATACATTCATGCTCCGTTTAAGGCTAGTTGTTTAGTCCTTTTGAAAGAGGATCAAGGGATCCTCTTTCATCCCTAATTATCTCTCGAAAATCATCTGGACAAGTTCAATCACAAGCTGACATACATACACTATAGGCTTGTGTGAATATTTGAATGCTTCGAATATGAATGAATAATGCAATATTTTAGTTTGCTTCAAATCGAATTTAAGTTATTGAAAATTACTAATTATTCCATACGAACAAATAAGGGCATATTAGTTTGCGTGTAACACATTGTAAATGTGGTTTCATTGCATTGGAGGGATACTAAGCCGTGAAAGCATCTATTCAGAAAAAATCCGCACTGCTGCAAAGACCCTCTTCAAGGTTAAATGATAATATAGTTAAGCCCCTTTATAAGAGGCATGCTCCGGGCAGCAATTCTTGTCTCTTATACGAGTTGTCTTTTATTAGCAGGGTACCTCGTATGCATTTTCTTATCAATCCGTATTTTACTGTAGGCACACTGATGTCTCTTATACCCATTTGTCTCTTATATCAGTGTCTCTTATAAAGAGGTTTGACTGTATTATCCCCGTGTTGATTCATTTTTTCACTTTAAAAGCTCATTATACCAACTAATATGCTTTAAGTAAAGCAAATTTTGAAACTTGACATACGTTACTGGCTATAACTTGTATTCTATGAAAAGTCAAATCCTGCTACTATTCAAAGTTGTTTTCGCTTCCTTTGATGCATAAAAAGAGGCATTTGCCCAGGCCTTGTTTCAATTTAAAAAATTGTGTAGATTAGTTTTATTATGACAAATATACCAACTTTTCTTTATAACATGCAATATATAGCTATTCGATTTTGATTCAAAATTATTTAACCAAAATCACTATCCACTTCGAATTCGCTTCGAACCTAAAATTCAGTATTCGCACAAGCTTGATACACTACTTTAGTTATAGTAGTAATAACTTAGTATTGTCATTTCTTCTTTTGTGTGTGAATGAATTGTCTGTCGGAGTATTCTTCCCCTACCATCACCCACTATGAGTCCATATGACTGGATATCTACTTGGCCGCCTTAAACCAAGTAATAAAATTTATATGACCAATCTGTGCTGTGTAAAATTTATCTGCCCACAAAAGTGAAACTCAGATCTACGAAACTGAACCCTTTGCTTTTTTTAATTCTTCTAAATTTTCGGTTGCTGTAGTTTGTTCAAACCACTGCCAACAGTCGCATTTCTGCATGCAGGTCAGCCGAAGAATACGCCTAGATGTCGTGAGGCAGTGCCTGAAACTTTCGAAGCAGTATCACGTCGACAAGATACCCAAAATGTAAGTAAACAGGTTTTGTTATCCTGTCTCTGGCAGGTGATGCAACTTTTAAGCACTGCATTGGCAAATGTGCTCTGAAAGTAAATTACAACGACCAATGTGGCCACCTAGTGGCAATTGTAAAGCGTGCACTGACATCACATGCAGTTCCTTTCATTCCTCTAGGAATTTCAAAGCACTAATATGTGTTCCGATTTGTTTGACTTTGTCCACATTGCAATTGCATGCTGGCAAGTTAATGTTGGCCACTCAGGGCTTTTTGTCTTTTTTGATTCGGATATATCCTAGCTCTATGTGATAACTTTTGCACATTTCTTTTCTCAGTGGATCCGAAGAGGAATGGAAAGATGCTGCGAAAACCCTCCAGAGCTACCTGTCACACTTGCAGAGGATAGCAGACGGAGTATTGGACGAAGCTGTTGACCCCAGCAATCCTGTAGTTCAGAGCTATGCAACTGAGTTTGAGCTTTCACGGGGCATTCCACAGAAGGCAAGTTGAATTGCATCGAGCTTCATGCGTAGGTCCGTCCTCTGCTATTGTGAACACATACACTCGTGACTCATAATGAGCAGAGAACCACGTGCCAATAGTAATGGTAGCCTCTTTAAACTACACACATGAACAGTTGTGGCAGCCAGTATTGTTAGATTCTAAGGACCACTGAACAGGCTCCAGCTTTCTTTTTTACACCCCTGAAAAATGCTTGTCGATTCATACATTGGACCGCGGCGATCACATTTGCCTCACATTTATCACATTTGACAGCACTGCGCACCTGTTTCTCTCGCCTGACTAATCCCCCTCGTACACGCAGTCGGACAAAAGTTGTCCATCGGTAATATTGCACACCACTGACCTCGTATATTGGTTCTTTGCCCTTGGAAACAGCGCCTTGGCCCTTCGGTGAAGCAGTTTCAGCTATGCAGTCCGCATTTCCAGTTTTCTGTGCTGCCCTCTGCCATTTTGTAAAGCCCGAGGCTCCAGGAGAAGCGGTATTGCCAGAGCGAAAGTCCCTGAGTTAAAGAGGCGTCCACTACTAGTGTGAGGGAAAAAGCGTTCCTCGCTCTGTGTTTTCTGCCCTGGTTGCCGTGGTACGTGCTCATGTGGGGGAAGTCCCGCTCGATCGTTGGTTGTGCGCCGATGATGTATCACAGACGTTATGTCACAATGCCGCAGTGGGCAGAGTCACGACAATGGGCTAGTTGTCCTCACCCTCCCTATGGCAGAGAAGGGTGGCGAGCACAGTGGAAAAATTTGAAACTGGCTGAAACGGGTAGTTTAATTCTAGTAACTTCCTTATTATAGTACCACATATTCACAAAATTCTTGCAGCAGCATGTTTATATAGCAAAAGTGTGCATATTTCTCTTAATAGAAATTTTTGGACATCGGGGTTGTTCGATGACCCTTTAACAAGTAACATGGTGCTAAATAAATGCGTTATGATTGCTTTTGTCACAGTTGGAAGCCATGCTACTTCGTTGTGCCATGTCGGAAACCACACCTGGCCTGTTGCAATCCCTGCTATCCTGCTGCCCACCAAACACAGTGGACAAGCAACCTGCAGACATATACTCGGATTCGATCTTGCTCGCTTCAGAACAGCTCAGGTTGGGAATTATATGCACAAAAAAATCTTGAGAATTCATTTCTGTAATTTCAGAAAATTATAATTTGCACGAGAAAAAAGTATACTCTAAAAAAAGTGAATGCACAATTTCAAGAAAAGATGAAAGCTTGAAGAGATGGGGAATTCTTTAACTCATAGTGTTGCAATACTCTGGGACAACTTTCTGTGGCAATGAAGGGAAAGCTACGATGGCGGAGCTACTGCACATGTACTCCGCTGTGAAGTAGTTCGGCTAGACTCCCTTTCCGAATGGCGGTGGTGTTCGAATACTACCACTGCACAGAATTTGCCATGTCCACTTACACAGCTTTTTTTTTTTTTTCATTTTCTTATGCCACGAGTGTTGTATCTTAATTTATTTGTTCACTTTATTTTGTACCTGTTACACCCACTCCTGCTTACAGCCTCAGCTAGAGGCTAGCAGTGCCGTATAAATAAATAAATAAATTTGGGAATGAAATTCGACACAAGCTCCTTTGGCGAATTGTCAGTTTAGCTGGAGGGGGACGAGTACTCACCTTGAGACGGAGACGCCATTTTGACTGTGAGGTGCGCCTAAAACGTGTGATGTTCTCAGAAGTGCAAGAACGCGAAATGACACTTCATGAAACAAAACAAATTTTCATACCTCCTTGGTTCGTGCAGCACCTCTTCATAAACGTCATCCCGTAGAAAATAATGTTGTTCTTTATTATCTTCATGCAGAAAATACAGGTGCATTTGTGAGATTATCTTCCTCAGTGGCGGCACACACCCACATTGGTTCCGTAGCCTTCCCTTCATTGTCACAGAAATTTGTCTCCTAATTTAGTGCCGATGTTTGAACATGCGGACTTTGCCTCTTATAGACTGTAAATGCCTACATTAATGCATATGCATTCTTTGTACCCTCTCTCACAACAAGTGTTCTTGAAGAGGACAGGACAGCTTGTCTAAACGTTGACTGTAGTGACAAGTGTTCTAGAATTTTTTATAGAAAGTTTATGTCATTTAGTCAACAAGTTCAGTTAGCTCCAATAGCAGACGGAAGAAAGAAAGCCATTTATGCTTACAGGCTACTAATTGTCTTTTGAAGGAAAAATGGCTTCATTGCTAAAGGCTTATGTGCAGTTAGCACTTCATTGAATTACCCAATGCCGCATATATGGGCCCATTCACAGTGCAAGCGGGGATAGTACCTTCATGGCCCAAATTCCTGGCTTGATATCTTCTTTCTTTTTTCCCCCTGCTTTACTTACTACAAAACCACCGTGACACAAGGGGAGTCACGGCAGTCTAGCACGCTACATGATGGATTAAACACTATTTTACAGTTAACTTGCAGTGCATGGCAATGCAACAAAAAAAAACACAAACAAGCATGCAGTGTTGTATGTATGTTTGTCTCACTTTCTTTGTTAACCGAATCGTCACTTTGCTGTATGGACGCAGGCTTTTAGACAGCTCATTTACATTTTGTAATCCTTCAAACGCCCTTCACTTTTCTGTCATCGCTATGAAATGAACACACAATAGGGAACATTTTTGCCTGTTGTTTTCAGACATCTTGGGAGGATAGTGGTCACAGCCTCATCACAGCTTGTTACGTGTATTCTCTGTCTTACTCTAAGCTTGGAGGAGCTCTATCACATGTGATATGTGATAGAGCTACTTCATATGTCCTGCAAAAAAATGTTTTGCTTTGTGCCTTTTGTTGTACCAGAAATCCAGAAAAGAAGTTGCACGACGTGTTCGACTCGATGACACCTGAGGAAGTCCTGGAACGTATTCTTCGCCAAGTTCTCGAAGAAAGGCAAGTATTATTTTGGCAACGATGACAAGTTACCGCAAAACTGTTGTTCCACTAAGCACACATTCAACAGCACTGAGGTTGCACTGCATTCCAGTACTGACACAAAAGTGTGTTTTCGGCTTCTCTTTAGTTCATCAGAGAGCGTCTCTACGAAGGCTTGGGGCATTGCAAAGAGAGATGCTTTGTAGGAAGAATAAATACAGACGGTCAGTTAGCAGGAAGCTGTCACTGATATGCATTCACAGTTATGTAATATTTTTCAACTCCGTTTCCCTGACATCAGTAGTAGCATAGCATGTTCATGTAGTATTTATTCTGTTTCAATCTTAGCTAGCTATAATCCTGCCTAATGTAAAGCAGATGTTAGAAAAAGGAACTAGTATCTTGTAATGTAGGCTGCCTTACCATACCAGCTGCCATCTTCCTAAAGGAAAGTATCAGCAAGTGCTTTTGTTCACTTTTCAGTGATGATGTGTTTGTTGGAGACATGGTACTCGACCTGCTGAGACCTTTCTGTCTTGACAGCAGCGTATCAATTCATGTGCGCCTCAAGGTGCTGGAGATACTTGAGAAGGTACTGGTTCCTAATCTGTCTCTTTACCTAATGATGGTGTCTCTATTAAAACTTACTTCTCTTCTTGTAATCTCCTTATACGATTTAATTTTTCTCATGACATTGCATCATCTATGATCTCGTTATATCGACATCTGTACCTTGATTCCTTCGTCTTGTCCTTCATTTTTTTAAAGACGATAGTCTTTCTTGGGGACCTTCGACGCAAAAATTTTGGTCTGTCTGTCTGTCTGTCTGTCTGTCTGTCTGTCTGTCTGCCTGTCTGTCCGTCTGCCTGTCTGTCTGTCTGTCTGTCCGTCCGTCCGTCCGTCCGTCCGTCCGTCCGTCCGTCCGTCCGTCCGTCCACTCTTAATGGCATCGGGTACTTGAAACGGCCGACCCCATCCGCAGCGCCCACCAATATTGCTCAAGGTTGAGCATTCATGCTCGTGCAATTGTCAATTAAAAAGTAATTATTGTGCATGTCTGGGGCACAATAACAATACGTATATATTCTACATGTGCGTCTTTTACTAGAAAAGGCATACATAAGTAATTTTAAGGACCGTAGCGCTTATCACACTGCGCTGACCATGCAACGCTTGCACGGAAGGGGCAGTGTTTCCAACGCTTTGCTAAGACAAGATGGTGGTGGCATCTACCCGTCGCCTTGCGTGCTACACCTTATCACCTCTGAGATGGGCGTGCACACCTGTCTCAGAGCCACGCGCTTTGTTTTCTAAGAAAACTGCCAGGTGGCGCTTATGTCTCACGTGTGACGTGACTTGATGTGCTTGTTCGCCTCCGCTGCCTGCTCAAGGCACTCTAACGCAGCGCCTTCAGAATACCTCTCACCAATTTTCTTGCGCAGAACATCAAATAAATGTCTTGTTCACTCTCTCCACACGCAAGACTATCGTCTTTCGACGACATCTGCAGAAACATGCAGATACGGGGCCAATTTTTTTAGAAGCTGTATTAATTTTTGTTGAAGAGGTTCATGGTGCAAAATGCGATTGAGGACATGGTGACTTTAGGAATAGTAATAGTATCTCAGATAGCGTGCTATACAGTAGTCATTCCATTATCTTTCTTGTTGTATTTTTTATACCTTCTTTTACCAAGAATGTCACATAAAACCAACTTCTGATTTAATAATTGATAAAATTGTGCTTCAATTATGCTTCAATTAGACCATGCTTGCAATTGTTGGCGGACGCTTCTGCAGTAGCATCTCCAATCCCTACCATCGCACAACCATTTCTTTGCCTCCTCCCCAACAAAGCCTTCATGCATAGTGGTGTAACAGGATTATGTATTAAAAACCTAAATTTCGCATTGAAGATACACACTAGTGCCAAATGTAGAAAGGAATAATAACCTGATAGTGAGAAAGTCTGACTGTTCACTTTGCCATCTAAAGCTTCTTGGTAATGGTAATCATTAGATTTCGAGGGTTTTCATTCACGATGGGTATTTGCCCTCTAAAGAAGCAAGCATCTAAATGCCTCTGACTGTTGTTAGCTCTAATTATTGCTGCTTGTTGCAAATAACAGTTGATTCTGAACTTTTGTCTCACTAAGAAAATAAGATTTTGCAGAATATTTGGATTTTGCATCCAGCTTCTGCTTCTTCAGGCCCACAGCTGCTATCTTATAATAATAACTTGTCTAGATTGTCGGGAGAGTGGGAGGAGATGGGGAATGTGGGATAAAGCCACATGCCTTGAGATACTTAATCTCATCATGTGTAGTTTGACTAATGCTGATGTCTGTAGAATTACAAAAGCCGGTAATATGCATTTTTTTGTTTTCGTTTTTCATAGAGGTTTCACTGGCGAAGTTTGTGAAACCTGCTAATGAATAAATGAATCACTTGGGCTTTTTTTTTTTTAGAATTTTCGTTTTTCACTGGCACATCTCATAGTTCCTTTACGCCACCTGATTGGTACTTTCACCTGTTATTCTACAGCTTGGCAAAAGCGTAAGCATTTGTGCTAAGTTTTCATATTCTTTCCTTGTACTGGTGTTTATGTTGAAGTTGTTTAATTATTGGCTTTGTTAAGTCCACTTTTCACGCCAGGCTTTGGAGATAATTTAGGCTATACGTTGCGTAAATTTCAGAATGTTTCGCTGAATGCTGACGATGAGAACCTTCTACTGCTCCTTCAAGTGCAGACATTAATCTGGTCCGAGTGGCCAGACTACGAGGTGAGTGCTGCAACGCTATTTCAGGCTGCATTTGTCAACCTTCATCTCAACCATGATGATGTGATAAAATCTGATTGTTTAACTGATATTTCAAAGGACAACTGGCTGAATTAACTAAAAAAGGGAGTGAGGGGTATCAATGGAAAACAGTAGTAGCTGTATGAATACAGATAGCTTTCACTTCGTTAGTTTGCATGCCTTGCATAATATATCACACAGGTTTGGTTATTTTTATATTTCAAATGCATTTTAACCTGTTTGAGAGACGACATGCTGCTTATCCTGCACTCTCTTGAGAATGACACATTCTTGCGTTATCATGCTTTCTCATAGCTTGACGAATGCACTGAATTGGACGGTGACAAGAGGCAGGCCATGTTTGATGAACTCCTTCAACGCTGCAGCACACAGTCAGGCTTTGTTGTCCTTGGAAAGCTCCTTCAGTGTGGTGAACCTCTGGATTCCACATCAGAATTGTACGGAAGCTACTTTCCTCTTTTTTTTTCTATTGTGTTGCTGATTTATTATAGTCATTGGTTAATTGAACGTGAAGTTTATATCTGAAATGAGAGCATTGCAGATCTTTCTATACAAAGAACTACAGTTCAAATACTCTGCCTGTTCAGGTCATTCGTTAAAGTGAAGTTAAACCTGAGTCCTTCAATACTTTTGCTGGTCATGAAGCTTCGATGAAAGTTTGATACTATAGAAAGAGAAGCAAACACTAGGGGCAACCTCGTTTGCGCCATGGCATTAGAGCGGCCCCGGTACTGCAATGGTACGGCACGCGTTAGAACTGCGAATTGTGATTAAATGTGCCCGTGAAGATTTATTACATTTTGAGATTGATGTAACCCTGAAGGATATTTGAGGAGGCTCTAATACAGTGAAATTTAGTGTCGAATGAAGCCTTGAAGCTAGAAATTCAATGGCAACAAATGCTTGCTGCTCCCACTGTCAAATATGCTATCGCATTAAAAGCATGCTTCTCTTTTTTCCTGAAGCATTTAGTGAATATTTCCAGACGATCCAGAGTTTTCAAGGACTCTGGCAAGTCTTAACGCATTCCGGAAGGCAGTAGTTGCAACTCTTGACAGCGCATATCTAAGTTTTCAGGCCATATATGCATTCAGTGTTTCTATATACAATGATATCGTAAAATAGACTCGTATTCATCTAACCAGCGCCCTGCTTGAATGAATCACTGCTTTGAATTCAGCGGGTGACGAGGATCAAGGAATACTTCATGCGACTTTTGCCTGGTTCTTATGTTTTTTTGTGTGTGTTTATTTATAACTACGATGCCATAGCGCATTTAAAGTTTGGCTGTTCATGCGATGTAGTTTTCCAGTCCTTCACATGGTTGTGTAGCTTCCTCATGCTGTGTTTTACCTTTCCATCTTTATTTTTTTACTGTTTAGGCAGAAGGCTCAGATGCCTCATCACATGTGAAAATCGACCAACTGCATCCTGCACAGGCAGTGTCAACATGTGACGCAAGAAATTATCTTTTCATGCTCATGATGCATTGATATCAAAAATTAACTTTTCACACTTTTACAGCTTGTGCAAGTTTTAGAGTGTGTGTGTGTGTGCATGTTTTTTTGTTTTTTCATCCTTTCTTGTGCCATCACTCTAGCAAGCTTCCATTGGTATCGCTGAGGTTTCTGTTCCAAATAACACATGTGTACTTCGAGTTTTTCAAGCTGTGAGGAGCTGCGTGTAGCTCTGTCTGTTTAACATTTTACTTTTACACTTTTGGTCATCTCAGTGCCTGTATGGCGAGCATGGCGAGCATTTCACTTGTTGAGCTTTTTTCATTATTGGCTTGCAATGAGGAAGAGGTGGCCATATGCTCACCTTCATTAGCTGCCTCATTATTTATGGTAGCTGTGTCAAAGAGGCTCATGCACAGTGTCTGTGTAGGCTCGACAGTATCCCACTCACCTCACGGTCCCCGGCTACGCTTCGTAGGTGGGCGAGCTCTGGACCTTTTTTCCACGAGACAAATACGTTGGGAGGCCATGGGGGATTCTCTGCACAGCATCCACTAAATGTTTCGGAACATCGCATGGCGTCTTCACAACTCATCTGATTAGCCACTGGTTTACGCAAAGAAACTTACTCTCATCAAAGTGCTTTTCGCATTATCAGAGTACACTGCACAGTAGAAAACACCGATGGGAAAAAGACAAGGACAAGCGCAGATCATGTATTACCAACTGGCCCAATCGTCCACTTTGATTTGCTTTTCGCACACTCACAGCTGCGGGCGATCAAATGTGAAACCACCAGTTTCTTGTCGTGGACCCGTCATTCAATGCCTAGGCAGCTAGAACGTACAGATCTTGTCATTTCCCTTGTAACCGGATCGACACCCAGACATGTAGCATGTACGCTGCAACCTTTCATATCTTCAGGCACAACACGCACAACACCAAATGTACGATGAAAAATGCTAGGACGCATACTACAGTATATGGCTGCCATCTGCCCGATTCCCTCAGCGAGGTCGCAGCACCGCCCGCGGCCTCCACTTGCAGCACACAAAGCTCTTCCATAGAGTGACGCTGAAAATTTGTGACCAGTGAAAGTATTGAAGGACTCTGGTTAAATTGTATGGGCTGTACATGCAGTTCAACAAGTGCCCTCGATTTCCTAGTGTTTTCTGGATTTCTGCAGGCATGTTTCATTTCGATCTATCTGTCTTTACTACTTTGTATGCCACAAGTTCTTTTTCTCATTCCGTGCAATGCGTGCAGTTCTTCTTGCCCTCTTCTGCCTGAGGCCTGATGTGTGGTCTCGCTTTTTTAAAAATCAATATAGTAAATAAATGGCTGTAATGTTCTTCCCTTTTTCTTATATGCTTGCTAGGTTTAAGGACAAAGAAAATGCGCTTGTTAAAGCCGTTTTCGTTGCGATAGCAATTATATGGACACTCTCGGCTGGATTTTGCCGTCGGCATCACTCACCATATATGTATACGTATCTATATATATGAAAACGCAAGAAAGAAAAACTCAGAAAAAAACTCCGTTGCTCGGAATCGACCTTAAGTCTTCTCAATCGTGAGTGCAAGGAGTTAACCACTGAGCCACTGACGAGCACGTCCTTCTCCATTCAAACAGCAAGCTATTTATATCTGCCACTTACCGCTGCTCAAGGCATCTCAGCGGGAGTTATGGTGTTTTCAGCATTACCAGCAAGACGGTGCAAAGAGCGCACGTCGCCACATCGCGCGGCGGCGTGCCCTCTAATTTCTCACGTGTACTTTGCCGCGCTTAAAGGAGGGGAGCTACGCTTCCTCGCGTGCCCTTATCTCGCGGTGGGGAGGAGGGAAGGATGACACGTCTTGGCTGGCCTCGGGCTTTACCTGGAACGATTTTGTTGTGATTACCGGGCGCTCTAAGGTCACTGCAATCATTGCAGTCTCTGTTTGCGAAAAGCGCACCCTTTTCAGACACAGCGAAGTAACAACTGAGACACTTATTCATGTGCATATGTACCTGTGGGTACATTTCGTGCGTCATTTGTGCGTGAGAAACGCGGGGCACGTTTCAATCCGCTTTCCATTCTGCGTGTGACCTTCCAATTTGTTGTTATCGTGTTGATTGCCTCTCCTTTGCGGCAAAGTTGTGACTTCTTTTTTTTTTTAATGTCCACCAGATCCCTATGTCAATAGACACTACAAACACGACAGAAAACACTGGGGGTGTGTGATATTTCTGTTTGTCAAAAATTCACATTCTGCAATTTTTAAACAATCAAACGTTCTATTAGTACAAACAACATGGGGTAATATGTAGAAAGACATCGCTTTGTTTCTAGCCACTTAGTAACAACATTCCTTGTTATTCCTTTCTTATATTTACTCTCGATTCTCTTTTACACTTCTTTTTCAGGGATCCAGAAAAGAATCCTTGGACTCAACTGATAGGCAAGATGCTTTTAGTTTGTGAGGGGGGATCGGGTTTGGATGAAGCCGAAAGCCTCTTCTTAACTGCAATCAAGAACTGCAGCCTCAATTTAGAAGTAAGTGTGTGATGATTAGTTGGTGAGAGCGTTTTGCCATAGTTCATGAAAGTAGTGTGCATCTCGTTTAGGTGAAAAATATTGGCTTCCTAAAACCATTTCTTATCTTTCTTTTTTATTTGTTCCAGTGTTGCCGTTATATTTTCTGCGAGTTCGAGAAGAAGAACAGCCTGATTCACATACTTCGAGCGTTTCTTCAGACTGATTTTCCACAGCTTCATAGTGACGCAGTCGCATACCTGAAGCATGTTGATAAGGTGAGAAGAATGACAATTTTCATTCTTATTGACACTTCCACTTTCCTCACTGTTATAATAGGATTAACCATTCTGAAACAGATGTCTCCTAGTTTCGTGAAATTCGCAATCATATGGCACCATGACAGGGCCATAACGGCTTATTTTAAAACTATTTGCATTGAAAAGGAGCAAGTCATCCATGTAGAGTGGTATTGGCACTTGTCTCCAAGTCCCCTCTAACACTAATTGTCTCTTTAATGAGCATAGGCTGTAGGTTCAGTGCCCTGCCACCACAGCCACATAACGATGGTGGTCAGAATAAAATGACAAATAATTACTTTTATGTTTTCCTTGGCCTCATCAATTTGATATAACAAAAACAGACCTCTTAATCCATTCCCTTTCTTTCGTGCACTCGTGAATGAAATATCTTTTGTAAATCAGCCAGAAAAGCAGCCATATTGCACAAATTTGTGATGTTAGCTATAAGATACGATCTCTTAGTCAAATTTGTGCAATGAACAAGTAGCATTAGAATAGAAAAAGAAGTTATGTTTTAGCTTGTTGAGTTAACCGTGCATGTCGATAGGTGCTGTCCTTATCGTTAATTTTCGGGTTGATTTAGTGAATTTCATGCAACTTGAAGAATGCTGATCAATGTCATCTTCGCATTGCTAGACAGTTTGACAGTTTGTCACGTGGGGAACTTATAAAGCTCATAGCAGAAGGAGCATCAGATTCCACCTGTTATTTTGCATATATGTAGTTTGTGTAATGAATAAGTGTTTATATTTCTTTTGAATTTCTTAATCCTTTTTTTTTTCTTCAGATTTCGGAATGCGACTATGATGAGACTGTGTTGAACAGGATTTTGCAGCTGAGGTTTCTTCCTGATGTGGTGTCAACGCCACTGTACCGACCAGTCATAGACCACCTGATTGCTAACAAAGACTCTGCAGAAAAGCACTTCAGCATTCAGGAGGCAACGAGGAGCCTCACCGATGCCAATATGCTCGCGGAAGCGGGCACGCTGTTACTGCAATTATCACGAACACACCTTGCCGCATGCACCTTCAACACAGCTGTGAATGCTGCGAGGAGATGGCTTCGAGGAATGACCAGTGAACCTTAGTGAAGTGTAAATTTCTCTAGAAGCTATAGACTTCCTAATTGAATACACATTGATGCTGTGATTATCAAATATTTTTTATTTAACTCATGTGCGATGTTCTTCATTCTTCTCTGTCGATGCTACACTTACATTCATTTCTAATACAACATTTTTCAGAATCACCTTCACATTTTTAGAATAAATTGTGGGAGAAATAAGATTACTTTCAGACAAAGTTTTGATGCAAGCAGGCTAGCTCCATGGCAATCCTCTTGTACTGGCACAAAACTAGCCTCCTTGCACAGCTGTGAAGCACTGCCATGAAGCCACCTGTGCAGACTGTAATTAGTATTCTTTCTCCCAACATGAGCTCCAAGTTCTTTTTAACTCTTTTTAACTCTTGTACAGATAATGTGCAAGAAAATAAAGCATGTAATACATCCACCAGTGGTAGGACTGAATTCAAGCAGTAGTGAAGTTTGGTCTGCTTAAGAATCCCATCTCTAGCTCATCTGAGAATTTTCAGTAATAGTACTACTACACCCAGGTGTTAACAAGCATACATCAACTCTATCCCTATACTGTACTATGACAAGTACAAGACAGCATCAAAATCAAAACTGCATTTGTTTTATTATGTGAACAACAAGATATCTAAAAACATCAGCTCCCAGTCAAAGTAGATGCCACAGTTCAGTAACACTAACTGGTGAACTTCTATGATGTCAATTCGCTTGAAAGGGGCTTCTCTATTTCGCTACCTTTGAATGGCCTTTGAAACTGCTTTGTTTCAAAATTCAAGCCTGGAAACTACAGAAAAAGGCTGAAATGCAATGACTAATATATTTCAGTCTTGCAACAGTGATTACTTCTCTTTCTTGCAATCAAACTAGAAGATCGAAAAATGCAACACCAGAAGCATTTCATCACTTGCAAACTCATCTTAGCTAAGCCTTCTTCTTGCCTCTTACCAGCATTGATTTTTACTTTTCATTATGGTTTACTTCAGCAGGGCAAGTTACGTTGCACCAATTCGCTTCATTTATGAAGACCAATTTTCGTGCGTAGTGACGTTTGTAGTTATGAGGGTGCTATAGAAATGCATCTGGAAAGTACTTGGTATTTGCATTTCTGGCAAAGCAAGAAAGGATTGACCATCGGGAGTTCGCCACACAGCAACAGAATCATTGTGCTGGGTCAGTTATGCATAATTATTTAATGCTGAACTGGCTGTCAGCTGGGCTGATGCCAGCACATTGTTGATCAAGGCTTAATATGCATAAAGGTAAGTTACTTCATTCTTCAAAGTTGCATTGTTTTCAAGTTGCCAGCATTCATATAGACATTGATTCAGAAATGATTGAGATTCAGAATGCTAGAGATATGAAAAGTAATAATAGTATTTCTTGCTTTATATACTGAACAACCGCACTAGAAAGCCAGGGTAAAATGTGAAAACTGCATGCTCACTAGTTGAGCCTGTAGCATTCTTTGATCATGATCACTATTAGTCAATGTTTGTGTTATAACTTTTATTTCGAACTCCACCAGGTCACCTATAATAAGCTGAGCTTTAAAAGCACAAATTGTTTTACAGCTGTTGTGAGATCACTGCAATGCCCTAGGTGTCTGCCCCTTCCGGTGTCCTTAACCACTATGGTGAAAAGTGAGGGAAAAAAAATCTGCAATCAAGTGTGATTTGAACCCGAGCCCTCTACATGGCTCTCAAGTGTTTGACCACAAAGCTATACTGGTGCTTGGAACTCTTTTACAAAAAGAGCTTACATAGGCTTTATGTCAGGCAATTAATTGCATCAGCATATTTAATATAGCGTGGTAGAAGAAAAAGATAACAACCAGGCATCACGCAATGCCAGTTGTGCAACAAGTGTAATTACGAGTTTTGAACCGCTATGAAATGCTCAGCCGTAATTCCTAGTCATCAGCTAAAGCATTAACAAAGTGCACATAAAATGCTTTACAAATGTGTAGCGGGTACCTTGCTTATTCCTAAACTGATGAATAATGGCATAGTGGGTGCTTCTCTACTTGACAAAACTTATGATTTATGGCATAGTCATTACCGTGCAGGTGTACTTGGTTGCCCTTAGGGAGTTAAGAATGGGCACTCTTCCAGCTTTCCCTGTTACTGCGCTGCACATTGCCTGCAGTCCATGCAGCCCCCCTCCCTCTCTCTCTTTTGTGTGTGTGAGTGCCCGAGAGAGAGACAGAACTGTCAAGATCTCGTATAGTTAAACGTGTGTCTATTCATTCAAAATGCATGTTGGTTTCTGGGGACTTCTATGTGCACAGCACCGTTAATACATTACCGTGCTTATACTATCGTACTTGGAACAGCAGCATAAAAAAAATTTAAATAAATGTGCCTCTTGACGAATATTGATGCCCATCATCATTGTTACTTCAGTAAAAGGCACTTTGCCTAGTATATGGTAACATATTCTTGGTTTAACACTGCATGTTAATTCTTTAATTGCACATTCCACAATGCAATCCTTCAGGTGTTAAGAAGGAAAGCTTTAACATATCGGTGGCATGACGCACTGTTTGCGAATGGGAAGTGTAACGAAGATGAAAAGATGTGGTGGAGCAAATGATTCCGAAAGGTGCCGTGAGAATTTTATTAGTTCTATTATCAACTGAACTACTGCACTGATCGGCGCACACGGTTGGGTGGCTACCAAGCTGCATTAGAACAGTTACAGGAAAATGTGTTTAGCTTGTATATATGCTCACCTCAAAGGGCAAATGTATGTACTCTTCCGTGTATATGCATAAATTTATTCAGGTACGTGATGAGAGCTCAGAAGTATTCAGCGAAAGATGCGAGCTTCATGCAGTAGCGTTAGATTTGATGCTTTGCTGCGCAATATCTTGGTGCATCACTGTCAAGTCTGTAGACGATCATTAAGGCAATGAATGAGGTGAACGGCTGACGCATCGCGACATGTCGTGCATGGTTTGAGCTTGGGTTTTAGCCGTGGCTTTGATCACGAACGCAAAAGCAGGACAAAGAAGACCTTGTTTGTTTTCAAGCAAAAGCGTTCATGTTTACAGAGAACTGTCGAGCTTTCAACAGGTAAATTCATGAAATATGAAATCAATAAAAGTAGATTCGGAAAAGTCGAAAGCACGAAATTACTACAAATTTTTGACAGCAGCAAATGGGTGTTCAGCAGATGGGTGGACAGCAGAAATGGTCTTATTTGACACATGTAGACATGCCGAATTTTCCGTACCGTAAACTTTCACTTTGTGCCGCTGTGTTTCGCTGATGTCGTAGTCAACATGTCGGACGCTGAGGATGACTTCATGTGCGACGATGAAGAGGACTATGATTTGGTATGTGTCCGTGTCATTGAAGTTTACATTCTTTACCTTTCTCTAGAAACACTCACGGTGTCAAAGTCACGCATGCTATTGTTTTCCGTGCTTTTCTTCCTAGACCTATGACTGGTAAACAGTCGTTTGCGCTAGGCCTAGTGCCTTGCCGGTGTTCTGCATGGGCCGTTGTGTGTTGACAGTGTGCGAACTCTTTCTCTTCTCTGGAGTATGTTAACGATATTTGAAGTTCATGCCAGTCGTTCCGTATTATTGGCATTGTGAAATAGTGTTTAATTTATCCAGATCGATCATCTCAAGGTCTGTATTATGTCAATCTCCCATCGTTCAAACGAATGAATTGATGGATGTGCACTTTTGGGCGTGTACCTCTTTGCTTGGCATCTGTTTATTTCTGCAACAGCACACATCACCGTCCTTTAGTTTCTTGTGTGGATAGGTTATCGATGGTGTGTTGGACCTGTACTCATTGCCTCAGATCAGTTCTCCAGACATCACAAGACGAGCGCAACCACTCGTAACCTGTAGTTTGTTGTCATTTGGCAGGCATCTTTCCGCGTTGTAGTACCCTCATGGTTGTGCTTTTTCTTTCAACGTGTAGGAATATTCGGAGGACAGTAACTCGGAGCCAGACGTCGACTTGGAAAACCAATATTACAACTCGAAAGCACTCAAGGAGGATGATCCGATGTCAGCTCTTGTCAGCTTCCAAAAGGTGAGAGCAATCACAACTACTTTATTCTAGATATCTCGTGCATATGCGATTGGAGGTGTCCTTTAACTGTCTTTCGCGCTTCTGATGTTTCCTAGGTTTTGGACTTGGAACACAATGACAAGGGAGAGTGGGGATTCAAGGCACTTAAACAGATGATAAAAATCAACTTCAAGCTGGTAAGTGATGTTTCTCCTAGTATCATTGCAAAATATAAATATCGATGTAGGTGGCTGCTTAGTAACAGAGCTTCAGAACTGGCTACCCAGCCCTTAGATTCATTGGATTGCGTGCCCCTTCATATGCATACCTGAGATGTTTCAGAATAGGTTTCCGTCCTTTGTTTAGGAAATACTGAACTGAGTGGAAATGAAATTTGAAAGAGGATGGAAATCTGTAGTTGTATGTTTGTTGAAATTCTGGCTTCATGTGCAAAAAAAAAAGTAATTTAATTGGCAGTTGTAGCAAATGCTCATTACTATGCTTATCTTTAAGTAAAGTTTAAACTACAGCTTTTGATAGTTTTTTATCAAACACTGAGTACACACATTTACATCTTCGTATTGCTGGCTCTTTTACACTCCCCCCCACCCACACCTTTTTTGTTGTTGTTTTTTTTTTTCTTCACAAAGGGCAGCCAGTCATGCAGACCTATTTTCACATTGTAATGATGTGTCTAATGTGTGAATCTTGACCAGCCTTCCCGATTTGCACAGGCATATTGCAGCAAGAATTGCTTGCGTGGTCATGTTAAGCAATCTTTTTTTTTTTTTTTTTTTCTCTTTTCATTCATACGCAGGGCAAGTATGAAGAGATGATGACAAGGTATAAACAGCTGCTCACTTACATCAAAAGTGCAGTGACAAGAAATTACTCGGAAAAATCAATCAACTCAATCCTGGATTACATATCCACCTCGAAGCAGGTCAGTGTGTGTGTGATGCATTGGATCCTCAGCAATCGCGTGTCTCTAGAAAAAGGTAATATGCTTATAATGACATGCCCAGCTGCATAGCTCAAATTTTTGTCTTACTCTATAGAAGCTGGATAAAGGGCCCCTGCAGTTTAGAAATTAGTCGATTTTTAAATAATGCTATCTGTTGGCAGCCCTAAATAATTTTCGAGCATTCTTTCATTTTCTCTCCTTAATCCCACCTTTATATTTCGTTGGCTGATCTTGTCCATGGAACACTTCAGTAATCAGTGTCATCACATTAATACTTAAACATCTGAGGGTCGATTTTTGTGCAAAGTGCATCCCAAAAATTTGTATTGCTGAATTAAATTGGTTAGACGAATATATTTAAGAAAAGCATTGTCTAAAATTTTTAGGGTGTCCGTAAAGCTAATAAAAAGAAGTTTGTGTTGCTTCATGAACATAATTTATTTGTCAGTAATAGCAAGATCAATTCTTACAAAAAGACAAACTACAGTACTGTGAAAAAAAATTATGGGTTGAAATAAACATCTGTGTAGCTCACAGGTGTCCAAAAATAGGTGCAAGAAGTGTTAATTGGAAACTTGGATAGAGCCCCGCCGTGGTGGTCTAGTGGCTAAGGTACTCGGCGGCTGACCCACAGGTCGTGGGTTCAAATCCCGGCTGCGGCGGCTGCATTTCCGATGGAGGCGGAAATGTTGTAGGCCTGTGTGCTCATATTTGGGTGCACGTTAAAGAACCCCAGGTGGTCGAAATTCCGGAGCCCTCCACTACGGCGTCTCTCATAATCATATGGTGGTTTCGGGACGTTAAACCCCACATATCAATCAATCAATCAAATCAAACTTGGATGGAGTAGAAGCCACTTTTCATCTAGTCAGCTTTTTCTCGCTATGCACACGTTCGAAGTGCTGCTCACATATCAACATCTCAGTCTTAACTTGAATTTCTTCGGGTGATGGTCTGACATTTACTGAATCAGATTTTGATTTGGCATTCGAGTAGCGATTTTGAAGCATCACTGCTAGACTCACTTGCGGAGAGAAAGCAGAGTGCACTGAAAAAAGCTGTGTAGTTGTGAGTGCATACGGAGAGTGAAAACAAGTTCGAAACCTTTAATAACCCTTTGTTTTGTCACCGACAAAACGGAAGCAGCTTTGTAAATCTCGGAAATAGGAGATCATTGTGTCACTTGGCACATGCACGTAAGCGCGCGCAATTTCGTACTGGAGAGCAATAAACAAGATCAAGAAATTGGTCACCTTTTGAAAGACTCTGAACCGGAAAGCCATAGACTTTGCAAGCACAAGTGAGAACTGGCTGAAGAAAAAAGCCGAAACTAGTCGGCACACTGCTGTGTTCAAGCATTTAAAAAAAAAATAAAGAAAATATTTTGTGTATTCACATAGTGTGGCAGCACGTGCCAAGTAAAAGAAAGGATCTTTAAAGGCACGTGTTTTAAATATATACCCCTTTTACTGTCTTGAAAGATGACATACGTGTATGCCTTCGACCCTAAAGGGTTAAAATTTTACAAACCTTACAGTAACTAGTTTTGTGATTTTGCCTCATTTCCCCACTAGTAACATTTTTTTATCTTGTCAGCTTATCTACACCAGCTATATGCTCTTTGGACACACTTTGCCTTTGTGCCAATAAGCACCACACACATCTTTCGTTTTGTATTCTTCTTCCCTTAAGTTCTAGCTTTTTCCCAAATCTATTTTGTTTTCAAGGGTAGGAAGACATCATTACTTTCTTTCATGAACTGAATTAGGAGAAATGTTGCTGCCTAATATTTACGTTAAGTTTTTTCGTTGCAACAGTGTTAATAACTGTTTCATTCGTAGATGGAGCTACTGCAGGAGTTCTATGAAACAACCCTTGAGGCCCTGAAAGATGCAAAGAATGATAGACTGTGGTTCAAGACGAACACAAAGCTGGGGAAGCTCTACTTTGACCGAAATGAGTTCAACAAACTGGCGAAAATTCTGAAGCAGCTGCACCAGTCATGCCAAGTGAGATATTTACACCTCATATTGGTAGATCAATGAAGTATTATTGATTTATAATAAGTGCGCTATTGCACTCAGTTCGTGGGTTGATTCTCACCACTTGTTATATCCAATCAAAATGGGAATTTCAGTAGGAACACTATGGTTTTAAATAAGGAGACCTAATTGAACTGCTGGGCTCCTTGAAAATTATTGCACAGAAGCCATATTCAATCTGCAGTGTCAAGTCACTGAGGCGTGTAAATGTGGTTTTGGTAATATGTGGGAGCAATGTTGCATACCATGCACCATCCACCCTGATCGGAATTCAGAGATTCAGTTGGAATTATGATGCGTCGTAGAGCTCATCTGCCGCATACAGTCAAACATGTTTTGGTGTCATGTTTCATAATCAAGAGGCCATCTATCATGTGAAAGTGGCAATCGCATTGCAGTGTTGATACAGTCTGGTGAGAGCCTGTGTTCCACTCGTTAAATGAGTGTTCACGGTTCTTTTTTGCGTGTGTGTGGCAGACCGACGATGGATGTGATGACCTGAAGAAGGGGACACAGTTATTGGAGATTTATGCGCTGGAGATCCAAATGTACACGGCCCAGAAGAACAACAAGAAACTGAAGAAGCTGTACGAGCAGTCGCTGCACATCAAGTCTGCAATCCCGCATCCGCTGATCATGGGTGTGATTCGTGAATGTGGTGGCAAGATGCACTTGCGTGAGGCCGAGTATGAGCGTGCACACACAGACTTCTTTGAAGCATTCAAAAACTATGATGAATCGGGCAGCCCGCGGCGGACCACCTGTCTCAAGTACCTTGTGTTGGCCAACATGCTCATGAAGAGTGGCATCAACCCCTTTGACTCCCAGGAGGCAAAGCCCTACAAAAATGACCCTGAAATTCTTGCCATGACCAACCTTGTCAGGTATGTCACTGTTTGTTGTGTGCTATGCTTGCAGGTTCCCTGCTCCTCGGGAACTTGCAGGGCCATAGTTAAATAATTCTTGCCGTTTAGCGTACACGTGCGCGTGCGTAGCTTTTCATTGATAGTGTTTGTTATGCGTGAAAGCGGTTTGCGTGGGGTTTGACTGTGGCGTATTAACATGAGAGCTGCATTTCACGTCTTTCAGTTTTTTTGACCTCTGAAAATAATTTTGTCAGTTCTATGGTTGTAAGATTATTGGTTCTTGAAGTAGCCATAACAGCTATCATCATAACACCGAGCACTACAAACTGAATATACCTGGGTAAAGTACGGTTGTTTTCTTTTTTGGTTCGGTGAGACCATTACACAATGTGTGGCCTTGTATGTGATGGAAAAAACAATTCACAGATGAATGGGATATCTCTAGGGTACACACTCACAGCAATGTAGAACCTTGCTCCCTATTTAAATACTTACTGAGCCTCTGGCAATAGCAGTCACTTATCTTTCAAGAGGAACTACATAATGATGTTTAGAGCATCTATTTGGTACACAGCAATAGTCATCTAGTTTTCTTGTGCTTCCTTTCTCAAAAGTTTTGCACACACTACTTTTCTACCCAGGACGGTATCGCGTCCCACAGTGCACAAACAGTTCTGGACCTCACTACTGGGCATTCGATAAAAATTCAAGGAAAGCACACTGGGCGTGTGGCAGAAAAACACCCAGAATACGTATGCCCTTTCTCAATAGAGTTCAGTAGTATTACCTAGAATGCTGAAGTTACAATGTCTAGGTTGGTGCCACCAATTTTAAATTATTTTTATTATTGATGAATTATTTCATAAAATCGTATTTTTTCTTCAACTGACCATGTTATTTGTAATCACTGTTGGAAGAAAAGGGACTGTGCTAATAGGTGCAGTTGGGATTGTATATTGTTGGTTCCCTTAGTCATAAGATGCTTGTGACACTCTATGTTGAGTACTGCATGATTATTGCAAAGGCACCACTACTTTTTATTCAAAGAAAAATCCAAAAGTAATAAGGGCAGCTTTTATGTTCTTCTGATTGAGGTGCTTGAAACATTCAAAAACGATATTATCTTATCACCACTCTGCTGGTTTTCTTGGACTGCAATGGACCCTTCTTGCACTTTTATTCATTCTATATCCACTATTAGAAGGTGTTCAGTCACTTCTTTGGATGGACGTTTGCTAATGCTTGCAATGTTGAATTGTATCCATGCTGCATTTCGTGATCTATTTTATAATCTCGTTTCTGATTAGGAGCTCACAAGGGCAAGGTAATAGGTACTACTGAGAGAAAATGGCATCACTGTTTGTGGGCAAGAGTGTCACAGTGACACACAAGTCACTCTCCTGAGCTCCCAGATCAGATGGTTTTGTTTGAACCTTAGCACAGAAACTCTTGGCCACTCCAATGTGAGAATGCTTGTCGAATGTCGGATGTTGATGTTCTGTAGAAATTTAAAATGGAGAAGTTTATTTGGTATCACAGAAATTCCGTAAGAGGGAACATATGTACTTTCGTGATATCACAAACAATACAGATATCAATACAAGCTTAATAAAGCAATGCATTCAGCAGACGTAAGAGACATAGTAGCTTGGCCAACTAATTTAAATGATAATGTAGAATGTATGCTGTTTGCTGTTACCTTTCTTACCGCTTAAGCAAAAAAAAATTACAGTAATAGACTGGTGTCGCTGATTGCGAATTGCAAATAGCTTAATGGCTAGATTTTACGTTTGATATGTTGCCCCGAGCCATATTAGCACGATAGAATTACAAAGCACATTGCAGAAATTGCTGTGTTCGCGTTGGCAGCTTCGGTTATAAGCAGAAAATTGGCATTGCTCATAAGTAGAAAATCGCGGTGGGTGCAAAGAATAAAATTCAGTGTTTCAAGCTTGTATTCAACTCAGGCTTTCTGCATGCCACTCTGGTTTTGAGTGCAGAGCCGCATTTGTGCTTGAAACGGCTTTAGGTAAAAGCCTTATACCCCTGTCACACAGCCACCACCAAAGTCTGTGTATGCTCCGTCCTTATACTCCATCAAAGTGAATCTCCCCGTGGGAGTTCGACGGAGCTGGAGTTGTGCCAGTGTCACACGGCAATGACAAGATTTTAATAGTTGCCGCAAGGGGCTCAGGTGGCTCTGCTTGATTTTCGCATAAATATCCGAATTTCATTTCTAGTTGTTTTCCTTGTGAATCTTCGTTATGCAGTTTTTACAAAAACACGCTATTAAGTGGGTCTGAAGCAAACAAAGCATTAAAAAATATTTCAAATGAAAACGAATTCGCTAAATGTATCGATGCTGGAAGCGAGGCTGGCCACCTTGTGCCCTTTAAAATGTTTATTTACATTTGCACACTCTACAACTAGTTGTGTTTCTTTGCTTCGTGAGCGCACATTTTGTCTTCTGTATAATTGGCTGTGTCTTCAGCTGGCGACGATGATGCAGCACTGTCAGTCATTCCTCTCACGAGCTAACGCAGACACGGCTGCAACTGTACGCACAGACAAAATATCTCGGCCCGACTTGTGAGGCACAGTGCGGAGGGCATAGGTGTAAAATGTAGCTGCACTTTGGCGCGTGTGCGTACGCCGCGAGTGTGTGTGTGTGTGCATGTGTGCGTGTGTGTGTGTGTTTATAGCAGCCAGCCTTACATGCACTGTTGTTTTCTTCCTCGTGGCACTGTTGTCGTGTCCACCAAGAAGCAAAGTTTGGCAAGCGAATGAGAAGGTGACACAAACGGGGCCCCGGTTACACTACCGCGTTCCACTCTGGAAGCTGGAGCTCAAGTGTCCTCCAAGTTTTTATCCCGATAGTGGTCATATAGATAGTCTTGTCAAGTTTTTGCCACCGCTGCCATCATGACCCATATAAAGGTCAAATTAAAAAAATCTCCCAGTACACTGTACTTTCTACCCACCGGTAATAGTATGCGAATGTGGGTGATGAATGCAGCTGAAGTACAATTCAAATGGGTTGGCCCATCTCTGTCATTTGCATGCGTTAAGATCCTTCAGAAGGGTTTCAACTTGAACTTGTTGGTGATTCATCTCCATGGTACTGATATGCTTGAAAGACAGGGACACAAGAATGAACACTACCTGTGTGCTCCTTGTGTCCCTGGCTTATGTGTACATCAGTTCCCATCAAGATAAGATCCTCTTGGCTGTTAGACTTGCCGTGAAATGCTCAGGCAGAGAGGAATGCTCCACCTGTTTTTAACGAGCATGAAAAGGGGGTGGGTGGTTGCTCAAGCAGCTACTGTGAACTTTGGTTTTATAGGTGCTGTTGCCATTGCTCGGTTGCATGCTATCTCTCTATCTAGGCAACCATCAGCAGGCAGCTGGGATACCCTTCTGAATGCTGCACTTTCAATGCGAAAAGACTCTGTAAAAAGTGTTTTGTAACAAAAAAAAAAAGACTGTAAAAAGTGACTCTGTAAAAAAGTGTAGAAATAGAAAAGACTCTGTAAAAGTGACTCTGTAAAAAGTGTAAACACTAGTGTTTTGTCGGGTTGCGTGAGATCGGACCCAAAAGTGTTAGTTGCTAGTCTTAATGTAACTTTACTATTTGTTGCTATTACATTCTTTGCTTGACTCTTGCTATGAAATTGAGGCTTTTTTATGGGGGGGGACTTGATAATTCAATCAATATTTTAAGCTCGTCCTGAGTTGGAATGATCGAGAGCCTACTGTATGTTTAATTATAGATATCCACTCCCGTGTTGTCTTGCACATGTGTGTGGATGACATGATAAGTTGTGCCCCTGCCCTCTCTAATTTTACTGGAGGTTTTGCAAACACAATGTTATATTTGCAGTGCTTACCAGAATAATGACATCAGTGAGTTCGAGCTAATATTGAAGACCAACAGGAAAAACATCATGGATGACCCTTTCATCAGAGAGCACATTGAAGGTAAGTGCAAGCATTACTAAAGCTTACCTGCACTACGATTGCACTTGCTTTTACAGCAATTTAATTTTGCTTTTTCTACCCCCACAGATCTGCTTAGGAACATTAGAACACAAGTCTTAATAAAGCTCATCACACCTTATACCAGGATTCACATACCTTTCATATCAAAGGTGAGTTATCTGCATTCATTGCTTTTCTATGGGTGGCCATGATTATATGAATTTGTTACCTTCACATATTTTTTGTGTGTTATTTTATTACCAGGAACTCAACATAGACTCAAGTGAAGTGGAAAATCTTCTGGTATCTTGTATTTTGGACAGGTGAGGTTCTGGTCCTCGTTTCCGTTCTGTTAGGCAGTCATGTTGTATTGTAGTACATAAACTTAATCTTGCCGTAATCTGTGAAATGGTGATTGAGTGTGTTACAATTTTGAGCTGTCTTCATGCATCATTACTGCTAAGGCTCTGAATAAGCATTGGTGTGGTACAATTGTTGTATAGGTCTTTGCCTGAAAGTCATGAAGCGTTATAAAGTGGAGAGGCTTAGCTAGTTCCACTGCTATGTAATCCTTTTGTGCAGTCAGTCTTTTTTTTGTTGTTGTTAATATTATTATTATAGTGCTCAGCATGAAACTGTTATGACCAGTCTTAAATTGCCTGGGCAGTGTATGTGCACACGGAGTGTAATGTTTAATATGGAGCCTGCAATTTATCATCATTGTAAGCATCATTTGTTGACATTCTCACATGAGGACATTAATTTTTTTTATTTTTTTTGTCTCTCACGTGCCTTCAGGTTGTTTGTGCACCTTTTTTTTTTTTTTTAAGCGCTTGAGTGGTAAAGAAGGCAGTGTGTGTCATATGTCCTGGCTAGGACTGCAAATTCTATAAGCATTAGCTTTTGTTGATACATTTATAACAAACCTATAGATACTCATGATGGTCTGATTTCACCACTATATTTTTTACAGCTTAATTGATATCAGGAGATGTTTTATAGAAGATATGGTATGATTATATAATATATGAACAGTATTGTAATACATTATGAAGGGTCATAGGGTAAAAATGAATTACTGGATGAAAGCCCATGGCTAAGTACAGTGACTTATGTCTTGTAGCTAGCCATATCTTAACACTTAAGCATTGAAAGCTAATGCTGGGGACAAATCTTTCTCGTCATACAATTTATTGGTCTTTCGGGCTATAAACACATTGTTAAATAATTATTCGGGCAAGAGAGTGCTGTTTCTTATCTTTTTTTTTTTCTTACCTTCTTTTATGACCATTTTGCCATACCACTTGTTCCCCTGCTTTGGAGCAGCATGATCCAGGGTCGCATTGACCAGGTGAACCAAGTTCTTGAGTTGGACAGCAAAGGTCAAGGTGCAGCCCGGTACAATGCACTAGACAAGTGGACAGCACAGCTTGGCACGTTGCACCAGACCATCGTGAACAAGATCATGGCGTAGCACACGCCAGGCCTAGACCACCGCCCCTAAAGCTGTGTGAGCCCATGAGTGCATTGACTGCTGTGTCTGCCCACGAATGCCTTCTCTGCATGGCGTCCACTTCAAGAGGCAACTTCTAAATCATACCACCGTCGGCTGTGTGACAGCAACATTGTGTGTCTGTCATGCTGGTTCCTCGATTCTTACTGGAAGCTCTGTTAACAGATTTGCACTCGTTTTACGTTGACTTACAAAGGAGCCATTGGCTGCTGTGGCTCGCACAAATTGCAGGTGTGCAAGCGTAATTCGAGTGCTTTTGCAAAAATAGAATCCACCATTTTTGCTCTCTATGGTTGGTTACAGGCATGGCTGTGGTGCATGCCCCCCTCTGTTAGCTGTTATGGGAAGGTATGGAGCAATTTGACTGCAATATAACACCCAACAAAGCACTGCTGATGACTTACCAAATGTCCAACAGTCACCTCTCAGAGAAGCAATACTTAGGCCCAATTCAGTTTGCGCCTTTCGAGCTTTCTGCATCGCAGTGCTGCAAAGTGCATGTGGAGATGCTTTGCGAACAGAGCTGTGCGTCTGCAGCTATGCATGGCTTTCAGTTGTGCGTAACAAGCGTGAACAATGATAGAATGTGCCCAGGTGTGATGAGCGGCTTGAGGACGCAAATTCCAAATGCTAGCTCGCGTAATGACGAAAATTCTTTTGTCCTTTTTCAAGCTTCTCTTTTTTTTCCAAATTTCGCCATCAAGAGCATACTAGCATATTTTCTTAAGGTGAAACAAGTGTAGAGCACTTGTTTTAAGCTAATTGAGCCACTTTTTAAACTGTGCAGTTTAACTTGAAAGCATTGGCATCCAGTGTTCACATGTTCGTATTTTGTGGATAACATTTTCCTTCCGATGTGTTGCTGGTCCTGTCTTGTACATAACAGTTTGCCAACAGGACAGCAGAAACTTTCGATGGTCCTGACCTGTTGGCAGTGCGCGCCTCTTTCTGTGCTATTTAAGAGTGAGTGATAGACTGCTTGGGTTTGTAAAATAAACGCTGCGCCAGAGAGTTTTGACAAAATGTTGTCCTGTGTTTCCTTTTTCAAAATAAGTAGGCATGTGTGTGTGCTGACAATGAACTTTATTATTTTGGTTGTGTAAACTGCAAACAGCCCGTCTGCTGCAAATAATTCAATTGGTATTTCTTGATACCAAAGTCTATCTTCGCTTTAAACTCAGTTTTAAATGGTGTCTTGATGTGAAGAGGTTGACTTAACCTGTAACACAAAAACCACTTGTTAACATTAACGGAGCACCTTGACCAAGATATATTTAGAGGGACATAACAGAAACAGTGTCTAGGTTTAGATTGACAAACTGCATTTTAAGGACATAATGTCAAATGTTTCACTATCATAAGTTCATTATTAGCAGAGAAAATCAAGGTTAAAGCTTCATTTTTAAATTTCATGCCGAAATCTCCGTGCGTGAGAAAAAATTTCAAAGTGATTGAGTGAACAACTTTTATCAACCCCCTGCAGGTTATCGAACTGGGTACTTGCCTAAGAGTCGGCCGAGAGACCATGTCTCTCCACAGCTTCCATGTCCTGTTGGATCGCCCAGAGTTTATTGTGTGGTCCTGAGCTTAGCAGCTCAGGACTAAATTTCAAAATTTATTTTTGGTTTTGTGATATTGGTTAGAATGAGATTTTCTGAAACATAACGCTAGGTCTATGACGCAAAGATTACAATGTACTTCATTTTTAGGGAATAAAAGCTACGTAGGACCTTTTAGACGCCCTAAAAATCTATGACATCATCGTTTGGTGCAGGAATATAAAGGTAGCATACCTACCCACATTTTTATGGCACGCATATTTGTCTCCCTTTCACCAGGATCATATTTTTGCACTTCATGCCTAGATATCATGTGCCTGAAAAGTCTGGAACATTCTGTAGGGGTTTTCACTGCATGCGTGATTCTATGAAATGGCATAATGACGACTGGGGGTGGTCAGTGCTGCTTTTTTACGGCCATTGCCTACATGTTCGGTAGGACGGTTTTGTGCAGTCACTACGTCTACATAGCACAAGAATGGTCTTGGCAGCGTAGCTCATAGTGAAAGTCAGTTTTCACTTATTTGGAAACGTCTCAGCCACTTCACAGTAAACGTTTGCTTACTGTTGAAGTATAGTTTTGATTTAAGCTCCTAAACGTGATTTTTTTTTATTTCATTTGCGATGAATAGTGAGAGAAGTTTAGAACTGTTGGGAAATGCTGGCATACTTGCATAATTACACGGAAGTAGAACTAATAGAACTTTGGGTGTTTTACTAAAACATTTCCTTTGGGCAGCTTACAAACCCATCTCAATTCGTGCTTGTGGTCTTTGTATCACCTTAAACTGGCATACTATGATGGCGATACAAAGTAACACAATACGGTACATGCGTTTGGTGATGTTCCTTTGTATCATTAATGTGGTGGTGGTAAAGGAAGTAATCAGCTATTATAACATATGTCTAGTAATGAAGAGAATGCTTCTGCTGTAGCAGGGTCATTATGACATTGCACTGGTGAACGTAGGTGTGCTTCATACTGGCGTAACAGGTGCATTTTGCTGAGCACGAAATGCAAGCAACCACTTGATAGTTTTGTATGCATGTTGGACTTAATAAGGTCATATTTGACCAATCTCCCTACTAGGTGTGCCAATCATTTTAATATTGTGGGTTGTAAAATGCCATTGTGATCATAGTGACACATTTTCATTTACCAGCTTTGTACTGTCCGTTGATATTACTCTACTTTGAAATGAACGATACTGTATCTAGTTAAATGTTCAGCAGTCACTTTTCGTGAATATTCTGTGGGAAATATTCTAATTGGCGATACTGAAAGACTAAAGTGAGAACATGCATTGCACATTTGATACTGCTAGTCTTGCCTCTTAGTCACCAAGAAAACATTACTGGAAAAAATTTCTCTACTATACTTTGAAGAACCTCCCGAGATAAAGCCATCCTTTCAAGTTTTATGGGCCCAATACCAGGCATCATTGCCAGTATTCGTTAACCGCTAGAAGATCCAAAGTGCCGTCTCAGAGGCGCTTTACTAAAAGTTTTCAGATCTGTTCATTATTGGACATCCCAGAAGAAATCCAAAAGTCCCGTTACCATGCCCCCAGGAGGGGAGCTTTAGCGACATATGCTTTATTCTCCCATTTCGTTGAGTTCTCTCCTGTGCCAGAGGAAAATGAGCACGTTGTGTTTACGTGACGAAACTGGCATTCTTTTCTGGTACTGGTGCCCTTTCGTTGACGGCACTGCGCTCCAGTTTGGATTAAAAACGAGTCGCATGACATAGTTGCGATGTTCTATAAACGGTCTGGATTCGCGTAAGGGTGACCCCAAACCGGGCGCTGAAGCTCTTGAAGGAGCACTGAATAGAAAAAGGGTGTATCTCGTATTTAGTAAATTGCCCTTTCATTAGCGAGAGCACCTCTCTTCACATGAGGAAACGTCTCGTAAGCGAGAAAATGCAGGTGACGACACTTAGGCGAAGTTCCCTCGACTCGTAATGGCATAGGTTTTCACGCCTTTTGCTGGACAGTCTAATACGTAGTTTTCAATGAGAAAAAAATGAAGTACATTGGCTTAGGAAATCTAAGAGATTTCTTTCTCAATGCGGCCAGAACGCAAGAACGAAACAACAAAAAAGAATGGCCGAAACAAGAAAAAAATATGGACCGTCTCTTTGAAAGGAACCCTGATTGGATGCGACGCAACAGCGGTGCGCATGGCGTTGACGCGGTTGAAACAGACGTCGACGCTGGTGCTGGAAAAACGATTTGAAGCGAAACTCAGTGTAGCGTTTACTCCAGTAAACGTTCGTTTGAAACGTTGAAACACGTGTGGCGAGTTGGGTTTCGTGAAAGTGTGGTCGAGCGTTGCGGGCGGTGGAGAGGGTGTAGCGAGAGAGAAGTTAGTTGCGAGCGGGAGGAGGAGTCGGTAGTGGCGAGGGTGCTACGGGTGAAGGAGACAGGGATATTAGCGCGCACCTGCGAGGAGAGCGTGATGTGAAGACGCAGCTGCGTCGTGACCATGGGCGTGACCTGCTTGCACCGCTTCAACATCTGCGACGAGGGGAACGCGTTGCGGGGCGTTCGTACGGACGCACGTGCGTACGGCGTTACACTCGTGAGTCAAAGGGCTGCTTCGCGTCTAAAAACGACTTGGTTTGTATGTACAAATTGAAAACGGAACTACCGTTTTCCACAACCGCCGCGCGGGAAACCGCGGTCGTGGTGACACGATAATCAATAGTGACTGCTGGCCGAAGGCACGCGGCTAAAGCAGCGGTTATTAAGATTATTAAAGGCGACAAAGACGTAAAAAAGGCTAGAAACGTTTTGGCGTTCCTGTCCAAGATCTAGTAACACGTTCCTGTCGTTCTGCGTACTTTGGCTATACTTTGGCATTAAGTTTTCAGTTCGTCTCAAGCGAAACTTCGTCCCGCGCTTTTCCGGCAGCCAGCTTTGCCGTCCCGTTCCTTCGCGTGAACCAGGAAGACATGCGCGAATTCTTTTGAGAGAAATAGGTTTTGCTAGTTGTTTTCATGACGCCAAATTTCTGGACATACCGCTTTTTGAGACCTTCTACTGTAGTAGGGAAACTCTACCCTCGTGTGTTCGGCCACTCCAAGTCATTATAAGAAAGCAACTCCGCCGTTAACGACCCCTCCCCGCCCACTGTTCTTGCTATGTTTTTTTTTAATTTTTTTATGGTGCAAAAAATGGGGTGGATCAAACAACGCGGCCTCCCCTCCCCCGGAGAACGCCTGATTTAGTTAAAATGTCCGAATTCCTCCTATATGGCATCCCTCATAATCATGAATATCGTGGTTTTGAGACGTAAAACCCCAGATATTACTACTGATCAACAGCATTTTAAGACCATGCCCAACCAGCACTACACTAGCATGAACCATGAACTACTGATTGTAAATAGAAGAGTATACGTGCACAAGTTACCTCCTCGCATTGTCCTTTATCTTCCGCAGAACTTGGCGGAGCAGTAACTTTCTTGAGTTATTCTCGGGAGTCTGCATCAAAAGCGGACTCAATCAGAAAGAAACCATTGTGCAAAAATACCGACTCATACAAGGTGCAAAAAAGACGAGAAAGGACGGTACCTCACTAACCACGTCACTATACATCATAAACTAATGCATCACTAACCATCATCACTAACCTGTTACTTATGAAATATATATACTTCTACGTACCAGTGACATCGGGATCATCAGTATCGGTGGTGCTGCTCGCTTAACCATTTGGAAGTATATCTGACTCTACTCCTTCGAGTGTGTATTTTTCCCGTAACAATATAATTAATCTCGGTGGATAATGTGCTGAAACGCATACGGAAGAAGGGAAGTATGATCATCATGAGCTTCCGAAAGGAGGCGGAATGGAGGGGGGGGGGGGTAGTTGACCCCCCTCTTCCTGGAATGTCGGATGATATTTACGCACTAACGGCACTGAGTTCTGGTATATGTATACATCTGCGAAATGGCATTTAGGATTGTGAGCCGGTGTCTCGTGTTACGAGTAATCTTGCTGCCTAGGCTTTTGCGAGAAACTTTTGATGGGGGGAGGGGGTTCAACTTAATATATGTGCGAGCACTTGTTTGTATGCGTGCGTGTATGTGCAAAAAAAAGATGCACATATGCAACACATACAAAATTGAAAAACTTCGAGGTTTTGAACCCCACCCCATCAGTATAATGCCCCTGACACACGGGCACCCTGAAGTCCTTTAGACAAGGGGACATCTTTCGGAAAGGCGTTCGGGCGCAGTGACACACGACAAAGGAGTAACTCCTTTCCGGCCAAGATCCTTTTCGCAAAAGCAGATCCCGCATCTACTTTTCTGGCAGGAAGGGAGTACTCTCGCATACAGTGTGTATAATTTATCAATAGAAGAAAACGTGTCGCAACACTGCGGTGCCCTGTCAGTATTTTTTTTTGTGCTGAGAAAATTTTTTTCATTTTCAGCAGCAGTGTGATTTGTTAAAAAGTGAAGGCCTATAGTCTGTCCATACTCTCAAATGCCTGCATTACGTCACTAGCACGATCATGTTAGGGTTGGCAGCGGCAGTTGCTGTGTGGGCGACAAGAGTCAGGCCCACCTCAACTGTTGCTTTATCTCTGTCTCTGCGCTGAGAAATCGCAGGACCACGACGAAACGCGACACGTCGTCACTGACCCAGCTGGACGCAGCCATGTAAAAAGCACGACAAAATACAAAAACAGCAAAACACCGACTGTTCATAGTTGCCAGACGAACTTAAGTTGCTGCTAAAAACGCAAAAAAAGCGAAAGAAAATTACAGGTATGCACATTATAAGCCACCAGACAATAAAAAAACGGTTTTTTCTCCGGCGTCGCTGAATGTGATGTACAAGCGCAGATTCTTTTTAATATTTCCAATCTTGCTGCTTCCACAAACAGCGCCATTTTTTCTGCAGCGTTCTTTTGAGGCACCGCCTAAAGCAGTAGTCCGGTGCCGTGTGTCATCAGCACCACTCCTTTCTGCAAATGGTCCCCTTAGGTGACAAAAGGGGTTTACTTCAAAGTACTTTACTTTTGCCCGTGTGTCACGGGTATTAGATAAATATACATAACACCTTACACCGCGCCTCAACTTATAAAAACACACGCACATAGAACACGAGCTGCACTCGTGTTTGCTTCGTGTCTTGGGCATTTCGCGCAGTTTAAGAATGTTTAACAGCAATGAACCAACTATAGGTCTGCCAGGACGTACTACTGAGCTTCAAACTAAAATGTATTCTGGTTACATGACTAATTTTTTTACGTACCGCAGCTTGTGCGGGTGGACACCGTGTCATCGTCATCCGAGTCAGTCTCAGCCAGTTGCTCCACGACTGCGGCCAGTTGAGTCGCTTCCGCCAGCAGAGATTGAGTTCGCCTGAAAGGACATCGTGATGGAGGAAGCAATAACCTGGCTTTGCAACGCCATCATCTTTCAACAGTCAAGGGTTCTTGACTGTTGTTGATTGTAAGCTGCACGGGATAAAAATTACAGCGTATCCATGGATGAGTGGGGTGGAGCGTCTGTCTGTCTGTCTGTCTGTCTGTCTGTCTGTCTGTCTGTCTGTCTGTCTGTCTGTCTGTCTGTCTGTCTGTCTGTCTGTCTGTCTGTCTGTCTGTCTGTATGTCTGTCTCTCCGTCCGTCCGTCCGTCCATCCGCCATTCTATGAAACTTCTATCAAACTGAACCACATGCAACGTAAAGTCTCTGAAAAAAGCTGAAGTACCGCCAACCACTCCCCTTCGCCTCTACTTCCTCTCCCAGCAACCACAGCAGTGCCTCTCAGTGTCCACCAGGAAACTACGAATGCGAAAGCACACGGCTGCACTGGATGTGCCAGACGCTTGGGCAGCTCGGGCACTGCTGCGCCGTGTGTTCATCGAGCGGCCGTGCCTCGGGTATGCTGAAAGGGGACGCCGGTGGCATCTGTTGGAGGAGCGCGCGCTCTCGAAACTGAACAAACAATATGGCGTTTGCGCTACCTTCACAAAAGCTAGTGCGTCATGCTGCAGATTTCTAGAACTGCCGAGTTTACATGGACACCAGTGGCGCTGCCATCGAGAGCGTCAACGCTAAGCGCGTCTGCACGAAAACGGTGGGCTATCGCGTTGAGTAATGCGTGCTTGCGGTTATGTTTTTTTTCCACCACGTGCCACTTCCTTATATACATGGCACATTGTCGTATTTAACATTACTTTTTATATTTTTTTTCTCAATCACCTTTTCGGTGCATCGCCTAAAACCACGTGCAGCGCCCAAATGAGCTGTGATCTGTGAAATGAGCTGTAGCTCACTGCGGGGCAGAAGGATTGCTTGCTAAAAAATTCGTCTTGATACTTCAATGACAAGAACAAGGGAGCAAGAGGGAGATTACAAGTCCAGAAAAAGGAAACTCGACACGCTGGCTAATAAATGAGTGCACGAGTGCTTGGAATGTTTTGGTGGCTAGAAGGGCCATAGACACGTCCCGCGAAGAGCTCCTTGGCTAAGATCGCCTATACTCGTGGCATGTTAGATTGAACGCCACTGCCCGATTAGAGGAAAACGCAACGTGGGTTGTGTTAGAGTGACAGTTGTGTCTTCCCTCTTGGTCGGCCATGATTTTAGGGGCAAAGCTCCTTATAGCGGCACCCGTTCGTCCCTTGAAGTCGTAATAGTAGTGTGTAACCAGTCTTACATTTCGACCTCCAAAGTGGTGCCGGTGTAAGATTTCTTCTGTGCGTTTTTGGTTGGTTGGTTGGTTGGTTGGTTGCGAAACTTTATTGAGGTCCTGCAAGGCGCGCGTCAGCGCGCAGCGGGCGACTCCCACGTCGGGACCGTTAGGCCAAGCCTATCGGCCGCTCCGCGGGCCTGCTGGACGGCCCAAAGTTGGTCGGCCAGGAGGGAGCTGCATAGGGCCGCCTCCCACCTGACCGATGTAGTGTTGGGGTTAGTGTACATTGCCTTGCACACCCAGAGCATGTGCGCCAGCGTGGATACATCCCCACATACGGGGCAAGCGTCATTGGGAAACACGTCAGGATAAATAGCGTGAAGGGATCTCAGGTTAGGGTACGTGTCGGTTTGCAGTAGTCTGAGCGTAAGGGCCTGTGGCCTATTAAGATTTGGATGAGGGAGTGGATATAGTCTCCGCGCGAGGTAAAAATATTTTGTTATTTCGTTGTACGTGGCAGGCGCGTCCCTGTTTTCCGCAACCCCGTTGGCCCCGAATCGTTGCCCGGAACCCGCGCGGTCGGTTAGTGCGCGCGCGGCCTCGTGGGCAGACTCGTTGAGGTTGGGGGGAGCGCCTTGGACCTGTCCAACATGTGCAGGAAACCAAATCAGTACGTGGTGCTTGATGCCGTCGCGGCCACCACTTTGGAGCACGCGCAGGGCTTTTTTGGAGATTACACCGCGCTCGAAAGCGCGAATAGCTGACCTAGAGTCACTATAGATGACCTCCCTTTCACCTTCCAGGATGGCCAGGGCGATGGCCACTTGCTCGGCAATCGTCGGATCGTCAGTGTGAACCGATGCGCAGTTGGTGATTTGTTGTTTGGAGTCGACGACGACTGCGGAGAAGGCGCGGCTCCCACGGTACGCTGCCGCGTCGACAAAGCTGACGCCGTGCTCCTCACTGTGAATCTGCTTGAGAAGAGTGGCAGCTCTAGCCCGTCGCCTACCACGATTGTGCTCGGGATGGACATTCCTCGGTATCGGTGCCACGGTGATGAGGTCACGAATCTCACGGGGCACCTGTCTCATCTTCTCGTCCACTTCAGCCGGAGAGTGACCGAGCTCTCGGAGTATATGTCTGCCGGTCTGGGAGCTCGAAAGGCGCGCGAGCTGGGCCCGCTCCTGCGCTTCGGCAATCTCCTCCAACGTATTGTGTACTCCGAGCTGGAGCAGGCGCTCGGTGCGCGTCCTGATCGGGATACCGAGGGCCCGCTTGGTAATCTTTCTGAGCAAGACGTTGATCTTGTCACGCTCGGCACGCTGCCAATTGTGCATGGCTGCGACATATGAAAAGTGGCAGAGCACAAATGCATTGACCAGGCGGATTAGGTTGTCTTCCTTGAGGCCTTGGTAGCGGTTGGCCACCCGCCGAACCAGCCGAACCGCATTATCCGTCTTGGCGGCGAGCTTGAGTATAGTCTTGCCGTTGGAACCATTGGACTCGATGGTCATGCCGAGGACCCGAATGGAGTCGACTCTGGGTATTACGCTGCCATCTCCGGTGTAGAGCTTGATATCACTCTTCGAGATCGGCTGCCAGTTTTTGGGCTTGGGCCCTCGCCTAGTGGGTTGGTAAAGGAGGAGCTCGGACTTGCTTGGGGAACACCTCAGGCCTGTGGGACGGAGGTAATCTTCCGTGGTGTCTATGGCCTCCTGCAGGGAGCGCTCGACTTGCCCGTCGCTGCCACCTGTGCACCAAATGGTAATATCGTCCGCGTAAATTGTGTGCTTAATGCCTTCGATACATGAGAGCCTCTTGGACAACCCGATCATGACAAGATTGAACAGGGTGGGCGATATCACTGACCCTTGTGGCGTGCCGCGCGATCCCAGCTCTATCTCCTCGGAGACAAGGTCTCCCACACTGAGGGTGGCTCTCCTACGGGTCAAGAACGATTTGATATATTTGTAGAATCTGACTCCAAGGCCGAGCTCAGCAATCGACTGCAACACGAAAGAGTGAGTAACATTGTCGAAGGCTTTCTCTAAGTGGAGGCCGAGAATGGCCCGCATGTCTCGAGTGTTGCAGTCGATGACTTGGTGCTTGAGCAGCTTCATCGCGTCTTGCGTCGAAAGCTTGGCCCGAAAACCAATCATAGTGTACGGGTAGATCCCATTGTCTTCCAGGTACCGAGTCAACCTATTGAGGACCACATGCTCGGCTACCTTTCCCACGCAGGATGTGAGCGAAATGGGGCGCATAATGTCCAAGTTGGGTGACCTCCCCGGCTTAGGAATGAGCACGGTGCGTGCGACCTTCCACGGGTCGGGGACCTTGCCGCTCTTCCATGCCTCGTTGATGACCTCGGTGAGGTAGTCGATTGACCGGTCGTCCAGGTTGCGCAGGGTCTTATTAGTTATGCCGTCGGGGCCCGCGGCAGACCTTCCATTGAGCCCGTAAAGCGCCTGCCGAACCTCTTCGTGGCATATCTCGGCGTCCAGTTCAGTGGTCCTGAGTACTCAGGGTACGTTGTTGTTGAGGGGTTCGAGTCGACAGGGAGGTACTTTTGCACCAGCTGCTTCAAAACCTCCTCTTCTGAAGAGGACTGCTTGGCTTCGTGCATGGCTCGCGCTAGTACGTTCCGCTGGTTAGTTTTGGTGTTAGTCTCGCTGAGCAGGTGCTTGAGCAGGTTCCATGTCTTGCCATTACGCATCTGGCCATCTACCGAGTTGCACACCTCGTCCCACTGCTGCTTGGAGAGGACGCGACAGTGCTCCTCGATGGTCTTGTTTAGGTCGGAGATTTTCTTGCGCAACCTGCGATTGAGGCGCTGGCCTTTCCAGCGGGCGAGAAGTGACTGCTTGGCCTCGAGCAGGTGGGCAAGGCGGCTATCCATTTTTTCAACCGGCAGGTCAGTACTAATATTCTTCGTGGTACTTATGACGTCCTCTCTGAGCTGGCCAATCCACTCCTGTAGGCTTGGCCTGGTTGCAGGTAGGGGTCGGTCGTTGCGGACTTTGCGAAACTGGTCTCAGTTTGTCCAAGAAAACTCCCGTGCCCTCTTTCGAACCACTAAGAACTGCGTCACCAGGACGTAATGGTCGCTACCTAAGTCAATGTTTGAGTTGGCCCACTGTACATCGGGGAGATTCTTGACGAAGGTCAAGTCGGGAGTGGAGTCTCTGCAGGATGAGGTGCCCAACCGAGTTGGAAAGGCCTTGTCGGTGATTAGAGTCAGGTCAATGTCCGTCGCGTTCTGCCACAGTTCCGCGCCCTTGCTGGTATTGTACGGGTAGCCCCAAGTGTGGTGCGGAGCATTAAAATCGCCCGCCACAACCAGGGGGTTGGGACCTGCCAAGTTGACGGCCTTCTTTATGAGGGCCCTGAAGCGCTGCCGTCGGTCATTAGGGCTACTGTACACGTTGAGAAAAAAGATGCTGCTTCGGTCCGAGCTGCGCGGCAGAATCTCGGTCATGACATATTCGGCGCTGCTGGTGGCCATTTTGAGGTCGTGAGAGATGTGTGTGAGCTTGTTACTGACCAAGGTGCAGACGCCCCGGCCACCAGAATAACGCGAGACGGGCTTGTAACCAGTCAGTGTGACGTTTGGAGTTAACGTTTCCTGAATCAGAATGACGAGGGGTTTTTCGCTAGAGCATCGAATGTACTGCTGCAAGGACGCCTTTTTACTAGGGAAGCCCCTGCAGTTCCATTGCCAAATGAGAAACGTCTCACTTGGCTTGGCCATCTTGGTGTTTTTGTGGGCTGGTGCTGCCCTCAGATTGGCTCAGAATAGCGTGTACGATGGGGCCCGTAGCACCGGGCTGGGGTTGTACGACGGCGGTTGAGGTCAGAGCTGGTTTCACTACGTTTTAAGACTCTACCCTGGATATTCGGTCGTTTTGCGCGGCCAGGGTGATCTGCAGTTGGGCGAAATTCTCCCCGAGCTTATTGATGCTTTCACTGAGCGCGGATAGCGTGTCTCGAAGCTCAGACCTGACTCGAATCGCTACACCTTCCTGTTCGTAGGCGACGGCCCTCTTCTTGGGAGCACTTTGACCCTCACTGCTGCTGTCGCCGGCTTTAGTGCTGTGCACCTCCATGGGTAGGGGCATTGTATCGGCGACGCATGCAGCGGCGGGTTGCGGTGGTGGGTTTCTCGCGTTCTTAATCTCAGCAATTTCGGACATAAGCCTGTTTATAGTTTCCTTCATCGCTGCGTTCTCGCGTTTCAACTGGGAAATCTCGCGCGCGCTCTCCGCATGCTCTGGGAGTGACCCCGACAGTACCTCAGCTGGCCCTCCTCGGACCGTGTCGGCCCAGGTTATAGAGCCCGACTTCTTGCTTCTCGCTGACACCCCGCTAGGCTGCTGTTGACGCCCGGTAGACCTGGATCGAGACCTGGAGCGGCTCCCAGACTTGTAGCGCCGGGTTCCTCCTCGGGACCGGGAGCGGCTCCTGGACCGGGAACGGCCCCTGGAATGGGACCGAGAACGTCGCCTGGAACGGCCCCCGGAACCACGTGACTGCTGGAAGTCCTGCCCATCCGTGGGGGGTGATGGTGGTGCCGTGGCTTGGCCTTGATCGGTGGCGCGAGACTTTTCCCAGCGCCTTCGTCGCACGACATACGGGATCTGGAATCTTTGCCTACAGTCCTTGTCAGCCGTGAGGTGTTGCCCACCACACAGCCTGCACTTGGGGGTACACTTGTGTTGTGCGTCAGGATTTGAAGCCCCACAGCCCCGACATACGATGTCGCCTGGGCTGGGACACACATCAGCACGGTGACCGAGCCGACCACAAGCGTAGCAAATGTCTATTTTCTTGCGATAAAGCGAACATTGCACAAGGGTGGGGCCGTAGCATACAAAGTTTGGGACTCTATGACCGTCGAAGGCGACGATTACCGTACCGGTGCTGCCTATGCGCTTGGCTGCCAGGGCGAGCGGATTTCTTTCATTTACGATCTTGTTGTCAATATCATTCGGGCCGTCTACGAGTGGAATACCTCGGATCACGCCCTTGCACGTGGAATGAGGGGCGGCCTCGTAAGCACTGACCTCGTATGTTCGGCCCATGACGACGATCTGCCGAACTTTGACGTAGTGGTTGGCATTTTCCCTTCTAGGTGTGCTGACAACCATAATATTCTGCTGCACGTTGGGGCATAGCGTGTCGCCCCGCAAATCTTCGGCGCAGATGCTTGTGGCTGCCAGGATTGCATCAGCCACCACGGTGCAGCCGGTCTTGACAATATTGAGGCCTCCAAGGGCCGAATCACGATCTTCGTATCCTCCCTGGGGAGCTCGGGCATCCGGCCAGCGCGGATGATTCTAGCCTTGATGTTATTGCCACTGTTGCGGCCTCGTGGGGCCACGGCCGTTGTCGACTTCGTCTCGTTGAGAGTAGCACCATTAAGATTAGCGCCTGCCGAGCACGCGCCAGCTCTTCTGGCGCCTGCAGACTGCCAACCTCAGTCTTCTGTCACCTCTTCGGGGGTTATGTCCTCCCCCACCACCTGATATTCCATTCTTTTCTGAAAATAAGCCCTGCGAAGAGCGAAAAGAGCACCCGGGAACGGCGACGCGGCTGGCGTCGCGCCGGCGTGGGCTTACCTCGTTAGGCTTAGCTTAGGCGGTGGCCGGCTCCGGAGAAAAACGTTCCAAAACGTGAAAATAGTCCACTCACGCAGCAGGTTTTGGCATAAAAATAGTCCTGGCACTTTCACTGATGCGACACAAACAAAGCTGAACGCTCACTTGAAAAATTCACTTGAAGATCATTGTAGGAAGCAGGAGCCACTAAAAGACAAATTCTCCTGTCTCTCATTCCCCTTTAGCAGCCATTGGCATGTACATTGAGCACTATCTGACAAGAAAGGGTTGCTACGTTATACTCGCTGGGCGTAACCTCCTTGGTTTTAGAAAGGTTTAGCGAGCGTTGGGCCGCAGTGCCATGAATACAGTGAAATGGTATAGGCACCCTCCGATGGAGGCGGAAATGTTGTAGGCCCGTGTGCTCAGATTTTGGTTCACTTTAAAGAACCCCAGGTGGTCGGAATTTCCTGAGCCCTCCACTACGGCGTCTCTCATAATCATATGGTGGTTTTGGGACGTTAAACCCCACATATCAATCAATTAGTATAGGCACCCGAAAGTGGACCAGAGGGCGCAACAAAACTTTTTGGGCTGCCTCAGCATTGTTGGTACCGACCGCCAGGGATACTAAGAAAATGAAACGCTCGCTGAACACAGAGACACGCTGAAGCGTCAGTGCCCTTTTTGGGACTTTTTCAAAGAACGCTTCCTGGGCGCTTACATAATCAGTCGTGAACCCCTTGCTCACAACTGAAAAAGAAAATGATATGTACGTCCGTTTCTGCTGCGTCTGCTCGCTATAGGCTACGCATTGCAAGACTCGTTTTTGCTGCGCCTACTCGCTAGGCTGCGTGTTGTGTGCGCTACCATCAGATCTCGTAAACTGCATTGCCGGGTACCTATATACCATGAACTCGGGGTGGTTAAAGGAGGGAAGTAGACACGAAGCGCAAGCCGTAAGAAAGTGTGCGTGTGCCTCCTCTCGTTCAGTCCTTGGAATGTCCGCTGGATGGCGGTGCTTCTATATGAGGAATATATCATGAAAAGATGTGAGATGGTGGTACTTGGAGTGTTCAATATGTGGACGAACGGAAACACAGACAGATGTATGGACGGACGCACGGATGGCTGCCCGGAGGTATGGACGCATGGACGGACGCGAAGCGGATGCATGGACGAAATCAGGGACGGACGCACAGATGGACGCGCGGACGCACGAACAGACGCATGGACAGGCGGATGGACGCACGGGTGGCCACACAGACGCACACATGGACGGAATGTTGCTTCGCCCCACTCTCCATCATGCACTCCGAGGATATTCTGCCATTTTTTTTTTTCTCGGGAAGAGCCAGAGCGCATACACGAACGTGTAGTTACATCCAGACCGTAGATTATTCACTATATATAGAAACGACGCGATGAAGGAATTAATCGTGAATGTCATGGTCGTGATGAAGTTCATGTATTTACCTTGAGCACCGTGAAAAGGCAGTGGTAGATATAAAAGACGCGTTTTTAAAGCCTGCTAAAACTTCTAAAGGAAAAAAAAAGTGACCGTGGTGCAGTGAATAGTGTGCCCGGTTCTTTATTGACTGCCTGGTATACCTCTATACCAACTCCTGGCTCGAATAACAGTTTTATAGGCGTAGTTCGAATGTACTGCCATATTTATGCATGCAGAGGAATTGCTACTTACTGCCTGAAAAGCTTGCAGGACAGAAGAGCTTCGTACAGCTCACCCTCCAGTTTTGAAACCTTCGCCTCCTCGGCAATAGCGCCTGTACCAAGAAGAACGTGGTATTATTATTATTATTATTATTATTATTATTATTATTATTATTATTATTATTATTATTATTATTATTATTATTATTATTATTATTATTATTATTGTTGTTGTGATATCACATTTGTATTGACTTGGGCAAGCAAACTCCCCGTACTGCAAATAGCTATGATTTCGTTTTCTCTAGGCACTTACATTCCTTCAGTGTTTGTTCCGGCGTCGCAATCGCGTTATCAGCTTCTTTTGGTGTCATTGGAAAACTGTCGTAAGTCGTCCTCTTCTCTATGAGTTCTGAAAACATTCAGGCGAATAGCAAATTGAAGTAGTTGGGGAAACGGCTTATCCGAACCTCTAAAATACCTCTTACCTCTTTCCATCCTGAGCTGTGAAAAAAAGCGCGACGCAATGTTTAATAATCGCCTTTGTTCAAACAAAGTGGCCATTTAGTTTCAATCTTACCTTGTCCAATCTTACTTCCATCTCGACTTGTTCCACGTTTTCCAAAGTCTTTCGTTGTAATCGCCTTAGTTCCTCATTGATGTCCCTTCCGTCGTAGTCTAAACTAGATGATCCCTGAAAACAAATCAAGCGTCTGCGCTTCAACCAGTGTCATCATATATAGCACCTATTTCTTTAGAAAGAAAAAAAAAGAGGTGGTGCTGGCTCTGTATCACTTTAAAATGCCTAGAAAGCAATCAACAAAGTGCTTAAGGAGGCTATATTAAAGTACCACTTACGCTTAAGGAGCTCTGCGACATTCTCAATCAAGCGTGATTGCGGCGCGACAACAGAAAATTCTGTGAAGCGGTGAGAACGCCGAAGTGGTCCTAGCAGGTGACCCCAGGAACGCGTCGTCTGTTTCTTGTTCGAATAATTTTTCGGCGCTAGCGTTGGTGTTGACCATTTTTATTGTTTTAATTAAAAACAAATCTGTCCCGATGTCGGCCATTTGAAAGTATTTTGCTTTCTCAATTAAGTGCACATTACTTCGCTACTCCAACGAAGGGGTATGGTAACGAGAGTATACGCTCTGTAGCAGACGAACATTTAGGGTTGTGTGCAGACGGCATTTCTTTCGTGGTCGTGAGTCAGGATTTGTCTTTGCGCCGTGAAATGCGCAGCAAAACGGACTTGAATTTTCTTGTATCAGCTAAGAAACCTTTTTAACTTTTTTGTTTAGTTACCATAAACGTGCAGTCCTAATAACGACGTGTGTAGGGTACTTTTTCGGTATAACGATTCGAGATACTCGAGGCATGTGGTTGAACAACTGGTCGCTAAATGGGATATTGGCTCTAATATAGGTGATCGATTCAAAATTACGCCGATATGACATGATCTATAGACTCTGAAAACGAAAGTACAAGCATTAAATAATCCTAAATTTCGCGTTTCAATCCGTGAGTGCTGTACATGTTCACATGTACTATTCCTGGTGACAATTTTTTTCCAGTTGAAAAATGCTCGAGTTGTCAAACGGAACTTTTTCTAACATCATAGCTGGTTCAACAGTGAAATAATGCTGGCTCCAATCTGATTGTGCGCAGTTAGGCGAGCATGTAATGACGTTGTACATTCAGGAACGCAAGCCATGACCCTTAAATGTACGAGATGCTCTTATTCCGCAAATCGAAACTGTCGTTACACTGTGAGTTCTGTGTGTTTTTCTGGAAAAAAGGTTTGTCCAATGATAGTTTCACCCTATAACTAATAATTTATTCACTGTATTGTTCATTGTCGCTACAACGTAACAGTCTCATTCTATAATCGCTAACACCTATAACTTCACCACAATACGTCTTCGTTTTGCCGTGAGGCTATATGTTATGCCATAATAAAAATAATATAGGCAAAAGAAGGCTTAAGAAGATTACCACACGTTATAAAGAATATGTGCCGCCTTAGTTCCCAGGCATACTAAATGAAGGCACGATAAGCTTACATAGTACACTCGTGCATAATACCGTTTTTTTTTTTTTCACCTTAAGTCCTTAACGCATTGTATAGGCTTATCTGCGTTACACAACTGTCATGCAGCGAAGCCACTGCAAATGAGTACAAGATACATCGAGAAGAGCAACGCAAAGTTTAAAAAATGCCCTCACCTCCCTGAAGGGAATCGTGAGAAATGCGAATACATTGCTTAGCGCCCATGACAGTGTTTCGCACGCGAGAACCCAGTGTTAGAAGAATGTTTTCTTTATTTCTTTAGGGCCGAAGCTCCCGAAGGCTTGGGCTGAGCGTTGGTTAGTGGTTCGTAAGGAAAAGGAAGAAGGCACCTAATTTCTGTCTGCCTATAGGCGACACGCCGCAGTGCCTTATAGGGGAGGGGGAAGGAGGGATTAAAGAGTAGAAGGAAATAGGTGAGCAACCCGTCGTAATCGTATATAGCCACCTCTCGTTAGTTTTTGAACCGGCCGTAGAGGGCGGTGCTTGTATATATAACGAAATCCATATACGCTGAAATATGCAAATAGTACGATACAATAGAGGACGTTACTTGTCGTATGACAAATAATAAAAATAACAGCATATCCATGGAGTGATCAATGAAGATGAGTGGGGCAAAGCGTGAGTAAGTCCGTCCGTGCTTTGGTCCGTCTGTTTGTTCTTGATTCCGTAAATCCGTGCCCAGGGGTCCATCCGTTCATCCGTGCGTCTGTCCATTCGTGCACCCGTCCTTGCGTCCATGCGTTCGTCCTCTCGTGCGTCCATCTGTGCGTCCATCTGTCCATCCCTGTGTTCGTCCATGCGACCGTCCGTCCCTACGCTCGCCCATGCGTCCGTCCATCTGTCGTGCGTTCGTGTATCCATACTTCCGTGCGTCCATCCTTCCGTCTGTCCGTCATCATTCACTTCGTAGATGTGCTGTGATTTTTTTTCTTACACCGTGCAGCCAATAGCGCCGTTCGCCGCACGTGGCGTTTTTCCGTTGCGGGAAACGCGATATGCATTTCTAGCTGTAATAGTTAGCGTGCTCGGTTAAAAAAACGCTACACAAACTCTAGCAGCACAAACGCTACAAACGCGTTTCAAACGCACTGCATTGAGGCGGCGGCAAGTCACAATCAAGCCAAGGAGGTGAGGGTTCCGGTTGCTAGAGGCGAGGGTAAGCGCGCGCGTCCGCAGCTGTTGCCGACAGCTGCCGACGCCGAAGCGTGACATGGTGGGGGCTCGGTCAGGCCCGTGGCCATAGAGTTTCCTAAAATTAACTAGAGGGGACTCTGGCGCTGCGATCGTTCAGCGACCACGGGAATGATGGGTAGTACACACATTTGCCTAGTCTTCATACTTGCGGGTGGCGAATCGTACTTCCGGCTTCGTTTATTGCTGTGTTTCGCTTTTGTTTTGAAAGAAAAATTCAACCCTTTTGAACATTGTGACCCAATTTGGAAAGGTAAGTCTAAAAGAATAAGATGAAGAAGCGCAACCACTGAACATTTGCTAATATTTCTTTCGCGAAAACAGCAAAAACAATATTCTTAGTTATTATTTTTTCAAAAAAGCTGTTTGAGTGCAGAAGATAATCAAGACTTTTTCAGTAGTCAGTAAAATGGTAATTTTCCAAACTTTGTACAACTGCCGCCGCAATCCAGACGGCACTAACATCGCGCCCAATATTCGTTCTCATTGGGTCTATGGCCAGTTCACTCCACTGGCTCGGGTTGCTAAGGGCGCACGCGCCCGCAGCTGTTGCTATGGGAGAGGGCGGCGGATGAATCCCGACGGACGCCTGACATAGCCCGACTAAGAAATGCGTTCGCATTTAAAACGCGGACAAACAAACGAGTGATACGCACAACACAGAGGCTTATGTACAATATCACATACAGTGAACAAGCTCTCCAGTTCCATCTCAGCAAGATACCTTGGTGGTTTGCGATTCAAGCTGGTAAGCAACACACTGTCATTTCTGCTTCGGTGTGCACCTTCAGGGACGTAACTAGGTTGGAGTTGAGGGGGTTATGGCACCCTTCGTAATGTTTCCAACCTTTAACTTTAGCCAATGTTAGCTGTTCTACACATTGACACCCCTTGAAAAAAATTCTTGTTACGGCCTTGCTTTATACTTTGCGCGTGTATCCCGGCTGCGGCGGCTGCATTTCCTATGGAGGCGAAAATGCTGTAGGCCCGTGTGCTCAGATTCGGGTGCTCGAATTTTCCGGAGCCCTCCACTACGGCGTCTCTTACAATCAAATGGTGGTTTTGGGACGTTAAACCCCGCATATCAATCGTATCGATAAAAGTGCAGCCTTGATAAGCAGCCGGGAGACGTGACGCTCGCATTGATTCGAGCTCAAGACACAACCAACAGCTATAGGCAGTGTAACGATGTAGTACAACGATATGCTGGGTAAATTTTGGCCCTAGCCGAGCAACTGCTACGTTTCGCTTCTTCGCAACAGGGTGGGTTCACTGCTCCTAGCTTCAGTGCGAGGTATGCATGCTCGCGCGGGACGACGAATCAAGCGCGCAATAAGGAAGAAAGCGGCGTTTATTTTTGAACGTCTCCCTACCGCACGAAAGGCGTCAACGATTGCAGTGCAGCTGCTCCCCGCGTAGGCCGGCCCAGCAACTGCGGCCGCTTGCATGAGTGGCGCCCACTTTGCTGTAGGGCGCCGCCTTCCTAAGGGGCCGGACTCCTGACGACCCTCGTGGTGGAGGATCTTGTGAATCTCCACGGCCGTGGCTCGATGATCTGCAGTATCTGAAGGCCGAGACTGTTTAGTGTACAATTTCATTACTGTACATATAGGTCGGGGGCGTAGTATGAAAAAAGACTTATAAGGGGTGAATTTTACAAATCTTTATGCATGTTCGTGCTTGTTTTTGTATATGTTCGCGTATATATATAAGCACATGCAAAATCGAAGAATGATTTCTGGATGGAGGGGAGGAGGATTAAACTTTTAACCCACCCTGGCTACGCATAGGGAATCAACTCCCTATGCAGTCTACGCTGCAATGGCTGCCACTTTTTGCTGTTGCGGCTAGAATCGAATAGCAGCGCCCACATCCTAATTGCATTGGAAGATGTTGTTGGTACTTCGTTGTACTACTGCCGATCTGCATTTTTTTTTATTTGGGCTAGTTGTTACGACATCCCAATGTATGATATCCCGTTCTCTTTGTCGTTGGTATTTCGTGAATTACGCTCAGTGCAACTGTATCATAAAACAACCACCGAGCCTTTCACCAAATTTTTAGCGCTCGTGCAGCAATATCGCTGGGAAACTCAAACATTTTCGCGGACGTCGTCTTTCGAAGTTTTTGCGGTAAAGCTAGAAAGACGGCTGCATGTTGCTGAACTCATGACGCAACGGCAGTAGGGAGTTCTTGAATAGGGGCCGCAAAAGTTAAGGCCCCAAAGAAATAGCGTTAGGGGCTCCAAAGACAGGCCACAACGCATGCGGAAAACTCAAACCGGATTTGCGTTTCGCACTGGGGACGCTATTTCCTGAATTTAGCGGGAGTCCCAAAGCCTGCCCCATTGCAAAAGCTTTTCGTCCGACAAACTTGACGACACCCACTGAAGCGATGGCACTCGGCCAAAACTAGAGC